TCGGTAAATAATAACATATTAAAATAACCGTGAACAGAAAACCTTTACTAGCGAATGCTCTGACCACCACCACACACACACACACACACACACACACACACTCCTCAGACAATACAGATGCAAGTGTCTCTCGACGTGTTTCTGGTGCTCATGAAGACATCAGAGACTCCACACAGGAGGAGGAATATGTGTTAATCTCACTTAGTCAAGGACACACACACACACACACACACTTGAATTCTTTATCTGAGTTAAAAGATAAGCATATATCATGGCATAATCCTAATGTGACAGAAAGATGTCCAACGGCAGCTGGTGTCTCAGTCCATCTAAGGGTGAAGGTGCACCTCGTCCAGTCACTGCTGATACACAATATCTCGACAGTTTTTTGGCATTATTCTTATAGTCCGCAAATCTGCAGGTCTCTTACACACAACTTGTGCTCTAAACTACCAAAAACAAAGGGCAATAACTTTACAAATATAGCCAAAGTTATTGAGGACATGTACCATGGTTGATATTTCCGCAGTTTTGAAGCATATGTCCATGTAAACATCGAAAGAGCAATCGGTTTCTATTATTGTCACTTTGGTGTGTCCATTAATTACAACTATGTCAGGTGTGTGTTAGGAAAGTGATTTATGGCAGTTTCACTGTTCGTGTGGAGGTGAGAGCAGTCTATCTTAAGTTTACATTGTCTCCGAGGCCGAGCTCCTTCACTTCACAATAATTCGGTCATGGCACGTGATGTACAGTCACAACACACACACACACTCGACAGAATCGGGCTGTGCTGCTTGTGTGTGGGAGGAGTGAAGCTCGAGTCTCTCTCTCTCTCTCTCTCACACACACACACACACACACACAATCTCTCTACATCATCAGTATTTCTCAGCTAAACTCACACACACACACCCCAGCGCTCGGAGAAAACACTGAACGCGTCTCACACACTCCTCCAGCACACACCAACCTTTACAAACACTCACTTCATTCGCTGGTCGATTTCTTTTCACGGCAAAATGCAACTATTATCAACTAGCTCTTTATCCGTCACACACATAACAAAGCTTTAACCATGTCTTGCAATTTCTTCCCACAGGAGCCTCGCTTTCGATTTCAAAATGGCGGCTGCGTGATATCCGTGAAATCAGCGGATGTTTGCGGTGTTTTTTTATTCAACAATTGCACAGTTTACATGAACATTCCTCTCCGTTATAAAAAAATAATACATTGTGCAGTTTCCAACATTGCGGGTGATTTAACAAAAAACATAACAAAGACTTACATCATCACATTTTGCCACGGGAAGTGGACGTTTGCGGTGGTTTGTGTGGCTCGCGGCGGCAGGTGACGTAGGCAGGTTCCAGCTCACCACGCCCTTTATAAAAGCTACGGATTGGTTGGTGTGATCTGATAGAATTTTCTGAACAGCATCGTGGCAAATGTAGTTTTAAACACGAATTAAACTTTTAAACATGGTGATTTAAAGGAGTAGTTCACTTTTCAAAAAACTTTTGCTGATAATTTACTCACCCCCATGTCATCCAAGATGTCCATGTCTTTCTTTCTTCAGTCGAAAAGAAATTAAGGTTTTTGATGAAAACATTCCAGCATTTTTCTCCATATAATGGACTTCAATGGGGTCCAAACAGTTCAAGGTTCAAAAGACACTTTCAGTACAAACTGTTCAAAGGGCTTTAAACGATTCCAGACGATGAATGAGAACGATGTTGTTAAATTAATGTTTATTGCCTTTTTAAAATTTCATGTGTGTTATGATGGTGGTGTTGAATGTTTGACTCGAGTGAATGAAACTGTGCAGCTTTTATATATTTACTTTCAGTTTTACTGCTGTGATTTCTGGTTGTCAGTGTATCACAAAGGTACAAAACAGATTTTAATACTTCAATTGATCGATAATTTAACATATCAGAAAATGAAATAAAGTTTATTTCTGTAAATTTTAAGTTAAGTCTATAAAACCTTGTTACCATAAATTCTTGCTACCGTATTTTATACAGTAAATTTCTGGCAACCACAGCTGCCGGATAATTTACCATAAATTTAACACATTTTCTTTTTACAGTGTATTGAACAACAAACAGGAAAACAAAAGAAATTCAGATATAAATTTCTTTACATTTTCATAAATAAACATTTATTTTCAAACTCAAATGACCATTCACATCTCTATTGTTGTCCTGATTGCTAATTTGCACTGCCATCTTTGAATATAAAATCTGTAAGGATCATTCACACACAATTCACCTCCATAGCCACTCTATTGATGCCCTGGTGGCACATTTACACCACCAGTTTACAGTTTTTATATTCAAACTATCATTCACATACAGCAATTGACCTCTATAGCCACTCTATTGTTGCCCTGATTGCATATTTACCAGCTAATTATTCAGACTCTAATCAGACAATAATAATGCCCTCACTAAACATTACTTGCTTCTAAATAAAAATAAGGTTAAAATAATGCAGGCTCACAACCATCGATTAACAATCACCATTTGGAACAATTAATTTTCTGAGTGTCTCATTTTACTGTTTTACAGGCACATTGATTCCTCCTCTTGGATGTTTGTATGCAGCATTGCTGTCACTCACTCACACTTCTCGCTCGCCTCCAGCTGAGCGCGTGCCCGCGTCTGCAGATCTCGCGGGGGCGACCGTGTATTTTTGGCGGGAATGCCTCGTGTTTGACAGCTGCCGGTACCGGGAACGGGCTGCCCCGGAGCTCTCCCACGCCTCGACGATTCAGCGCTCTGGAACCATAGAAATGTCACCTAAAAATTGATGAAATTGATGAATCACGTGTTGACGAGCTGTCACAGCCGCCTCGCGCTCTCCTTTATAGACGGAACCATGTTTGGGGAGGGTTTCCGGAAACAGAAGCAGGCCTGTAGATGCTTGCTGTAAAACACACACACACACACACACACACACACACACACACACACACACACACAAAACACACACACACACACACAAACACACACACACACACACACACACAAACACACACACACACACACACAAACACACACACACACACATATATATATATATATATATATATTTGGGCTGTCAAATGATTAATCGTGATTAATCACATCCAAAATAAAAGTTTTTGTTTACATAATATAGGCTATGTGGGTGCACTGTGTATAATTATTTTATAAATATAAATACACACACATGCTTGTATATATTTAAGAAATATTTTCATGTTTATACTGTATATAGATTTATATATAATTTATATTATATATAAATATAAATATTTTATATATAAATAATATATTTTTTCTTAAATATACATGCATGTGTGTGTATTTATATATACAAAATAATTATACACAATGTACCCACATAGGTATATTATGTAAACACAAACTTTTATTTTGGATGTGATTAATCGTGATTAATCATTTGACAGACCTAATATATATATATATATATATATATATATATATATATATATATATATATATATATATATATATGTGTGTGTGTGTGTGTGTGTGTGTGTGTGTGTGGATAAGTCCAGTTTTACATTGTATAAGTCCAGTATACAGTGTATAAAGGCTATGTATAGCTTGGACTAATTTACCTTTTTTTTTTAAAACATACTCACTCAGTAAACGTCGTCAACTTGATAATATTTGAAATCCTTTATTACTAGCCTATATTTGAAAAAGTTGTTTGACAAATCGCTCTAGAATAAAACAAATAGGCTAGATCCAATGACTTTTGACATGTTTAGATTCTCTTGCAAGCTGTTTGGATTTGTTTCACCTTATGGAAAGTGCAAAGCTTGCATATAAGCTCAGGTGATTTTTAATGAATGAAAATGAATAGGTTAATTTATTATTAATATTTTTTATTATTACGTCAGAAAGTCTTCATAGGTGTGCTGCCAAAAACAGTCAGTATCATTATTCTATCTTCCCACTAAACACCTTACAAAATGAATCCGGTTGTTTCTTATTTGCAGCAGTGTTGCATTCACATGATCATGAGACGGGTATACACTCCTGAGTCTGTCCGTCTAATAAGCGGATCTCCGCGGGTGTGAGGGCTGATATCAGGGCGCCAAAGCAACTTTATGACTCATGTTTGAAAACACGGTCACAGATGCAGCTGCAGTCCAAATCTGCGGCACGGATCTGGAGAAATGAAGCATTACATAACACACCATCAAATGAGGCGCAACTTAGCAAGATGTTTAATCTCAGGCACGCTTTTACCGATCCCACATCGTGTGCATGCATGCAATGTCTAAATAACGTGAACTCCTATGGCGATATGAACATAATAAAGCACATCTTTGAGCATTTAGATGCATCCTGCAATGCATTGCACACGGGAAGGCTGTATGCATGTGTGTGTGCAGAACTATCGCTGTCCGCGGTGCTGAACCGATGTGTTAACCGCAAAACGACTGGAATCAGCTTCATTAGGAAAAGGGAAGGTGGTAGGGATGGCTCAAGGGAAGTAGATGCAGATCAACAGTTAGGAGAAACCCCATTGGGACGGACTGGTGTAGCTAGATCCAAAACAAAACAATCCTGTAACAATCACTCTGAATGCGTGCAACTGAGCCTCGTTTGTCGCTAAACGTCTGTTGTATCGGTGTTTTCATCGTTTTACTGTTTCTATTATCGCCCATCGCATCGTTTGAGCCCATCAGATCGTCTGCCGAGAGTCACCGGGGGCTCTTTCCGTCTGACACTGTTCCATTGCGAACATAATGGCCGCCTGTCATTCACAAACGCGCCTCATTTTTTCCGCAATGTTCTTTAGGAAAGTGTCTCCGCTACGTCACGCCCCTGTGCCCATTTTCGGAGGGGAACCCCGTCACATCCTCTGGCCATATTTGGGCAAGAGCCGTCCAAAGTCTATACACGGCGGGGAATCCTCTTGCTGACGTAGATGAGCGGTGGGCGGGGCCTCAGCCGAGCCGAACAGTATAAAGAGGCGATGAGGAATTCCGGTAAAACGAATCGACGGAGACCAGAACCTGAAGGAAGCCAAAACGAGCTCTTACCGCAACAAGAAAAAGGGAATCCCAAAGCATAATCGTGAAGGATTGCCTTATTATTCCCACGACATTCCTTGTGAATTTTTTTTGCTTCGTATTCAAATCGACATTATGCTGAAAACGGTGGACTTCAGCGCTCTGGATCTGCTCTGCGCTCAAACGTTTTCTCTGGAGGGACAATCTTCCCCTCAGAATCAACCTGATGCTGGTGAGTACACAAGATATACATCATTTTCACACAGCCCGACCTAATGCGATGCAATGATGCACAATATTGTAGAATTATATGCGATGCGCACTATATCACTCTTTTTGTTGATTGGCATCGATGGTTGAGCCATTAACATCCATGGGATCTTTCCATTCCACAAAAGGTTCTTTAGATTTTTTTAAACACTCAAAGGAAACTAAATCTATGGCATCGCTGCAAAAACCTTTATTTTTAAAGTGCACATACTGTAAGATGTTTTCATGCAATGCACATTCTGAATCAATCATTGGACATCATGATGTGCTGATGCAGTGAGTCAACATTATGTAACGCAGCCCTCTGCTCTTTCTCTCGCAGCTCTGGGTCTGTTGAAGCCGAAAGCAGAGCCGCTGGACGCCGGTTTCCCCGATTGCTCCAGCGACGGGTTCCCTCCGTCTCCGCAGAGCTACACCGGCAGCTTCTACACGGAGACCGGCCCGTACAGCCCGGACGCGCTTCTCAACCTCCTCACGGAGATCGTCGGCATCTCCACAGCTCCCGATTACCTCCCGGGAATGTCTCGTGGGAGCACGCTCTCACGCCAGGAGTCGCTGTTATCCACCGGGAGCTCGCTGGGATCACCGGAATCACTCTGCAACGACTCGTCGGATGAGTTCGCGGACGCGAGTGCGCAACAGTTCACGATTAAGAGCGAGTTTGGGACGAGTTGCAACAGCGGGGATCTTTTCGATGGCTTCGTTCCTTCTTCTCACGAGCCTTCGGACCTGGATGACATCATTGACCTGCTCTCTCCACTGGGTCCCGAGACGGACTTGATTTTGGACACGTGGATCAAGCAAGAGCCCTTGGAACCAGCAAGCGCGCTTAACTTTTCACCGAGCTTCCAGATTCCCGCGACAGCTGCAACTTCCCATGAAAACAGCCTTTACAGGAGCATCGCGTTCCCGGGATTCGGCTGCGCAACGACCGCGCTCGCCGACGCGCTGGACTCGCTTCTCTCCACCAACACGCTCACGCAAAGAAGCAAACCGCGCGCCAGGAAAGGCGCGCCCCGCGAGAAGCCGTTCTCCTGCCCGATCGAGAACTGCGAGCGTCGCTTTTCCCGCTCAGACGAGCTCAATCGCCACGTGCGCATTCACACCGGACACAAGCCTTTCCAGTGCCGCGTGTGCCTGCGTTGCTTCAGCCGCAGCGACCATCTCACCACTCACATGCGCACGCACACCGGAGAGAAGCCGTTCTCCTGCGACGTGTGCGGGCGCCGCTTTGCGCGCAGCGACGAGAGGAAGCGGCACGGTCGCGTGCATCTCAAACAGCGCGAGAGGATGCAGCAGAAGACTGAGCTTCTCGCCGCGTGCGCGTTCGAGCTCCAGTGCGCGTGAGCGCCAGTTCCCTCTCAAGCGGTTCTGGCCGTTCTGGAAAGTTTATGTCTCGAGCGCAACGCGGTTCAGTGCAAGAGACGCGACGCGTCTGAAGTGGGGCGAGCGTCACACGCGGTGTGATGATGCGTGAGCCTGGCATGCGGATGAATGAACGCTTACAAACACTCATTTATTGTCTGCACAGCCAGACGCGTTTCAGCACTTCCGGTGGACAGCAACACAAACTCTCCGTTGAGCGCGCGCACGCGATGGACAGGTCGGAGAGGCTGACGACTCGAACCTCGTGTTGTTCCGGAAGTCTGCATGTCTTGATGTAAACGTGCACTTGTTTTACCCTGCTGTGGCATGCAACACGTGATGTCCGGTTTAACTTGTATTTTGATACATCACTTTATAAAGCACACGAGAAGAGCTCTATATATTTGTACGTTATTGATTGTAATTTTTGTATCGTTGATGATTTTCAAGAGAGTATTGAAACAAATCTATCTTATAGGTTTTCATAAGTGATTGTATTCCACTTTCGACAGTAGAATGTGTTCGGTTGGTTCTTGGGAACCTGATGCGCTAACTATAGAGTATTTATTTAAAACTTCAACATCGTAGTTGAGTTGCAGTAGCACACTTGGATGTGCAGAATCACTTCCGGTTTCTTCTGGAATCGCTGTTGTCGTCTATTTGCCTTTGGAAACTGTTCTCGTGCAATGAAACGCTGTTACAGTAAATGCCTTGTGGATATTTGAGGCTATGAATGTTTCAAATAAAACTCTATTGACATTACTTTGTGTTTATGGTGATCTCTGAAAACTACATCCACACATCGGAAAACGAAAGTTTGGACACATTAGTGCTACTTTACACATTTTACAATAGTCTGTAACATCTAATTGAACTGGTTTTAATCAGGTGAAAAATATAATATTTAGTAGGCTATTAATGAATCAAACCAAGTAGGCAAAACAAAGTACATGAATTTATGCCAACAAAATAACATTTAATGGGTTAAATCAAATCTGCACATTTTACGGTTAAGAATAAAATCATCAAAACTACGAAATATTAAGGTGTGTGAGCACAATATAACAAAATAGTATATAAATAAACTAAGCTATGAATTTTTAATTTTCTACACAAGGAAAAAAACTCTAAAATAAAAAAAAATCATACAGGAATTAAAACAAAAAGAAAAACGAATGAAGGAATAAATAAAGCAAGCTCGTCATTGATGTAAAAATATTGTAAAATTAAGCTGTTTATTGCACATTTCCTAAATTGTATATTTCGTATTTCATACAGGCAAATAAAGATAAAGAAGGATAAAATAAACGTTAAAAATTGAATATAGATAAAGTTTTTTATATTATAAATAAATAATTTTGATATTTTTAATATTGTACTTTTCCTATATTTCAGCGGTAACACTTTACAATAGGAACTGCATTTAATAATCTTTGTTGATGATTCATTTCAACATTTATAATACTTGATTAAAATCTTCTTAACATCATGAACAGCTTTAACCAAGGTTAACAAAGATGAACAAATACAGTAACAAATGTTTTGCTCATAATGTTAACTATTGGACCTTATTGTAAAGTGTTACCTTTTTAGCAATTAAACATTTCCCCTTATTGTTTTTAAACGCAGTCGCATAGGCTACCGTGAAATAAGATTCAGAGCTTCAGCACCACGAGTCATGTGGCCAGCGCCGCTCGCGCACAGGCGCGTGCCCGACGCTCGTGTGCACACCGGTGCGTGTTTCTTACCTCTTTTCTAACAGTCCTCCAGTAGTGACGTCAGTTGCTGCTCGTGCACGGACGGTCTCGGTGAGTTTTGCGGGTCTGTGGAAGACAGGAGAGACAGAGTGAAAACACGGACGGGTCGGAGGAGTCTCGGTACCGGAGGACCGGCGGGTGTCACAGACAGACGGGGTCGGTGAGCATATAAACTCACCGTGATTCTGACATGATTAATGCCGCACATGCATTGCAATAACAGGCTGTGCTCGCGCTGCATGCTCATGGGTGATGCACGTGAAGTTATTGGGCTGGGTCGCGTGCACGATACACATGCCGATGCAAGACGAGAAGATATGATGACCGAATTCATTCATATGTTTCCTTACATTATATAACAACACAAACGAACCTTAAATGAGAAATAAATCGGCTCTTTGGGATGAAGAGTGTGATTTTCATGATTGATGTGCACATGCATATTTCTAGACTGTGTTTCTTAATCACGGTGTAAATGGAGCAAGACTCGGACAGCTTTTGTCTTCATCATATTCATGCGGAAATAATGCGGAGCGCGCGCACAGAGTCATGCATGAATTCCGATACGTCACTAAGAATATTTCACACACACACACACACACACACACACACACACACACACACACACACACACACCCGCGCGCGCACAATTCACTTCATGTTTGTGAATCTGAACCGGTTGAACTTATGTTGAATATTTACATCGATATGACATCAATAATTATTCATTAGTTAAACTTTTAAATGGTAGTGTTTATTGAAGAGATTATAACACACACACACACACACACACACCTGATGTCCTAGTAGACACATAATTAGATAAATGAACAAAGTAAAATAACAAACATCAAAGAAAGGGTGATACCACACTTTATCTTTACTTTCATATCTGTAACAAACAGATACATATACTGACAATTTAGAAGCACTTTAAATTTCAACAAATTGTGTTACCACTAGTGTATTTATAATTGATTGGATGATACTAAAGTTAGATGTTTCCTTTCTGTGTACCTTTTTCCTTTGCAGGTGCAATAAGTCTGCATGAGCCTTTTTGGACCAAAATGCTTCTGAGATCCTCCTGAAAGAATTCTGAAACAAACATAGCAGAAACTATAGTGAACTTCTCCTGAAACAAACACTATTGAAAATGCTACTGAAATAGCATGGATATGGATCAGAAACAATTCTGAAATGCAACTGAAATGCTGACATCATCACTACTGAAGTTAATGCTACTCCAACGATTAGGAAACGCTACTGAAAAAGTTTGCAAATGCAACAGAAAAATTACTAAAAACATCCTTAAACGCAACTGAAACAACTAACATCTCGAAACGCTAATAAAATAATACTAAAACAAACATCCTGAAACGACTCTTAACATTACTGAAACACTACTGAAACACTATTGTAACATTACTGTAACATTACTGAAACACTATTAGAACATTATTGTAACATTACTGAAACACTATTGTAACATTACTGAAACACTATTAGAACATTATTGTAACATTACTGAAACACTATTGTAACATTACTGAAACACTATTAGAACATTACTGTAACACTATTAGAACATTTCTGAAACACTATTAGAACATTACTGTAACACTATTAGAACATTACTGTAACACTATTAGATCATTACTGTAACACTATTAGATCATTACTGTAACATTACTGAAACACTATTAGATCATTACTGTAACATTACTGAAACACTATTAGATCATTACTGTAACATTACTGAAACACTATTAGAACATTACTGAAACACTATTGTAACATTACTGAAACACTATTGTAACATTACTGAAACACTATTAGAACATTACTGTAACACTATTAGATCATTACTGTAACACTATTAGAACATTTCTGAAACACTATTAGAACATTACTGAAACACTATTAGAACATTACTGTAACACTATTAGAACATTACTGTAACACTATTAGATCATTACTGTAACATTACTGAAACACTATTAGATCATTACTGTAACATTACTGAAACACTATTAGAACATTATTGTAACATTACTGAAACACTATTAGAACATTACTGAAACACTATTAGAACATTACTGTAACACTTTAGAACATTACTGAAACACTATTAGATCATTACTGTAACATTACTGAAACACTATTGTAACATTACGGTAACATTACTGAAACACTATTAGAACATTACTGTAACATTACTGAAACACTATTAGAACATTACTGAAACACTATTAGAACATTACTGTAACATTACTGTAACACTATTAGAACATTACTGAAACACTATTAGATCATTACTGTAACATTACTGAAACACTATTAGAACATTACTGAAACACTATTAGATCATTACTGTAACATTACTGAAACACTATTGTAACATTACTGTAACATTACTGAAACACTACTATAACATTACGGTAACATTACTGAAACACTATTGAAGTGCTACTGAAACTGAAATGCTCTCTGAGTGACTCAGCATGAGACCCTGGAGTTGCTCCTGGAGCGCGTGAGCACATCGCCGCGGGATGTCGACCAGCACTGAGCTGCCGTTGCGCTGCCCGACCTGTGGAGAGGCGTGTGGGTTCGGAGAGCGCCTGTCCAGCATCCACTCCTGCCAGAAGCTCTGTCTGAACACCAGACGAAGCTCTGAGGGGGGGCTGATGTCCCTCGCCCAGCGAGAGAGAGACATGCCTCATCCACTGCGCCTGGAGCTCCTGGACACCCTGAGTTTGGCGACCCGAAAGATCCTGATCCAGAGGGACTCGCCGTCCTCAGTGCTCGCGGTCTCCGTTACCTCCAGGGAGGCAGACGCCGGTCACGCCGTGGCCCAGGTGGGGGTCCCGTGGCTGGGCAGGCTCGCGCTGGAGGCCCGGCTTCAGCAGCTGGCTCTGGAGGTGCAGGAGCGCGTGACGCTCAGACTGGAGGCGCTGCAGGACGAGGTGAAGAGGAGGAGCGTGGAGGTGAGGAGAGCCAGGAGAGAGAGCGAGCTGATGCACAGAGAGAAGCGAGAGGCCGAGGAGAAAGCGGCCCAGCTGGAGCGACAGGTGGATATATCCGTGGAGATGCTGGCCAGACTCAGATACGAGCTGAGAGACAGAGACGAGCAACTCCGACGCAAACAACAGTGAGTGTTTAGATGACAGACGCAATCTCTGACCCTGGACCACCACTCTCTTTTTTTAAATTGAGATAAAATAATCTTTCCATTGTTATGATTGGGCAATATTTGGCTGAGTACAACTATTGAAAATCTGGAATCTGAGGATGCAAACTTATTTCCCTATTTACTGTATTTTTTCAGTTTCTGTTATCCCCTTAATGAAAACTTTTGGTTTAGATGGTGTGTGAGATGCGGGTAAATGTTGTAATGTGTGTGTTTTAGGGAAGTGTGTGACCTGGACAGGTTTGTACGGGACACGGCGTTCCAGGAGGCGAGTGCTAAGATCCGTCTGCAGCGCTTCATTGAGGATCTGCTGGAACGAGCGGAGCGGGCCGAGACGCAGCTGCAGAACATCCACCATGATGTCACTTCCTCTCACAGATACCTGGCAGGAAGCAGAGCTGCAGGGTATCAGGTACAGGAGTCCACCAAACTGCAGATCACTTCTCTGATGATCATCACGCCAGCTGGATGAAATATAGATAGATACAAACAGACAGATAGATCCACAGATGGTTTGATAAATACACTATAGATAGACTGATAGACAGATACATAGATAGATAGACGGATAGATGGATGGATAGATAGATAGATAGATGGATGGATAGATGGATGGATGGATAGATAGACGGGTAGAGAGATGGATGAATGGATGGATGGATGGATGGACGGGTAGATGGATGGATGGATGGATGGATGGATGGATGGATGGATGGATGGATAGATAGACGGGTAGATGGATGGATGGATGGATGGATAGACGGGTAGATGGATGGATGGATGGATGGATGGATGGATGGATAGATAGACGGGTAGATGGATGGATGGATGGATGGATGGATGGATGGATGGATAGATAGATAGACGGGTAGATAGATGGATGGATGGATGGATGGATGGATGGATGGATGGATGGATGGATGGATGGATGGATAGATAGACGGGTAGATGGATGGATGGATGGATGGATGGATAGACGGGTAGATGGATGGATGGATGGATGGATGGATGGATAGATAGACGGGTAGATGGATGGATGGATGGATGGATGGATGGATAGACGGGTAGATGGATGGATGGATGGATGGATGGATGGATGGATGGATGGATGGATGGATAGATAGACGGGTAGATGGATTGATGGATGGATGGATGGATAGACGGGTAGATGGATGGATGGATGGATAGATAGACGGGTAGATGGATGGATGGATGGATGGATGGATGGATGGATAGATAGACGGGTAGATGATGGATGGATGGATGGATGGATGGATGGATAGATAGACGGGTAGATGGATTGATGGATGGATGGATGGATGGATTGACGGGTAGATAGATGGATTGATGGATGGATGGATGGATAGACGGGTAGATGGATGGATGGATGGATGGATAGACGGGTAGATGGATTGATGGATGGATGGATAGACGGGTAGATGGATGGATGGATGGATGGATGGATGGATAGATAGACGGGTAGATGGATTGATGGATGGATGGATGGATGGATGGATGGATGGATGGATGGATGGATTGACGGGTAGATGGATTGATGGATGGATGGATGGATAGATAGACGGGTAGATGGATGGATGGATGGATGGATGGATGGATGGATGGATGGATGGATAGATAGAGAGATAGATAGATAGATAGATAAATAGTAAAATAACACAGTAAACAAAGAATCCTCAAACACATTTGCACAACATTGTGAAGTGAACATTGAGAGCATTAGCACTCATTGGCTGATATGTGTGTGTGTGTGTGTGTGTGTGTTTCTCTCAGAGGAGTTACAGTGTGTCGGGGACGAGCAGGAGATCCTCTCATCAGTCTGATCAACACTACAGGTGCATTACTGAAGATGCCATGCACACACACACACACACACACACCTCACAACATCTTTAACTTAACATAGAACAGAACAAATACCTTAAAGTATGGACTTACAGAAACAAGAATCTCATGAATCTGTGTTTGAATCTGGTGTTGATATGTGGATGTGTCTCTACAGGTGTGAGCGGAGGCTTCGGACGCTGTCTGTGGGTTCGGGCGGTTGTGAGGGTCACTGGGACAGACAACAGTATCAGCATGCGTTGTGTGAAGGAGTCGAGGGTCCCGACTGCGGTTCTGACTCGCCCTGGCTGATCCAACACACACACACACACACAGACGCAGATTCAGACAACTGGTCCCTTTACACCGCAGACTCACAGGACGACACACAACAGAACACCGGATGCAGGACCTACAGTCGCACGGGTAAAACCACTATGTGGTTGCTATGCAACTCTGGATGGTTGCTATGTGTTGCTAGGCAACTCTGGATGAATGCTATGTGGTCGCTAGGCAACTCTGGATGGTTTCTAGGTGGTTGCTTGGCAACTCTGGATGGTTGCTAGGCAAATCTGTATGGTTTCTATAAGTGGTTGCTAGGTTGTGTAATGTCTGATAAGTCAGTGTGTGTGTGCATTGTTCTCAACAGGTCAGGATCTGTCGGGGCTTCACTGGTGTGTGAGCAGACGCAGGGAATCGATGGTGTGTTCAGAGCGTCTGCGGCTGAAAGCTGCTCTATTCTGTGTGTTTATTTACCTGGACACGCGTTCCCTGCTCACCGTCGCTGAGGTGTGTGTGTGTGTGTATGTTGAGAATATGAAGTTAAATGTTGTTGTGCGTACTTTAATGATTATTATCAAGTGTGTGTGTGTGTGTTTGTGTGTGTGTGTTTCAGGTGTGTAAGGACTGGCGCAGCGTCGCGCGCCATCCTGCTGTTTGGACCAGAGTAACACTTGAGAACGCACGTGTGTCATCAAAGGCAAGACAAGACACACACTCACTCACACACACACTCACACACACACTCACACACACACACACACACACTCACACACACACACTCACTCATACACTCACACACACACACACACACACACTCACAGAGAGAAAACGGCAGAAACCTAAAAACACAAAATTCACTCAAAATAAATTTAATCAAAAATATGTAGAAGACTATATCAGAAAAATGTCTCAATAACCAAACACTCAAGACGAAACCAGCAATTAAGAACCGCTGAAGGCAGAAACTCAAATCACTCTCACCTGTTCAGAGGGTTATTTCCGTTCAGTATTCCCACTTACAGGCCACAGATAACTACACTGCCAAGACTTCCTCAGCTAACTACAGCTAACTACAGCTAACCAACAGCTAACTACAGCTAACTATGCTAACTACAGCTAACCAACATCTAACTACAGCTAACTACAGCTAACCAACAGCTAACTACAGCTAACCAACAGCTAACTACAGCTAACTATGCTAACTACAGCTAACCAACATCTAACTACAGCTTAACTACAGCTAACCAACAGCTAACTACGCTAACTACAGCTAACCAACATCTAACTACAGCTAACTACAGCTAACCAACATCTAACTACAGCTAACTACAGCTAACCAACAGCTAACTACGCTAACTACAGCTAACCAACAGCTAACTACAGCTAACTACGCTAACTACAGCTAACCAACAGCTAACTACAGCTAACTATGCTAACTACAGCTAACCAACATCTAACTACAGCTAACTACAGCTAACCAACATCTAACTACAGCTAACTACAGCTAACCAACAGCTAACTACAGCTAACTATGCTAACTACAGCTAACCAACAGCTAACTACAGCTAACTACGCTAACTACAGCTAACCAACAGCTAACTACAGCTAACTACGCTAACTACAGCTAACCAACAGCTAACTACAGCTAACAACAGCTAACCTGACATCTAACTACAGCTAACTACGCTAACTACAGCTAACCAACAGCTAACTACAGCTAACTACAACTAACCCAACAGCTAACTACAGCTAACTATGCTAAATACAGCTAACCAACAGCTAACTACAGCTAACCCAACATCTAACTACAGCTAACTACAGCTAACCAAGAGCTAACTACAGCTAACCCTACATCTAACTACAGCTAACTACGCTAACTACAGCTAACCAACAGCTAACTACAGCTAACTACAGCTAAACCAACATCTAACTACAGCTAACTACGCTAACTACAACTAACCAACAGCTAACTACAGCTAACCAACATCTAACTACAGCTAACTACAGCTAACCAACAGCTAACTACAGCTAACCAACATCTAACTACAGCTAACTACAACTAACTACAGCTAACCAACAGCTAACTACAGCTAATTACGCTAACTACAGCTAACCAACAGCTAACCAACAGCTAACTACAGCTAACACATGCCAGCCACTGCTTTAGAGGTCAGCAGAGAGCAAAGGCTTCCTAGGGTAAAGTCATACTAACCAGTGTGTGTGTGTGTGTGTGTGTGTGTGTAGTTCTTGATGACTCTGTCTCAGTGGTGCTGTCAGACTCAGTCTCTTGTTCTTCACAACCTCAAACCTCGATCTCGTGGCAAGAAAGAAAGCAAAGACGAGTACTTACGGAGCACGAGGTAAAACACACATGCTGGGATTTTCAATCTCTCAATCTTTAACCATGTTTATATACTGTAACTGTAACCGATGACATCATGATTTTTGTAAATTAACTAAATTAATAACTTTTTTTTACAACAAAAATGAAACATCACTGAATTTACTTAACTTACACTATTCTCTTCTGGAAACACTGTTGCATTATTTTTCTGTTGACTGGTCTGTGCTGTATCTCTCTGTGTGGAGGGGCGGGCTGGAGGCGGGGCTGGAGGCGGTGCTTAAGTCGGCTGGGCGGAGTCTTGTTTCTCTAAGCATCTCTCATTGCTCCAACATCCTGACGGACAGATCGCTGTGGCTCGTGAGCTGTCACTGTCGAGCGCTGCAGTCTCTCACATACAGGTGACATGACGAATGATGATGATGCGCAAGATTAAAGGGATCGTTCACTCAAACATGTAAATCTGTCAGTAATTACTCTCGTTCATCTTCGGGACACAAATGAAGACATCTGTGATTAAATCTGAGCGCTGGATCACTCCTCCATAGGCTTCTATTGGAATTGAAACTTGCCGGCCCAGAAAGTTATTAAAGACGTCGTTAAAATAGTCCGAGTGACGACAGCGGCTCAACCTTAAGTTTATCAAGCGACGAGATTACTTTACAATGGCGATGTAAAGAACTGTATGCTTAATACGTTCCAACAGCTTACTTGTTCTTTTTCTTTTCTAGAAAGGTGAGAGGCGGCCATCTTTATATTCAAACATTCTCACCGACTGTCAAACTAAAAGTCCCTACAAAATAAAAGATCCTAAATCTAACAAAACGTACCAGCACAGCAATTTAGACGAACCTAAACTCAAAATGGCTCCTACAGTGAGTCTGCGTGTGACGTACACAATTTTAACGACGTCTTTAATAACTTTCTGGGCCGGCAAGTTTCGATTACAATACAAGCCTATGGAGGAGTGATCCAGCTCTCAGATTTAATCAGAAATATCTTAATTTGTGTCCTGAAGATGAACGAAAGTCTTACGGGGTTGAACAACATGAGGGAGAGCCGTTATGTTTGGGTGGTGAACTATCCCTTTAAGTGCCTGACTCGGTGGCACTAAACACTCATATACTACGACTACTACGACTGTTTGCAGAAGCGCGCTGGATCCGGCGGGACAGGAGGTGATCTGGGCTCTGGGAGCGGGATGCCGGGATGTCACAACACTTCGGATCGCTCCTCTGCAGCCGTGGTGAGCATCTCTCTTCATCTGAGCATCGCTTACATCCGATTATATCCATTTCTAGAGCTTCCCAGCACATCTTTGAGCTCCTCCGGTCCGGTTTTAGGGGAAAATCGGGTCTATCGGAGACGTCCATAGACAGAGACACGGTGTAATAATCACTGTTTTCTGGTGACCTACACCAAAAAACTAGTCGAGGATAAATTCTTTAAAATTGGGCAATTCCAGCGTTATGGACGTGAAAACTTGAAATATAAGTTCTCATAAAATGCATTTAATACTGAAACGTCTAGGGCTGTGAAACGATTAATCGCGATTAATCGCATCCAAAATAAAAGTTGTTGTTTACATAATATATGTGTGTTTAGTGTGTATAGTTATTTTATATATATAATGTATATCTTTAAGAAAAATGTGTTATTAATATATCAAATATTTCTATTTATGTATAATATTAATTTTGTATAAATATATACATGCAAATATTTCTTAAATACATACATGCATGTGTGTGTTTTTATATATACAAATAATTATACACACCACACACTCATATATTATATAAACACAAACTTTTTTTTTTTGGATGCGATTAATCGCGATTAATCATTTCAGAGCCCTAGAAACATCCGTTTATATATCCATACCCCCTTAATAAAGGAGTCGAGACATTAGAAAAATATCACTCTACACATTTATACACGTTTTGTATTTATTATGAGGGAAATCGACATGTGATGTGACACAAAATATCTTTAACTTTTAGCCGGTGGCAAAATATTTTTATATTTCTTTGAACTAATGCAAAACAAAATTAGGCTAATATTTGGATGAAGAAGGGTCGGCCTCCACATAACATATAATATTATTTTTCATAATGGGAAAATCTCACAATTAAACTGGGAATTTTAATTTTAAATCTCACAATTAAACTGGGAATTGAGAAAAATATGATATTGCCAGATGAAGTATGGATCATTATCTGTCATATCTCTTTTAACTCCTTTTAAAAGTGTTTTAATTTTCCTTGCTTTTCTGTGTAAAGCACTTTGAATTGCCTTGCCAAGTCACATGATCAGTGAGTTCCCGCCTCTGATTTCTTCAGTCTGCAGCCCAATCGCTTTAGCAACCGATGCTTGCAGACGATTGGACGATGCTGGCCGAACCTGTGTCGGGTGGGAGTGGGCGGGGCTAGCTGTGGCATCCAGGGATTGGCCTCTTTGGGTGAGTGACAGGCATGTTTTATTCACATTAACCTGTCAGCTTTTGTATTGCCTTTTTACCATTACAATTTTGTGTAATCATCTATAATATATTCTATAGCTTTACTATTTTCAAATCTTGACAAACGTATATTGGTCTCAAGGTTTCATAAGTGGCTGCTGTTTTGTGATAGAAGTGATATTGTGACAGAAATGTATTAATTTGTGACAAGAGAGCACAAAAACAATTTTTTTTTTTGTGAAATCAATTTCAAATTTGGGAAATGATTTGTTTGGACATATGGCTTTGTTTTTATAGCAATCTTAGAATCAAAATATATATTTAGTTTAAAAGAAAATAAATGTTTAGTTCACTACATTCGCGTAACTGATCACGTAACTCAAGTGAGTTACACAACGAGTGTGTGTTTGTGTCCACGCAGTGAGGAACTGTGTGAATGTGTGTGTGCTGGAGCTGGATCACATGAACGAGCTGAACCAGGAGGGAGCGGAGGAGATCTGCAGAGACGGCCTCCAGCAGCTTCACACACTCTCCTTCCTCTCCACGCCGGTCACCGCCAAAGCCATACTGCACTTCACAGGTGAGCACTCCCTCACTTTTTTTTTAATCTTCTTAACTGGGGCTTAAACCTAAAAAAAACATCAGGATTTAATTTTTGTCAAGTGTTTTAATTAAAAAAAAAAATTTAAATTATGTAACAATTTTTTAAAATATATTTCGATTTTACATAATGACTTTTTTAATGAAATTTTATATTTTATGATTTAGTGTTTTTTTAATTGTTTTTATTTAAAAATAATGTACTTAAATGTTTGCGTTTTTATTTATTAGTGAATGATTTATTAGTGAGTATTTTATTTTTATTGTTTTATTTAAATATATTTATTTATTTCAATTTTACATTTTATGATTAATGATCATTTGTTTGCTTTTCATCAATCCACAAGCCCCAGAAATAAATTTACATAAAAATGTAAAATTGAAATAAATACTTTTAAAATAAAAACGTATTTTTTTCGCCCTCGCAAGCGATCCCCATTCGCCAGAATCACGTCTCCGGAGGGTTGCCATACGTAACCGAGACGTTATTCACAGACTTGCTCAAATATTGTTGTAATATTTGCATATGAATTCCAGTTGGTCATCTTTCTCACAATTATTTGCATACCGAATTGTGATTGGTCTCTTCTATTTTGTGTGTTGGTTGACATACAGAAATCCTTGTTGTGAGACACGTCTGACGCAGCTGCTCTCTGTCTGTGTGTGTGTTTGAGGTGTGTGTGTCAATCTCAAGTGTGTTATAGTTCAGTTGTGTATCGCTGATTACTTCGAGGATGCTGAAAACGAAGAAGCCAAGAGATTATTTGAGGAGATAGTCAACAACCTACAGGTGAAGTCACTGCCGGAAATACTGTCCTACGAAGTATCTAATACGGCTAAAATAAACACACACATTTGATGGAAATATCAAACACTGCACACACTCACACTTTTAAAAATAAACGTTCTGAAATCGAAGTGTTTGTTGTGTGTATCTGATTGTAATTAAATGTGTTTTACTTGATCAGGCGCTGAGAAAGCGGCCGGGTTTGAGTGACGTCCTGCAGATCAAGGTGGAAAACCCCGACAATCACGTCTGATGCGCTTCTGATCCACTGTGACAATCTTATGCACACATGCACAAAAACACACACACATGCACAAAAACACATATACACACACACACATGCACACCCACACACACATGCACACCCACACACACTATCAAATAAGGCACTTTTGAGCATGGGGATATTTAGCTTTGAGACAGATGCACAATTATAAAGTATATAACTGAACATACTCAGGTCTGTTGATTTTTTTAATAATAAAGTAGTTTTAGGAATATAACCCATTTATATTGTGATAGCGGTTAGTTATAGATGTAATGTTGTAAATAAATGATGTTTTATGAGCACAGTTCGGGAGGAAGATGCTGTACTACACTATCCATGTGAGAGGAGCTCAAACACAGAGCCGAATTACCTCTGATCCACGACAGCTCTTCCTGAGACACGCCAAACACACACTGCCATACACACGCCAAACACACACTGCCATAAACACGCCAAACACACACTGCCATACACACGCCAAACACACACTGCCATACACACGCCAAACACACACTGCCATACACTTGCCAACCACTCGCCAAACACACGGCAAACACATGCCAAACACTCGCCAACCACACACTAAACACATGGCAAACACACTGTAAAAACTCGTCAAACACACACACCAAACATTCGCCAAACACTCGCTAACCACACGCCAAACACGTAAAACACTCGCCAAACACACGGCAAACACCAAACACATGCCGAACACACGGCAAACACTCACTAACCACACGAGAAACACTTGCCAAACACAAAAAACACGCCAAACACTCGCTAATCACACGCTAAACACTCGCCAAACACTCGCTAAGCACACGCCAAACACAAGAAACACTCGCCAAACACACGGCAAACACCAAACACACGCCAAACACTCGCTAACCACACGCCAAACATTCGCCAAACACTCGCCAAACATTCGCCAAACACTCGCCAAACATTCGCCAAAAACGCGCCAAACACTCGCTAACCACTCGCCAAACATTCGCCAAACACGCGCCAAACACTCGCTAACCACACGCCAAACATTCGCCAAACATTCGCCAAACACGAGAAACACTCGCCAAACACACGGCAAACACCAAACACACGCCAAACACTCGCTAACCACACGACAAACATTCGCCAAACACTCGCTAACCACACGCCAAACACGAGATACACTCGCCAAACACACGGCAAACACCAAACACACGGCAAACACGCGCCAAACACTCGCTAACCACACGCCAAACACGAGAAACACTCGCCAAACACACGGCAAGCACCAAACACTCGCTAACCACACGCCAAACATTCGCCAAACACTCGCTAACCACACGCCAAACACGAGAAACACTCGCCAAACACACGGCAAACACACGGCAAACACGCGCCAAACACTTGCTAACCACACGCCAAACATTCGCCAAACACTCGCTAACCACACGCCAAACATTCGCCAAACATTCGCCAAACACGAGAAACACTCGCCAAACACGAGAAACACTCGCCAAACACACGGCAAACACCAAACACACGCCAAACACGCACCAAACACTCGCTAACCACACGACAAACATTCGCCAAACACTCGCTAACCACACGCCAAACACGAGAAACACTCGCCAAACACACGGCAAACACCAAACACATGGCAAACACGCGCCAAACACTCGCTAACCACACGACAAACACGCCAAACACGAGAAACACTCGCCAAACACTCGCTAACCACACGACAAACACGCCAAACACGAGAAACACTCGCCAAACACACGGCAAGCACCAAACACTCGCTAACCACACGCCAAACATTCGCCAAACACTCGCTAACCACACGCCAAACACGAGAAACACTCGCCAAACACACGGCAAACACTCGCCAAACATACGCAAAACAACATTCAACATTCAACATGCACTAAAACCACTAAATCACTTTGTTCATGTCTCAGATCAACACAATCTTCAGCAAAGGTTGACAGCCAACACACACACTTTTACACCCACAAAACAATGACAACAGGAAACTTTATACAATGTTTTCGTCTGTAAAACGAACACCCCTCTACTGTTTAGAATTCACTGCAACATACGTTACTAAAATAAAAGACATGATGCATTATGCTTCAATACTTTATATATTGTATGTTTTTGCAGTAATTCCAATGTACAAACAACACCATCCACTGACTCAACAGGAATCAGCTGCGCTCGGTCCAATCGTCCAATTGTTTTTATACCATTTATTTTTTAGATTCGAAATATATTTCATTACAATATTACTGTAGAAATGTGGCAAAATGCTGTCTTATTTTGAGCTTAAGTTTTGAAAACAGTGTGTAAAGCATGTGTAAATTAGCCTTAGTTTAGCCCACATATACGTCTGTTGTGCTCAATGTGAAGAGTTTTGAAAAAGTGACCAAAGTTTTGAGAAATGTGTCCTAGCGACTGTAAAAAGCTGTAAGCCAGGAATATTTAGAAAGAAGAAAAACTCAAATATGTGAGAAAACCCCAAGAAAAGCCTTGTTTGGCCATTCCTAAATATGAATTTGTTAATGTTGTGTTAATTTTCAAGTATCTGAAGCCTCAATCTAACAAATTGGGGGCTCGTCCGGGATATTTATTAAGAGGAAAAGACCATGCAAAGAGTGAAAAGAGTCTCAGATATGGATTTATTATACCAGATTTATGACTCAGTGCTGATCATAATTTAGACCAAAGCTGTGCTTTATGATGCAAATGATAATCCTAAAAATACCCTGATAATCTGAACAAGACGATCTGACGTGTGAGCGATTGCACTGCCACATTAATAACACACAGATGTTTTTATTCCCTGAGAAACACATACGCTATTTAAATATTCTAAAACCATGGGTGTGTTTATATTTATCCCTCTTTCATGGCACAAAAATGATTAATCATTTCACACTTTTTTCATCTTTTAATTCTGATCTTTGTCACTGGGAAACATTCAAAAAAGAGAGATTTCATATAAATGATGATTTGTTTTTGATTAGCATTAGATGAGCAGAAATAAACGTTCTCATTCTGTGACTGTGTTTGATTAATGAAGTGTGTGTGTTAGAGCTTATTAAACTAGTATTAGTAAGTGAAAGTGAGTTAGGACTAATTAAACAAATGTTGAGACATCAGGTTACCTCATTTAACTAAAACCTTTATGGTGCATTTTCATGTATAATGTACTATGCAGGAACAAATGGAAATGCAAAACAAAGAAATAAAGAAATAAACTTGAGCATTGCCATTTTTAACGTGTTGTCATTTTGGTTACACTTTATTGTTACAGTGTAATTAATAATATTAATAAACTACATGTATTTAATAAGGTTAGGGTTTGGTTGAGGGTTAGTTAGGCATGATTTACTGTTGTTATTATTATGGTAAGTACATGTAACATTGTAAAATAAATTTTCCACAAAAATTGGTAGTACATTTCACAGTTAATTACAAAGAATTGAATTGAAATGAAGTATAAAGAATGAAGTATTTTCTTGTAAAACCTACTTCAGTAATCTTTATGTTTTAAATAAATGCAGTTTTAACGACTGGTTAAAAACAAGGCTCGAAATGCCAGGAGTGTAACGTGTCTGAAGTGTGTGTAGTGTGTGAGAATGTGTTTGTGGTAGTGCACATCTGGGCTGAGTTATTTTAATTTTAGCGTAAAAGTGTGACCAGCGCTAGTCTGCCCTCTGGTGGACGATTAATCAATCATTCTCTCTGATACAGTCTTGCAGTTTATTTGTCTCAAATAAGAATATAAAAATAGATCTGTGCTTTCATGTTTTAAAAACAGAAATGTCAAACATCACATAATTGTTTTTCTGATGAGTATGACCCACTTTTACAGTATTGTCAGACGGCATTAAGACCGCGCGGAAGAGTCTGATGCGCGCGCCACACGCTCACCTGCGGCGGGGTGTCGCGCGCTGAGGTGGAGAAACGGGCTGCGCGCTCCCGTGTCCGGCCATGCTGCCCGGTTACAGCGGGGCGCGCGCCTAAAAACCGCACACACACACACCGCTCTCGGTTCAGGGCGGATCGGGATTTTTTGTCACAGTGATCCCGCTTGAACAGGATTTTCCTGTTTATCCTGGTTTTTGTCGTCCGAGCTTGTTATTCTCCAGCAGAATTATCTGGAATATTTCCCATCCTCTAATCGAAACGCCGTTTGAACGCGGAAAAAAACGCCGGTCTGCTTTTGTGCTGATGTAAATGATGCTCGTGCGCCCGGTAAACGCGCAGCGGGGAGAGCGGCGCGTCCGCTCGAGCTGATGACAATAGCGGACTTTAACGATATAAACGCGAAGGATACAAACAGAACCTTTGGGAAAAGTCGGGAAACATGTCTCTCAGCAGAAGCATCGAGCTCGAGCACTTTGACGAGCGGGACAAGGCGCACCGCTCCAAACGCGCGGTGGTTTCGGGCGGCTCGGGTTCGCGCGCGAGCAGTCTGGTACCGAGTCCCGCGCACAGCGCGAACTGCAGCTTCTACCGCACGCGCACGCTCCAGACGCTCAGCTCCGAGAAACGAGCCAAGAAGGTTCGGTTCTACCGGAATGGAGACCGGTATTTCAAGGGTCTGGTGTACGCGGTGTCCAATGACCGCTTCAGATCAATGGACGCGCTCCTGGCCGAGCTGACGCGCGCGCTCACGGATAACCTGCACCTGCCGCAAGGTGTGCGCAACATCTACAGCGCGGACGGCGCGAGGAAGATCGTGAGCCTGGAGGAGCTGGTGGAAGGTCAGATAATAACGGGGATATTAGCGTGTTGCGGGCCGGAAGGGTCACTGTGAGTTATTATGACCATATAAGGGCTGAACGGTTGCAGGTTCGAATCCCCGCAATGGTCCATATCGGCTCAATGCTCTTCATCTGTCACAGGCTATTACAAACGGGTGTAGTGAAATGGTTAAATCTCTCTCTCCCTCTCTCTCTCTATAGCCTAGGCTATATATATATATGCCTACATTAATAATTTGTTATAGAGTATTGATAAACATAATATCGTCTAATATTATAAATAGGCCTATATATCAACATTACAAATTATAAATTGCAAATATATAAAATTTTATAATATATATATACACCGTAATAAACGGATTATGTAATATTTATAACATTATGCAGTATTATTTATTATTATTTTCTGTGCTATATTATATTAATTTTAAAATGTAGAATTTTAGTGTAAATTCACAAATGCAAAAATGAAATGTTCATGGCATGGAAAATTAGTTCATTTTAACGGTACCTAAACAGCCATAGCCTACTTTTTTAATGCAAAACACAATATAATATAGTGTGTGTGTGTGTGTGTGTGTGTTTTCTCCTGAGCGCTTGTTGATCAGCTGATCGTCAGTGAGTGAGTGGATGTCAGTGACTTAGATCATTAATCAGTGAACGTCACAGTCTGATAGATCAGTCATTAGAGAGTCTCATCACACACACACACACACACACACACACACACACACACACACACACGATCAATACCAGCAAGCTCTCCAACTCGTGCACTTAACGCCGGTTAACAGATTTGAGTGAGCTCGTCCATCAGTCACACACACACACACACACACACACATCAACAGCGCGTGCACGTGTCCCGTTAAACCGTTATTGAAGCATTAGTTTGCCTTTATAAAGATGTTTCTGCTGTCAGGGCTTCGAGTATTTTGCACAATCGGCAGTCTAAAGTTTTCTAAAGATGAAGGTTTGTGTTGTAATCATCTTCATGCATCATCATCATGTGGATGTTCAAATATCGATGTTAAATGCACACCGGTTTGCGATAATTACCGTTTTTAATTCAAACAATTGTATTAAAATTGACCAAAAATACAGTAAAAATGTGAAATATTTTTACAATTTAAAATATCAGTTCTCTATGTGAATATACAGTAAAGTGTAATTTATTCCTGTGATCAAAGCTGAATTTATCATCAGTCTTCAGTGTCACATGATCCTTCACAAATCACTCTAATATGGGGATCTGATGATCAACAAACATAAACATCATCAAACATCAACATATTATCAATATTAAATGTGTTACCATTCAAAAGTTTAGGCTTTAGGAAACATTATGAAATTAAAGGTGCATTAAGCGATTTCTGAGAATCCTCATATTAGAGTGATTTGTGAAGGGTCATGTGACACTGAAGACTGGAGTAATGATGATAAATTCAGCTTTGATCACAGGAATAAATTACACTTTACTGTATACTTAGAAAACAGTTATTTTAAATTGTAAAAATATATTTCACATTTTTACTGTATTTTTGATTAAATAAATGCATCTTTGGTGAGCAGAAGAGACTCTTTCACAGGAGTTTAACAGTGACTGGAGCTGGAGAATCACAGATGAACATCTGGAGTGTTTGACCTTGAGCTGATGTTTGAATCAGCAGAAACAGAGACTGAGCTGAAAATAAGGGGACTTTCAGTCTGTGGCGTCAGTACAGACACACACACATGCACATTCACACCTGGCACATAATGATGCTGATTTGACCCCCAGGGTCATGTTGCCATGGTGATCAGGGGTCATATGACCAGCTGCCAGCAGGAGCATCCATCACTGCATCAGCATTTTCACATCCAGGGAATAAAGTCTAACACATGGTTTGGGGATGGTGGTCCAACTCTGTTTTTGTAACCATGGAAACCACTTAGAAATGGCCTAGCAACCATAAAGCAATTTTCATTTCAACTTTCTATATCAGAGTTTCCCAAACTGGGGTTGGTGAGTTTGTGAAAATCTTTAATTCGTTAAAAAAAATTAACAAATTAAAAGTAAAAGTAAAATTAATAATGAAATGAAACATAAAATTAATTGTTTTTAAAATGTAAAATTAAAAATGATTTTCGAACAAAACAAATGTAAGTTGAATTTTTTTTCCTACCACAGGGGAGAGCTACGTGTGCGCCTCGAACGAGCCCTTCAGGAAGGTGGACTACACCAAGAACGTCAACCCCAACTGGGGGTCGAGGGGGGCGGGGCCAGTGGGCGGAGCCTCTCGCCTCGGGCCTCCTCGCGCAGCGGGGGAATCTAAAGACTTCATCAAACCCAAACTGGTGACGGTGATCCGGAGCGGCGTGAAGCCGAGGAAGGCCGTGAGGATCCTCCTGAACAAGAAGACGGCGCACTCGTTCGACCAGGTGCTCGCTGACATCACCGAGGCCATCAAACTGGACTCAGGGGTGGTGAAGAGACTCTACACGCTGGACGGCAAACAGGTACAAAACACACCTCCAGATCACTGCAGGGCGGAAAACAGTTCGTTTAACACACAAAGATAAAAGCTGGAACACTTCTGTTATCAGTAAAGCCGTTCAGTCAGTTATTATATGAAGTCAAACCGATTATTCGCATCGAACAAATGTTTGTTAGTGTGTGTATGTATATATCGATAGCCCCGCCCCTTTGCAGCACTGCGCTCGTTGTCTTTTGACTTCCGGTCTGTATTTCCAAACTTTTATGTTCAGTGTGATTAATCGCGATTAATCGATTTGACAGGATTATTATATACTTGTAACTGTGTATTTTTTTTTCTCGTTGTATTTTCAAGTGCCTTGAAAAGCTGCTTTTCATTATAATATTATTATTTTGAATTTGCTTTAATACTTTCTTTTTAACTGAATTAGGGTTTATTTTCATTTTGTTGTATTTTTTTTACGAGTTAAATAAATTGAATTAAAAACGAGTTAAATGAAGTGAAATTAATAATGAAACGAAACATAAAAATGCAAAGGTAAAATTCATTGTTTTCAAACAAAACAAAAATGTAAAATAAAAAATTATTTTCGAACAAAACGAATGTAAGTTGAATTAGTTTTTATAATAAAACATGAAAATGTGAGATAAAATACACACGGTTTTAAAATAAAACTTATTTAAAATAAAACATAGTATTTATATTAAACTATTTTAATAAAATATAGTACTTTATAATAAATCAAAAAAATATAAAGTTGAAGTAAATAATTTGAAAAAATGTAAAATTGAAATGATTTAAAAACAAAACCAATTTAAATTTTAAAATAATTTTACAATAAAACATTAAAATGTGAGATTAAATAATATCAAAATGATAAAAAAAAAAACTTTTCTATTTTTTTTGTTGCTATGTAGCTTTATGGTAGATTTTTTTCAATTTTAGTAATTTAATTACTTCAACATTTCATTTTTATTATATATACAGAAGAGATTTCAGAGATGTAAACTGATTTTCAACTAAAAAAGGGTAAAAATTATGCGTTTTAGCTGTTTTGTGGGTCTGAAAATCCAAACTTTCACGTTTTTGAAACGGATACCATCATCGTCTCCGTGTAAAACTACACAAGCATGAATCTGAAGAAACAGGGACGTCACATGAGTCTTAAGGACACCAATATTGACTACAGGGGACTTTAAAACAACCAAAATATTTAAAGGGCCAGTTCACCCAGAAATGATCTTTCTGTCATCATATTTAAAAATGTGATATATTTGTCTCATATTTTGATGGTTTAATTGAACTAGTTGGGTCATTAACAACAAATATCCCCTTTAGACATCATATTTGGCCATTTCTATATATTATTATTTGTTTTATATATTATTATACATTTAAAATATTATTTTTCCTTATCTTACCATTTATCAACTATTAATGTGTTTAATGCTTGTATTTGTGTATAAAGTATGTGATGAATCTTAATATTTCAGTGTGACTCAGAAAATAGTGCACTGTCAATCTTTCATCACATGCATGAAAAGCGTAAACACTGCGTTAGGACATAAGCGTGATTTATGCCGACAGAAAGCGGTCAGTCAGATGTGTGTGTGTGTGTGTGTGTGTGTGAGACAGCTGATGGAGGATGAATAATGAATGAGACTTTAAAAGGGAGACGTTCTCTAAATTATGTCTGGATGAATGTCTCTCTCTCTCTCTACAATAACTGTATGTCGATCGTCCAGGACGTCCTGTCTCTGACTCTCTGTTTCTGCACTGATACTCACAGTAAATGACACTGTGTGTGTGTGTGTGTGAGACTCGTCTGGTTACCATGGTCACCTGGTTTCCCCCTGAGTGAACTCAGTTGGGTTCATCTGTATGCCGAGCGCCTCTCACTGCAGAGACGAGGGCTTTTCCGACCGAATGTGTGTGTGTGTGTGTGTGTGTTCATGATTTGGGTTTAACATGAGTGACATATATTATATAGTAATATTAGCCAGATTTGAAGCCACTTCCAGATCTGTGTTATTTTAGTATTATTCAATTATTTATTAATATTTAGATTTAGCTTTAATTTTCATATTTTCAGTTTTATTTTTATTTTGTCCGTTTAAATATTTTTCTTTATTATCTGTGCTTTTGTTATTTTTTGTTTTTATATTTGTATTTCACTCACATTCACACACACACACACACACACACACACACTCCCTCTCTCTCTCGCTCTCTCTCTCTCTCACACACTCTCTATCTCTCTCAAACACACACACACACACTCCCTCTCTCTCTCGCTCCGTCTCTCTCACACACTCTCTATCTCTCTCAAACACACACACACACACACACACGCACTCCCTCTCTCTCTCGCTCCGTCTCTCTCACACACACACACACACACACACTCCTCTCTCTCTCACACACACAAACACACGCACTCCCTCTCTCTCTCGCTCCGTCTCTCTCACACACTCTCTATCTCTCTCAAACACACACACACACACACACACGCACTCCCTCTCTCTCTCGCTCCGTCTCTCTCACACACACACACACACACACACACACACACACACTCCCTCTCTCTCTCACACACACACACACACACACACACGCACTCCCTCTCTCTCTCACACACACAAACACACGCACTCCCTCTCTCTCTCACACACACACACACGCACACACACTCCCTCTCTCTCTCACACACACACAAACACACGCACTCCCTCTCTCTCTCACACACACGCACACACACTCCTCTCTCTCTCACACACACACACACACACACACGCACTCCCTCTCTCTCTCACACACACACACACGCACACACACTCCCTCTCTCTCTCTCTCACACACACACACACGCACTCCCTCTCTCTCTCGCTCCCTCTCTCTCTCTCACACACACACACACACACACACACACTCTCTCTATCTCTCTCAAACACACACACACACACGCACTCCCTCTCTCTCTCACACACACACACACGCACTCCCTCTCTCTCTCACACACACACTCTCTATCTCTCTCACTCCCTCTCTCACTCTCTCTCTCACACATACACAAACACACACTCCCTCTCTCTCTCGCTCTCTCTCTCTCACACACTCTCTATCTCTCTCAAACACACACACACACACACGCACTCCCTCTCTCTCTCGCTCCGTCTCTCTCACACACACACACACACACACACACACTCCCTCTCTCTCTCACACACACAAACACACGCACTCCCTCTCTCTCTCGCTCCGTCTCTCTCACACACTCTCTATCTCTCTCAAACACACACACACACACACACACGCACTCCCTCTCTCTCTCGCTCCGTCTCTCTCACACACACACACACACACACACACACACTCCCTCTCTCTCTCACACACACACACACACACACACACGCACTCCCTCTCTCTCTCACACACACACACACGCACACACACTCCCTCTCTCTCTCACACACACACAAACACACGCACTCCCTCTCTCTCTCACACACACGCACACACACTCCCTCTCTCTCTCACACACACACACACACACACACGCACTCCCTCTCTCTCTCACACACACACACACGCACACACACTCCCTCTCTCTCTCACACACACAAACACACGCACTCCCTCTCTCTCTCACACACACACACACGCACTCCCTCTCTCTCTCACACACACACACACGCACACACACTCCCTCTCTCTCTCACACACACAAACACACGCACTCCCTCTCTCTCTCACACACACACACACGCACTCCCTCTCTCTCTCACACACACACACACGCACACACACTCCCTCTCTCTCTCACACACACACACACGCACTCTCTATCTCTCTCACTCCCTCTCTCACTCTCTCTCTCACACATACACAAACACACACTCCCTCTCTCTCTCGCTCTCTCTCTCTCACACACTCTCTATCTCTCTCAAACACACACACACACACGCACTCCCTCTCTCTCTCGCTCCCTCTCTCTCTCTCACACACACACACACACACACACACACTCTCTCTATCTCTCTCAAACACACACACACACACGCACTCCCTCTCTCTCTCGCTCTCTCTCTCTCACACACTCTCTATCTCTCTCAAACACACACACACACACGCACTCCCTCTCTCTCTCGCTCCCTCTCTCTCTCTCACACACACACACACACACACACACACACACGCACTCCCTCTCTCTCTCACACACACACTCTCTATCTCTCTCACTCCCTCTCTCACACATACACAAACACACACACACACTCTCTCTCTGTCTCTCACACACACACACACGCACTCCCTCTCTCTCACACAATCTCTCTGTCTCTCAAACACACACACACACACACACACACACTCTCTCTATCTGTCTCAAACACACACACAGACACTCAGTTATCAATAATAAGTTTAACAACAACGAATGCTCTAAATCTACGAGTGTTTTCAGTTGTTTATATCCGACTCTGAGTCAGAGCAACATCTTAGTTTTTTTGTTTTTCAGCAGTTCTGTTGTACATTTGCTATATATAATCTCTCTCTCTCTCCCTGTAGTTGACGAGTCTGCAGGATTTCTTCGGTGACGATGACGTCTTCATGGCGTGCGGTTTGGAGAAGTTCCGCTACGCTCAGGACGACGCCGCTATCGGACACGCGGGGAAGGCCGTCGCGGCCGCCTTCGTTAACGGTGAGATTTACAGCAGATATGAGTGACGGACAGCTGTCTAATACAACGTTCACACACACACACAGTCTAACACACACACTGTTTCTCAGAGTGCAAGAAATCTCGACCGCCGGTTCCTCCGAAGACAGCAGGAACCAAGAGCCCCGGGGTCCCGCGCTCCAAATCACCTTTATCTGGTAACTTACACACACACACACACACACACACACACACGTCTGGTTCACTATCTTTGTGGGGACTCTCCATAGACATAATGTTTTTTGCTACTGTACAAACTGTCTAACCCCCTTACGCACTCATCACACACACACACAAATAAAGAAAAAAACTCACACACACACACACACACATTAAACACACTGGATACTCATGCGTTTTGATGGAGATTCTGCTCATGGTTTTTCAGCCAATGAGGCTCCGAGAAGCGGGTCTCCGCCGATGAGGTCATCAAAGTCTCCCGACAGCCGTAAAGTGAGTGAGCGACTGAAAGCTGTTCACACACACTCTCTCTACATTTGTGTTTGACACGATCTCTCTTCCTCAGACGTCCATGCATGAGGCGTCTCCGTCCCCGACAGCCTCCAGTGTCCTCAATGATGAAGAAGAGCACACTCCGGAGGGTAAAATACACACACACACACACACACACACACACTCACTCACTCACTCACTCACTCTCATGTACTCACTCTCTCACTCACTTAAATCGCCACAATATTCACTATTTTATATCTCTCGGCCCTACAGTAGCTCCGCCCACAGTGAAATCTCATTGGTCCAAAATCCCACTCAACTGCATGTGAAACACCAGGGGCACGTTCTGATTGGCTGTTGATTTTCACACACACTCTCTCTCTGCAGTGAACGGCAATGATGTTCAGTCGTCGGTCATCAGTGAGAAATACAAAGTGGGGAAAGTCATCGGCGATGGAAACTTCGCTGTCGTCCGAGAGTGTGTGGAGAGGTACACACACACACACACACACACACACACACGTACAGAACTGATGTATTTATCAGCTCTGTATATTTACATCTCATGTCGTTGGTGTTTGTCAGGTCTACAGGACAGGAATATGCGCTGAAGATCATAGACAAGGCCAAATGCAGCGGAAAGGTACGTTTCACTTCTCAAAGAGTAAAATGGCTCTTAATTAAAGCGTGACCTCATCAGCAAATCTGTCCCCTATATTCATGTTATTGAGGCTATACGTCTTTATTCATCCGGATACGTTTGAGCCTTCGTCCACACAGGCGTTTCTAACGCTGAATTCGCCGTGTTGCGTATGCGTAAAAGTTCACTGAGATGATACAGAGAAATAAATAATAAAGTTATCGCGCAATTACGGAGGCGTATTGCATTCACTTGAAGAAAAAAAATCTACTCTGTTTTTCTGAATTAACGAGTTAATGTTTCATGAGAAAAAAAAAGTTTTTGCTCTGTTTTTCTGAATTAATGAGTTGATTTTTCATGAGAAAAAAAAAGTTTTTGCTCTGTTTTTCTGAATTAACGAGTTAATTTTTCATGAGAAAAAAAAAGTTTTTGCTCTGTTTTTCTGAATTAACGAGTTAATTTTTCAATAGAGAAAAAAAAAATTGCTCTGTTTTTCTGAATTAATGAGTTAATTTTTCATGAGAAAAAAAAAGTTTTTGCTCTGTTTTTCTGAATTAACAAGTTAATTTTTCAATAGAGAAAAAAAAAATTGCTCTGTTTTTCTGAATTAACGAGTTAATTTTTCATGAGAAAAAAAAAGTTTTTGCTCTGTTTTTCTGAATTAACGAGTTAATTTTTCAATAGAGAAAAAAAAAATTGCTCTGTTTTTCTGAATTAATGAGTTAATTTTTCATGAGAAAAAAAAAGTTTTTGCTCTGTTTTTCTGAATTAACGAGTTAATTTTTCAATAGAGAAAAAAAAATTGCTCTGTTTTTCTGAATTAATGAGTTAATTTTTCATGAGAAAAAAAAAAGTTTTTGCTCTGTTTTTCTAAATTAATGAGTTAATTTTTCATGAGAAAAAAAAAGTTTTTGCTCTGTTTTTCTGAATTAATGAGTTAATTTTTCATGAGAAAAAAAAAGTTTTTGCTCTGATTTTCTGAATTAACGAGTTAATTTTTCAATAGAGAAAAAAAATTGCTCTGTTTTTCTGAATTAATGAGTTAATTTTTCATGAGAAAAAAAGTTTTTGCTCTGTTTTTCTGAATTAATGAGTTAACTTTTCATGAGAAAAAAATCTACTCTGTTTTTCTGAATTAATGAGTTAATGGAATTTTTATGGAAAAATTAACTCATTAATTCAGAAAAACAGAGCAAATTTTTTTCTCATGAAAAATTAACTCATTAATTCAGAAAAACAGAGCAAAAACTTTTTTTCTCATGAAAAATTAACTCATTAATTCAGAAAAACAGAGCAATTTTTTTTTCTCATGAAAAATGAACTCGTTAATTCAGAAAAACAGAGCAATTTTTTTTTCTCATGAAAAATTAACTCATTAATTCAGAAAAACAGAGCAATTTTTTTTCTCATGAAAAATGAACTCGTTAATTCAGAAAAACAGAGCATTTTTTTTCTCATGAAAAAATAACTCATTAATTCAGAAAAACAGAGCAAAAAAAATTTTCTCATGAAAAATTAACTCATTAATTCAGAAAAACAGAGTAGATTTTTTTTCTTCAAGTGAATGCAATACGCCTCCGTACGCAATTCCTATTCCTAATTTTATTTAGCTTTCGCAGCCGGGTCGCACTCACTCACCATTATATGTTTGGTCTAAAACGCAACAACTCTCATGTTTTACAGCGTGAACGGCACATAACAGGCACAATACCAGTATAAACATGAATATATATTGGTATTAGAGCCAGACCGATAAAGGATTTTGAAGGCCGATACCGATACAAATATTTGTTGGTTTTAAAATCCTATATTCCGATATATCGGCCGATATTATTATTTTCTATTTCGCGCAACAAAATATTAACAGATTTCCCTAACATTAGTTATGAGTTTTAGCTAAAATAATATGATAATGCGTTTTAAAAAGAAACTTGTTTCTATTGTCACAACAGAACAGAGGAACATCAAAATATATTAAAGTTCTGATAAATTAAATAATAATTAATCCCTACATTGCCTTATAGTTATGTCAGCTTGCTTATCCCTTTACCTGCACTTTTGACAACACTCATGACATCGTCCGTTTTTATTTTAATTTTGAAATATTAAATTTATCGGCTATTATAACTGCCAATATATTTTAGAAAATGCCTAATATCGGCCGATATATCGGTGTGGCTCTAACTGGAATAATATGCGTCACATGACTAAACTTACGTCAGTTTTTAAATACCTTTTTCAAAAAGCATTTTTTTCAGTAATATAAACCCAGTCTCAGAGTGGAGAGAAAAACATTTGTTTTCAAACTAAAACATAAAATATTTTAAAATTATTTAATGAGTGCAGTTTTTACCTGTATCGTCGACGTATGCAAAAATAATGAGGAAGAAGATCATTTTTCTCTAGTTTCTGTTCTGTATAGAGGCTCAGATTACTGGCACGCATGTTCACTCACAACACAACTGTGAAAATCCTCAGCAGAGATTCTGATTGGTTGACTGGTGTTGACAGGAGCACCTGATAGCCAATGAGGTGGCGATACTGCGCAGGGTTCACCACCCCAGCATCATTATGCTAATTGAGGAGTTGGACACGCCCACTGAGCTGTATCTGGTCATGGAGCTGGTAAAGGTGAGTGTGTGTGTGTGTGTGTGTGTAAACTTGCTTGACACCTCAGTGATAAAACACATGGCTGTGAACAAAACGCTAGGGTCATTAATACGTGCGTATGTATTGTTGTGTGTGTTGTGTGTGTTTGGGAAGGGCGGTGACCTGTTCGACGCCATCACTTCCTCCACGAAGTACACGGAGCGAGACGCCAGTGCCATGCTGTTCAACCTGACCGGCGCGCTGAGATACCTGCACCACATGAACATCGTACACAGAGACATCAAACCTGAGAACCTGCTGGTACACACACACACTCACTCACTTGATCGCTCACACACACTTGTTCGATCACTCACATACACACACTCGCTCGTTCGCTCACTTACTCACTCAATCTATCACATACTCACACACTCGCTCTATCGCTTACTCGATCAATCACTCACTCGCTCGATCACTCACTCACTCGATCGATCACTCGCTCGATCGCTCACTCACTCGTTCACACACTTGCTCACTCGATCGCTCACATACTTGCACACACTTGCTCGCTCGCTCACTTACTCACTCGATCGATCACATACTCACACACTCGCTCTATCGCTCACTCGATCAATCACTCACTCTCTCACTCACTCGCTCAATCGCTCACTCACTCACTCACTCACTCGATCACTCACTCTCTCACTCACTCGCTCGATCAATCACTCACTCACACACCTGCTCACTAACTCGCTCAATCACTCACTCACTCACTCACTCACTCACTCACACACACACTCGCTCAATCACTCACTCTCTCACTCACTCACTCACTCACACACTCGATCAATCACTCACTCACTCGCTCGATCAATCACTCACTCACACACTCGCTCAATCACTCACTCTCTCACTCACTCACTCACTCACACACTCGATCAATCACTCACTCACTCACTCGATCAATCACTCACTCACTCGCTCGATCAATCACTCACTCTCTCACTCGATCAATCACTCACTCACTCACTTGCTCGATCACTCACTCACTCGCTCAATCGCTCACTAACTCACTCACTCTCTCACTCACACACACACTCGATCACTCACTCACTCACACACACACACAAACACTCACACACGATCGATCACATACTCACACACTCGCTCTATCGCTCACTCGCTCAATCACTCACTCTCTCACTCACTCACTCACTCACACACTCGATCAATCACTCACTCACTCGCTCGATCAATCACTCACTCACACACTCGCTCAATCACTCACTCTCTCACTCACTCACTCACTCACACACTCGATCAATCACTCACTCACTCACTCGATCAATCACTCACTCACTCGCTCGATCAATCACTCACTCTCTCACTCGATCAATCACTCACTCGCTCGATCAATCACTCACTCACTCACTTGCTCGATCACTCACTCACTCGCTCAATCGCTCACTAACTCACTCACTCTCTCACTCACACACACACTCGATCACTCACTCACTCACACACACACACACAAACACTCACACACGATCGATCACATACTCACACACTCGCTCTATCGCTCACTCGATCAATCACTCACTCTCTCACTCACTCGCTCAATCGCTCACTCACTCACTCGATCAATCACTCACTCACTCACTTGCTCGATCAATCACTCACTCACTCACTCACTCGCTCACTAACTCGCTCAATCACTCACTCTCTCACTCACTCACTCACTCACACACACACTCGCTCAATCACTCACTCTCTCACTCACTCACTCACTCACTCATACACTAGATCAATCACTCACTCACTCGCTCGATCAATCACTCACTCACTCACTCACACACTCACTCACTCGCTCACTAACTCGCTCAATCACTCACTCACTCACTCACTCACTCACTCATACACTCGATCAATCACTCACTCACTCGCTCGATCAATCACTCACTCACTCACTCGCTCACTAACTCGCTAAATCACTCACTCTCTCACTCACTCACTCACTCATACACTCGATCAATCACTCACTCACTCGCTCGATCAATCACTCACTCACTCACTCACACACTCACTCACTCGCTCACTAACTCGATCAATCACTCACTCTCTCACTTACTCGCTCAATCGCTCACTCACTCACTCGATCAATCACTCACTCACTTGCTCGATCAATCACTCACTCACTCACTCACTCGCTCACTAACTCGCTCAATCACTCACTCTCTCACTCACTCACTCACTCACACACACACTCGCTCAATCACTCACTCTCTCACTCACTCACTCACTCATACACTCGATCAATCACTCACTCACTCGCTCGATCAATCACTCACTCACACACTCACACACTCGATCAATCACTCACTCACTCACTCGATCAATCACTCTCTCACTCACTCACTCACTCACTCATACACTCGATCAATCACTCACTCACACACTCGATCAATCACTCACTCACTCACTCGATCAATCACTCACTCACTCGATCAATCACTCACTCACTCACTTGCTCGATCACTCACTCGCTCAATCGCTCACTAACTCACTCACTCTCTCACTCACACACACACTCGATCACTCACTCACTCACACACACACAAACACTCACACACACTCACTCACTCACACTCACAGACACACTCACTCACTCACTCACTCACTCTGTGTGTGTGTAGGTGTGTGAGTACCCTGACGGCACTAAGTCTCTGAAGTTGGGTGATTTCGGGCTGGCTACAGTGGTGGAGGGGCCGCTACACACCGTCTGTGGGACGCCGACGTACGTCGCCCCGGAGATCATCGCAGAGAGCGGGTAAAACTCTGCAACACACACTTACACACTGAAACGGTGGACAAAGTGAAGTGAGTTTCTGCCAATAGAGTCAGAAAAATAAACATGCTTTCTTTTGTATTTCATTTATTTTTCTGCAGAACTCATAAACTCACCTCATTTTGACACATTCAGAAAACGAGAGTTAACATTTGATCCTCCAGTAGATAAATCTTGATTTAATAATGTTTAGATATCGCTACTGGAAAACAAGACAAACTCTTTACTTACTAAGACAAACATTATACTTTTTATTAGTAGTTTTAATTTATTTTTGTATATTTTCCATTTTCATTTTGGTGAAAGTTCCACCGAGTGAAACGCTTCTGGAACAAGAACAAATGTGGGCGGGGCCTGATTTAGTCTGTGGGGAATTGATTGGATGGTTGTGGTTTGCTATTGGTGGATCTTATTTTAGTGACAGGTTGCCCCGCCCTCATATATACCTGTGTGTGAGTGTATGTGTGTTTGTGAGTGTTTACTTGTCGCAGTTCCGACTTTATTTCTCACGAATCCTATACTTCCTGTGATTCTGACTCTTTCTCGCCATTGCGAATTTATCTCACAATTCTGACTTTATTTCACACAATTGTGAGATCAAGTCAGAAACCTGTTCATTTCTCTTTATCCGAGAGCGGTGAAGCTTTCGGTTCATGTCTGAACATCTCCCAACGAAACATGCCATAAGCACCGCAAACTCAGCACTAGTTCCTCCAACTCGACGTGGAGTTTGATTCGCTGGTGAAAGTGTGTGTGTGTGTGTGTTTGTCAGGTACGGGCTGAAGGTGGACATCTGGGCGGCGGGTGTGATCTCCTATATTCTGCTGTGTGGGTTTCCTCCGTTCCGCAGCGAGAGGAACCAGCAGGAGGAGCTGTTCCAGCAGATCTTACTGGGCCGACTGGAGTTCCCCTCCCCGTACTGGGACAACATCAGTGCCTCTGCTAAGGTCTGCGCACACACACACTAGAGCCAGACCGATATTAGACATTTTCCAAACTATCGGTATCGGCAGTTATAATGGCCGATAAATGAATATTTAAAAAAATAACATAAAAACAGAAACAGACGAAACACGCTTGAACCATGTCATGAGTGTTGGGAGTTGTATAGTTTGTCCACCAGAGGGCGCTCTACACCGCTCCCGTTGGCAACACTCGTTGAATTGTCCCAGTCTGTTGTCGATTGCTTCTCGACATGAACGAACAACACGAACCAAACTCTCCCAGTCTCAGATACAATATTATACAATACAGAGGGCGGAGCTAAGAGACGCTGTTCAGCCAATCAAGACAAGAGGCGGGGATTATGCAAATTTATCATAAAGCTACGAAAATTAAGCAGAAAGCAAGTCTGTAATTACTGACGACTAGAGCCAGACCGATATATCGGCAGACCGATATTATCGGCCGATATTAGGCATTTTTCAAACTATCGGTATCGGCAGTTATAACGGCCGATAAATGAATATTTCAAAAATAACATAAAAACAGAAACAGACGAAACACGCTTGAACCATGTCATGAGTGTTGGAGTTGTATAGTTTGTCCACCAGAGGGCGCTCTACACCGCTCCCGTTGGCAACACTCGTTGAATTGTTCACGATACATACATTGCTTGAATAACAATTAAAAGATCATCCTCATCAGTTCTCTGAACTCAAATAAGCAGGACAAAATTTGTGACCATCATGTCCAGTTTCAAATAAATAAATAAAATATCGGCCGATATATCGGAATATCGGATTTTAAAACCCGAAAATATTTGTATCGGTATCGGCCGTCAAAATCCTTTATCGGGTCGGGCTCTAGCACACACACACACACATACTATGCTATGGTCTCTGCACACACATATCGACAGCAGTTATTCAGGTTTGGCTGAAGTCTCTTAAATGTGTCGGCTGGAGCTGATTGGCTGATTGGCGTCACATGAGGTCAGGCGAAGCAGCTGATTGGTTAAATGTCTTTTGCAGGATTTAATTGGTAAGATGCTACAAGTGAATGTTGGTGCTCGTTACACAGCTGACCAGGTGCTGGAACACCCGTGGGTGCAGGTGAGGACACACACACACACACTCAAATTCACACACACACACAAAACTGACCCGTTGTCATGAACAGGACGATGCAGTGATGGACATCAACATGGCGTGTGATATGGAAGACAGTGTTGAATCAAAAATAACACACAACAGCACGGTAGCAGAGGCTGAGGTGAAAAGCACACACACACACACAAACTACATCCCATAATTACCTTCAGCTGAAACATTGTGTCTCGTTTCCTCTTTTATAGGTGGTGGATCATCTCCATGGTAACATCACGTCTAAAAGATTGTAGGCTTAACATGTATATTACTGTGTATCAGATACTAACACTGTCGCTTCAATGTTACTGTAAGGAACTTCAAAGAACGGCACAGTAGATCACAGCTGGCAGTAAACTGAGGACGCAGAAGAGGAGAAACCCTGATCAACACCAATAACCTCAACACTGAGACCAGACCAGAACACCTTCTCTGATCATCAATATTAATCATGTTCTAGTGGTAGTGACATGCTGAAACTTCTAACATTAAAGGGAAAACAGGTGAAAAAACACCTCAGAACACCTTAGCAACCGCATAGCAACATGGAATCCATCGCAGTTTGTTTGCGTGCACTAATGTTCTTCAGTCCTATCCGAGTTCACATTCTGAAAGTTCTGTTTATATGCACCTTAAACTTTCCGATACGATTCACATTTTCCTTTACATGTGCGTTTATGTATCCTGAACTAAATTCAGACATTTTTCCTCAGAATTCTAAATTAGAATTTTAGATTTTTTTTCCACAGAAGTTTCTCACAATTCTGACTTTTTCTTGGAATTCTAAATTTACATCTCACAATTAAATTCTTTTTAAATTCACATTTCAGATTTTTCCCCTTATAAGTCTACATTTACATCTCACAGTTCTGACATTTTTTCTTGGAATTATGAATTTACATCTCACAATTTGACTTTTTTCCTTGGAATTCTAAATTTAGACCTCACAATTCAGACTTTTTTCATCAGAATTCTAAATTTACAGTTCACAGTTCGGAATTTTTTCCCCGGAATTCTGAATTTACATTTCACAGTTGAGACTTTTTTCATTGGAATTCTAAAGTTACATTTACATCTCACAGTTCAGACATTTTACCCCGGAATTCTAATTTTACATCTCACAGTTCCAAATTTTTTCCTTGGAATTCTAAATTTACATCTCACAGTTACTATTTCTTCCTCTGGAATTATTAATTTACATTAAACAATTCCAATTTTTTTCTTCGGAATTCTAAATTTACATCTCACAGTTACGATTTTTTTCCTTTGGAATTATAAATTTATCTCACAATTCCAATTTCTTACCCCGTATTTCTAAATTTAAATCTCACAGTTACTATTTCTTGCTCTGGAATTATCAATTTACATCAAACAATTCCAATTTTTTCCTTGGAATTCTAAATTTACATCTCACAGTTCAGACATTTTACCCCGGAATTATAAATTTACATCTCACAGTTACTATTTCTTCCCCTGGAATTATCAATTTACATTAAACAATTCCAATTTTTTTCTTCGGAATTCTAAATTTACATCTCACAGTTACGATTTTTTTCCTTTGGAATTATAAATTTACATCTCACAGTTCCAAATTTTTTCCTTGGAATTCTAAATTTACATCTCACAGTTACATTTTTTTTTCCTCTGGAATTATCCATTTACATCTCACTATTTAATTTTTTTTTCCCTCGTAATTCTAAATTTGCATCTCACAATTCCAATTTTTTCCCTGGGAATTCTAAATTTAGAACTCAGTTCTCAATTCTAGTTGCTTAGTTTTTTCATCTTGATTAGGGTTATTTTATCACCCCTTCCAAGCAGACTGAAATTTTGACATGCAGGATTTTCAGACCGATTACTAACAGATGGTGCATGAAAAAGACATGTTAATTTTCTCCCGTTCTGGTCTGTGTTCGTACGCAGGGCTTCAACTAAACCAGCGACCTCGATTTTTACCGCACTGTTTCCTAGCCGTCTCTCCCTCTCTGTACATACATGTTGATGTTGGCGTCTGATCAGATGCATCATTATCGTCTCATTTCAGACATGTGCATCTTTGTACCTGAAAGCGATTGAGAGTGTGAGACCGTCTGTAGCTAAATCAAAACGATTTATTTGAATTGTATTGGTGGATGTTTCTTTAAATCTGATTTGTGTGATGAAATGTGTTACAAGCCTGATGTAGTTTTATGACTTTGCTTTACACCAAATCTTCAGCCTTCGGTGAATGAGAATGTGTGTGTATGTCCATGAAATGCCTCCTTTTTTAGAAGAATTGTTAATTTAATTTGATCTGAAGTGTCGATCTGAACGATCGCTTGTGGTATCACTGGTATTAACTTTTGTACGGTGGCTGTTCGGGGCCAAGAGCTCCTCATAATTATTCTAATTATGAATTAATTTCATGTTTTGTTTTGTATTGCAACAATACATCATGAGTAGCTGATAAACCCTGAGACGCGAGTCTGTGTTTTATTCCGGCGACTGAAATTAAACCGAACGCTAATAATGTCACGATTTCAAGTGTTAATACCTATTTTTCACCAAAATGTGCCAGAAATAAAATGAGAGATCTGTAGAGCAGTAAAGGTGAGGTCTCGTTTACCTTTGTCCGGTGAGTTTTGATAGATGTTTAGGGGTTCAAGTGTGTAGCGCTGAAACCCTAACTTTGAGTCGTTGTTATATTCATTAAAACAACGTTCAGCTCTTAAAACCTCCAGAGTCCTGAAAGTGTTTCTACAAAGAGAGTCAAACAGATTGAGAAGTAAAAAAGGACAGATGTTCATGTAACGGATGAGTTTAATGTGGGTTAAAACTCTGTAAACAAATTCATACAGCCACACACACACACACACACACACACACACAGACTGGAGTCAGTACAATACAGGAGATCTCCATACACTTCACAAACTAACATCTCGTCACTGACCTTCTTTAAGTGTATTACATCTAAATAAGGCAAAATGTAGAAACGCTCATCAGGCACATGACAGGACAGGGTCAGGGGGTCAGGGGTCAGGGGTCCAGCAACACTTGGATGTAGTTTTTAGGGACGATGCCACGCTTCCCACCGGATTCTCCAACGAACCATTCGGCATCGATCTCCTCCAAATCACACACTAGGTCTCCTGCCTACACACACACACACACACACACACAGATATTTTACAAATGCAGTTGATCTTAGTGTACTTACTGTAAATGATATATGTGTAAATATTATACATTTACAAATATTTAAAAAAATTTTATATACATTTCATTAAATATATTATGTAAGCATTATAAATGAAAATATGTATATTATATTGTAATTATAATATTTCTATTATATATTATACTATTAATATCTTTATTAAATATTTTTACTATAAAAATAATACGATAATAATTTACATATGCATCTTTCATTAAATACATATTAAATTAATGTATTTTATTTAATTATGATTTTTATCACACACACACACATACATAGATACATATATATATTGTAATAATATATAATGTAAACATGGTAAATAAATGTATATTATATAATAAATGTAATATCTTATGTTTTTCATTACTTTATGAATATTATGTAAATATCATTAAATATATTATGTAAACTAATAAATAAAAGTATATATATTATGTAATAATTATTATATTTGTATTATATATAGTAATTGTAGTATTTGACTATAAACATTTTATGTAATTTCAAGAAAACATATTTTTATTTTATATACATTCAATAAAAGCGTATTATTTAAATCTATAAATATTTTTTATAAATAAATAAAATAAATAAATATTTGAAATAAAACCACAACAAATTCCTTGTGTTTGCGCACACTTGGTGATTAAAGCTCATTCGTATTCTGATTTATGTTTAATTAATTAATACAATATTATGCCGAAATATTTAACTTTTCACATGTGAATTTCACATCAGATTCTATGTATTTTCTCAAGATTTTTCTTCAATTTCCTCAGCCAGGTAATCACGATTTATGAAATCCCTTTATATTGTCCATGAGTCTGCAATAGTGAAACACACACACACGCACACACACACACCTTGAGACAGAGCTCGTCCTCACACTCCGGCCTGAACTCATAAAGTGCCCGTCCTCTGCTCCGCCCTCCTGCGGGACAAAACACACCTGCAATCAAATGTTTCCCATTTTTATATATTTGTCATAACTACAGTAATCTATACATAATCTACAGTATAAACATATTAGTGATAATTAGATTTTTGGTAACACTTTACAATAAGGTTCATTATTTAACATAAGTTAATGTATTAACTAACATGAACAAACCAATGTTACTGTATTAGTTAATGTTAGTTCCAGCTGTTCATTGTGTGTTCATGTTAGTTTACAGTGCATTCACTAATATTAACAAATACAACCTTTTTTTTAAATAATGTATTAGTAAATGTTGAAATTAACATTAAGATTAATAAATGCTGTAGTAGTATTGTAAATTCTTAGCTCAAGATAACTTTTTTACAACCTTTTTGTAAAGTGTTGCTGATTTTATATTATCATAAAGGTCTGATTAAGTAGATATTAGAAGCAAATAGTAATAAACCGTTATTAGTTTTTCAGCTTGATTCAGAAGATTTCACTTGCAGTGAATGTATGATTAAAAAAATTGCATTATAGACTGACAATATAGGCCATGACATATACATAATAAATGTTGGCTTTCCATATAGGCCACAGTTTCTGATTGGTCCACGGTTGATCAATATTCAGATGAAGAGTGTTTATTTACCAGGAGATTCCCGAACCGGTTTCCCCGGCGACACATCAGATTCCTCTGTAGGCTGGATGAAACTGAGAGGGAAGATTCCCATTTGTCGGTTGAGAATGCCACGCCCCCACTCCTCATTTGCATATTCCACAAGAGTGATGACATCACCTTCACTGAAAGTCAGCTCCCCCTCCCCCCCCTCAAACGCAAAACGGGCCACAACAAACCTGGACAGACGAAGACAGAAACTGATACGGGTATTGTGCATGCATGTCTTCATTTTTTATATTTAAGATAGCATCAAATGAATGCTTATGCTAATAAGCTGACAATATATATATATAGTTAATTAAATCTTTAATTAAAAAACACAAGACATTATTTTTCATTTTAAATGATAATGTTTTTAATTATGGTTATGTTTCACCTGTTTTGTTGGATCTGCTGCTCTGAGGGCGTGTGTTCCAGCTGAACCCCACTGACCGTCACATCTTGACCTTTGACCTCTGAGGCGCAGAGTGTATTCGACTGTGTTTCTAGGATGTCTGTATCATCGAGGACAATCAGCTGCTCCTCTTCCTGAAGCAAAAGATATTTCAGGATATAAACACACCATTTTCACAATTTGCAAGTGTGTGTGTGTGTGTGTGTGCACTGACATGGGAAGATGTTTCCTCCGATGGTTCCTCTTGCTCTTTGCTGATATTCTCCTCCTCAGTTTCTGCTTGAGGAACTGTGCTCTAGTGCACAAACGCATACACAACATCATATTCACTATAAAGTCTGCTGTTTACACAGGATTTCACAATTCTATTTATTTAAAGACTTTCCTTCTTTAAAATACATTTAAATGAACATACATACATGCATGTAATGTATTTATATATACAAAATATTTATACACAGCACAAACACATTTATTATGTAAACACAAACTTTTATCTTGGATGCGTCTAATCGCGATTCATTTATTTACATTTTGAATTAGCTTTTATTTTTATGTTTTTGGTTTTCATTTTATATCTTAATAATTTTCTTCTTTTGTTATTTCGATTACTTCTTTATGGCTTTAATTTATGTCTTAATTCAAGTGATTTTATTGCTTCAACTTAAACTTATTTCTTTCAGTTAGTTTTTCCATCTAAAATTAAATTTTATTTTATTTCATCTTTAATAAAAACACTGTTTTTCATCTAAAATTAAATGTTATTTTATTTTATCTTTAATAAAAACACTGTTTTTCATCTAAAATTAAATTTTATTTTATTTCATCTTTAATAAAAACACTGTTTTTCCATCTAAAATTAAATTTTATTTTATTTCATCTTTAATAAAAACACTGTTTTCATCTAAAATTAAATTTTATTTTATTTCATCTTTAATAAAAACACTGTTTTTCATCTAAAATTAAATTTTATTTATTTCATCTTTAATAAAAAACACTGTTTTTCCATCTAAAATTAAATTTTATTTTATTTCATCTTTAATAAAAACACTGTTTTTCATCTAAAATTAAATTTTATTTTATTTCATCTTTAATAAAAACACTGTTTTTCATCTAAAATTAAATTTTATTTTATTTCATCTTTAATAAAAACACTGTTTTTCCATCTAAAATTAAATTTTATTTTATTTCATCTTTAATAAAAACACTGTTTTTCATCTAAAATTAAATTTTATTTTATTTCATCTTTAATAAAAACACTGTTTTTCATCTAAAATTAAATTTTATTTTATTACATCTTTAATAAAACACTGTTTTTCATCTAAAATTAAATTTTATTTTATTTCATCTTTAATAAAAACACTGTTTTTCATCTAAAATTAAATTTTATTTTATTTCATCTTTAATATAAACACATAGCGAACAAGAATGACCTGCAGTTCTTCTCAAATCCTCCAGAAACACTCACAGAATAGCGCTTATATAGCGGATGTCCCGGTTTCGGTCGGGGAGGGAGGGGCGGGGCTCTCTTCGGAGTTCTGCTGCTTGGCAGCTGATTGGTCGCAGTGGGGGAGGAGGCGGAGCCTGCAGGTTTGGCCACTTTGACTGGAGGAGGGCGAAGGGGGAGGAGTCTTCCACCACTGGGTCTGAGACACAAACAGAGAGAATGGCAGATGGGACTAAACAAAGCGGACGCCTCATTCTGGAGGAAAAACACGGCGGTACCTCGGGGGCAGAGGAGGAACTGAGGCGTCGGCGGCTCTGGAAACATCCGCAGCAGTCTGAATACACACACATCATCATAAACATCAAACACTTCTGAAATGATCATGTTAATATGGAAACTTCCTGATAAGAGTGGGTTATAAACAAGTATAACATCACCTGTGAGGGGGACGCCATATTCCTGAGCACCGGTGGAGGCGGCCGGGAGTGTTTGGGAACTGATGGACCTGGATTTAAACACATTCAAAATATAATACGCCAATAATATCCACCAGGAAAAAAAGTTGTGTTTACAAGTATCAGGCAGATTAACTTAAGATTTCACAACTTTATGACCTTCACCACATCAAATCTTTGACAGATTTATAACGGGCATTTAAAAATGATGATTGATCATTTTACAAAAATACTATCTTGGTAGTTTTATTCTTTTAACATGCAGATGAAATTGTGCTCTATTGCTAAACCTGTCCCCGTTAACCCTCAGGTGCTCTTCGTTTCGCAGTCACACTTGTTATCTTCCCGGTCAAAAGTGACCGGACACCTAAAAATAGGGGTGTCACGATTTCGATATTAAGTCGAAATCGATCGAAATTAATTCAATGGTATCGAAATCGAAATAAAAAATGGTATCGTCGATACTGCCACGCCCCATGTCGCGTCCGTGATGGAAAGTTCATCGTTTTACTGACTCTATTGTTCAATCTCGTTCATCAAAATTAACTAAACTTTTTTTCTAGTCATTTCAGGGGCTTTAAATGTTATACTATTAAGTTATGTTACTTGTTTTTGTTATATTTTAAATTTGGCAATGGTGTAGTGTACATTGTGAACAAATTTATATTGCATAATGCATAAATGTGTAGTCTAAAAATTGCATAGCAATCTGCGCTTTACATTTTTTTTTTTAAATCGAGAATCGAATCGAATCGTGACCTTAGAATCGATAACTTAATCGAATCGAGGATTTGGAGAATCGTGACACCCCTACCTAAAAATGAAACTTTCTCCATCCCAGTAAAACCAATGCAATTTATTTTAGTTCTATAATATTTATTCTTTTTAATTTAGTATTTTGAGACAACTTAATTGAATTTATTAATATTTATGCAATATTTATGGTTTATTTTTGCCATGGAAAAATATAAATATAGTATTTTTTTCAAAAAAATATGAATGCATTATTTTAGTTTAATATAGAGTCTAGGCCTTCAGAAAAAAAATATATTTTTTGAAAAAAATTAGCACCATCTGGTTACAGTATAGAGAAAAAGCGTAGAATCATGGTGTAACCACTGGAGAGGCATGTGAATTCAACTGTTTATGAACACATTTTTTGTTGTTGTTGTTGTTGATGGTGGATTTGAATATATAGTTGAAACAATCTCAAAAACTATTTCTTATTAAAAAAAATTGACAAAAAACAAAAATTCAATTTTTTTTGTGTTCACATACCCAATGCCATAAAAGTCACCAAGTTTCGTAACATTGCGATGAAGCTGTGATTTTAAAAATTTCAAAACAGAGCACCTGAGGGTTAAATAAAAAAAACAAACAAACAAAAAAAAAAAAAAAAAACGTTCTGTAAACTACAATATTATTGCCATTTTTATCCTAAAAATCCCAAACAGATTTCCCAAGTTACAGGTGAACTAGAGATCCACCATTATACGGGTCACATAAGCACTCACGTTTCCCGACGTTCCTGTCGGCCGGCGTCACAGGCGTCTTCTTGACCGCAGTGTTCACAGCGTGACCTTCTGAGCTCCTCCTCTGAGATGGAGTGGCAGGTCGGGTGGCGGCTGAGGGTTTGGTGGATGAACAGGACTCTGACGGACTCCGGGGTTTGTTCAGAAGTGGTCTGGGTGCTGGTACTGGTGGACTCGGGGCTTTGGATGGGTTCTGCTCAACGGTAGTGTCAAAAACGTCAAAGACGGATGGTTTTGGGGCGAGTTGAGGTTTGGACTTCAGAGTTCTAGGCCGTGGTTGCGGTCTATTTAACGGTTCAGATGTATGTTTCTCATCTTCTACATCACTCGCTTTGCTTTCTCGAGTTTCGTCCGAGCCGAACACGTCCAGCAGGTCCTGCAGGTATTTGCTGGAGATGTTCGACGGGGAGTCGTCGAACCCGGCGAACACGCTGTCGGCCCCATCGTCCTTTAAACGCACTAGCGTCTGAACTTTGACCTCCCTCGTGATTGGCTGGTCTAGAACGACGGGTCGCAGGGCGACCGTGGAGCGAGGTCGAGGTCTGGGACGAGCCCTCGCCTCCTCTTTCATGGGTTCGACTGGGAAATCGAAGTAGGTCTTGGCGGAGGGGGCGGAGCCTATGGGGCTGATGTCACTACGGTCGCTTTGGGTGGAAAAATCGGCGGTGGGGGTGGGGCCTATGGAACTGATGTCACCAATGATGTCATCAAGGTCTCTCAGGGGGGGAAACTTAGTGTTGGGGGCGGGGCCTATGGGGCTGATGTCACCGGTGATGTCATCAAGGTCGCTCTGGGTGGAAAACTTGGTAGTGGGGGCGGGGCCTATAGGGATGATGTCATCGAGGTCGCTCTGGGTGGAAAACTTGGCGGTGGGGGTGGGGCCTATGGAACTGATGTCATCAAGAACGCTCTGGGTGGAAAACTTGCTAGTGGGGGTGGGGCCTATGGAACTGATGTCATCAAGAACGCTCTGGGTGGAAAACTTGCTAGTGGGGGTGGGGCCTATGGAACTGATGTCATCAAGAACGCTCTGGGTGGAAAACTTGCTAGTGGGGGCGGGGCCTATAGGGCTGATGTCACCGGTGATGTCATCGAAGTCCGTCTGAACGCCACACTGCTCGTGTTGAGCGTCTACAGGCTTCGGGTTGGACCGGTCCGGGTCAGACGTGTGTTTGAGAGGCAACGAGGGGCGCGGGGGTTTGGGGGGTTTGTGAACTGCAAGAAAAAGACACATTTTTATAAAACAGAAATACTTTCTGCAAATGCAGCCTGACACCGAGTCTGAACCAGACGCGCTGCGATAAGATTGGCGTGTAGTTAGGACACGGTGTGAAACGAAACCTCACCTGGACGAGCAGCGGAGGATCGTGGGCCGGGGGTGTGTGTGTCCGTCTGAGTGGCGATGGTGCAGGTAGAGAGACGAGAAGATGAAGAGGACGAAGACGAAGAGGGAATATTCTGTTCTCGGCTTTTTTCTCGGATCACTTGCTCATATGAAGGAGGCGGGAGCTGGGGAGGAGGAGCACCAATCAATCAATCAAATAAATAAATAAATGGTGGGTTCTATACACGCAGCCTCAAGCTCCTCCCACCTGCACTGTTGCCGCGGTAGCAGCCCATGTGGACGGAGCTGGGGGCGGGGCTGGGGGAAACGCCCCAGAAGCCCCTGGGAACCACGTATTGGACGGCAGGGGTTCAGCAGAGAGGATGGTGATTTCTGGACGTCTGCGGGACGACAATCAGTAACAAAGTTTATTATATAACATCACCGCTGTACATTAGTCACTCCCTGCTTACTAAAAACAGCTCGTTAAAGGGTTAGTTCACCCAAAAATGAAAATTAGACAAATACAATCTTCTAAATTATATTAAAGGGGGTTGATTGCGATTTCACTTTTTTCATTTTAAATAGTGTAAAAAATGTGTTTTTATTTTTATATTTTCCTTTTTAATTACAGTTAATTGTTTTGTAATTTTATTATGGGTTTTAGTCTTCTTTTTTTATACATTGAGTTTTAGTTATTTTTTTATTTCAGTTTTAGTAAGTACATCAAGTTAAACTTGAGAAAATGAGAAAGTTGCTTTGGCAACTAGATCAAATCAAATTAGGTTAATTATGTTATATTTTGTTTAACTTTATGTTAGTTAATATTTAATTTATTTCAAGTAACAGACATGTTTTAATGGTTTTAGTTAACTATAATAACCATGTTTTGAGAAGACATTTTAATATCCAAAAATATATAAATGCAATGATTTTATACAATCATGAACTTTGCCCATTAATTATTTTGTATATTTATGTATATAGACAATTTTGTTTTTGTTTTTATTCCAAAATCCACCTTAAAATAATATTAGCTTTGTTTAACAATTAACAAAGATTTAACAAATTTAAATATTCAGTTGCGGCATCAATTCCAGCACGATTTTTGCCCCAAATAAATCAACTGTATTTGTTCCCAAAAGTGCCAGCAAAGAGCTTGTGGTCCGATATCAGACGTGATTATTAAAGGAACAGTCAAAATCAAGGCAAAGATCATGTTCGAAAACACCTAAATAAATACACACAGAGAGAAAGAAAAAGCGACTGACCTCCGATCCCGCTGATGGTCACTATGAGAGCTCGTTCTCGATGCTGTGCAGTTTCAACAAAAACACAAGCACAAAAACCAAACTCACATGCAAACATCTTACAAAACATACAAAACACACCAAATCAAGCTGTACAGGACAGAAACACACTACTTACTGCGTTTGATGACAGCTCTGATGGAGGACAGCGGGCCTTGGCTGGGAAAGTGAGAGAAACAGAAGGACTCAGTTTCTTTTTCCATTTATTCAGGAACTGTAGGCCAGTTTTCCAGTTACATGATCCGAAACACGCTTCACAAACACACACCACACCACACCCAAACTGACTTTCATCAAACACACACACACACAGTAAATCCACACATGCAGAAATAAGACAAATTTTGTCACAAAACAAAGCCAAAAATGTGGCGTGTTATTCCTGAACACATGTGCATGAGTTTTGTTTGATGTGACAATCATATTACGCTCTGGAGATTATAGAGGAAGAGAGTTCATCATTTTTCCTGCTGTAAAAGAACAGGTTTTTCCAGTTCTGAGTTGGAGGAACTAGTGCTGAGTTTGCGGTGCTTATCGCATGTTTCGCTGGGAGATGTTCAGACATGAACCGAAAGCTTCACCGCTTTGTGAACAGGTTTCTGACTCGCACAGGCTCAGATCACATTTCACCCCAAATCAGGAAGAAAAAAAAATACTATTTTTATTGGAAACCATTTCCAAAAAAATTCGTTTCCACTTTCGTTTCCACCACGGAATAAAAAATAAAAAGGGTAATTTCGACATTTTATCTCACGATTCTGACTTTGTTTTTCTTGCAATTCTTACATTATATCTCACAATTGTGAAAACGAGTCACAATTACAGGAAATATCATTCGGAATTGCGAGAAAGTCAAAAATGTGAGAAAGACGGAATTGCGAGACACACAGTCGGAATTGTGAGAAATAAAGTCTAAATTGATTGAAATACAGTTGGAAATGTGATGAATAAAGTCTAAGTTGTGATGAATAAAGTCACAATTGCAAGAAATAAAGCCAGAATTGCGAATTGCCTTTTTTTTTAGTGGTGGAAACAAGGTTTCATAATTATGAATGTTTGCATTGTGACAATATTTTTTAAACAATGTAGTGCATTTTTCAATGCAAATTGTAATTATAAAACAAAATAAATCCAGAGTTTTTGGTTTTCTAGTTTTCAGTAATTCTCAATATCTGAATACTGCCATTTAATGTCATTTGAAGACTTAAAACGTACCACATTTTCCCAAAAAATATTAAAGATTTTAAAAATAGGCTTTTTATTTTTTGTATATACAAAATATAATTTCCTCAGCCACTCGTTACACCGATTAAAACTAATCTTTTACACTTTCGTCTTACCTGGAGAGGCGCTGATCCGGTTTGTTTCTGTCTGAATGTTCTGGAAGTGCACACACACACACACACGTCAGAACGCATCATTAAATCACACAGTCTGTGTTTGTGTTCATAAATAACAGTCTTCAACAGTGACAACAACAGATTTAAAGGGCAAGTTCACCCAAGGGCGAGTAAATGATGACAGAAGTTTCAGATTCATGTGAACTTTCCCTTTAAGACACAATCAGTGACAGCAGATTCAAAACCTAATGTTTAGGCCGTTTTGGATAAAAGCGTCTGGCAAATGCATAAACAGAAATGTAAATAAGGTTTACTTATTAACAGTATGGAAATCATTGTATGTAAATTATAATCAAATGACTAATGTTTTGCACCATGAATGTATGTGATAGATTTTCTAGCAGGTATTGGCAATTAACACCCTTAAAAGATTTTGTAAAGATACACACACATACATACATACATACATATATATATATATATATATATATATATATATATATAAACACTAAATATTTCTCAGTCTATCTATTACAGTCGGTTCCTTCACACTGCCAGGAGACTGACATGAACTACAGCGAGAGAAACTCACTGAGCTTTTGTCTAAGAAACCACAGCTGTGATTTACAACAAACCAGAGAGAGAGAGACAGAGAAAGAGAGAGAGAGAGAGAAGCCATGAAACAGAGAAACCATATCATTGCTATAGAGGATATTTATCATCACATGAGGAGCTCAAGTCACATGACTAATGCTTTCTCAGTTAATATATTACATAACAGTAAAAACACTCTCTGTTTAAACTCATAAATATATTTAAATGTGATGAATAGCGAGGGTTGAATCGCACGTCATTCTTGTCATTTCACATCCAGTTGAGAAATTCCCCATAGCAATAAAGTTGAGCTACTAGAGTGAAACTAATATTCATATGTTAGTTTCCACCCAGGACAAAGCAGATTCATATTTCATACAGTAAAGAGGAAACAACATTCAGCCCACAGATTAATAAACCTCATTCATTACACACAAACACACATATATAGCCTATTATACATTAAGTGGATCAAAAAAGTTAGAAAAAGTTGTCCCAAAGGGTATCATGTATATCTTTGATGAAAGGTTTTGATCCACTTCAAATGTTCACTAGGCTATATATATATATGTACATAACACACACACACACACACACACACACACATATATATAAAGCCTATTTAAATATTTGATTATCATGGCGTAATCGACAAACCATGGCATATTCACAGTTTTGTCACGACAGCCCCAATAAAAATGAACTAGAGAAGGGGTGAAAACTTGAATTTATCGAAATAAAAAGAAAAAGAAATGGCACGTAACCTGAAACACACATTTATTTAACCTACAGTTGTGTTGTTTAATCAAAAACTGCCCGCTCTGTATATTTGACAACTGTATTGCTTGTTGCGTTAGGCTATGTTATGACAATGACGATCATTGTTGGTAATGTTTTTCTTTTATATATTTATTCAATCATTTAATTAAAAACGTAAAAACTTTGTTGTCTCGCGCGTACCTGCGCTCCGTCTCGCGCCGCCGGGCTCGCGCATTCGCTCCTCGTCATCGTCAGCTCGAGCCTCCGCCATACCGGGAGAAACACGGTTTATTTACAGTCTAAAACACCAAGACAATGATCTGAACGGCATTCCTCCTCCTCGGAAACTCGCTCCAACTGTGATCAGACTCTGAATCCAGCGGACGGGAGGTTTCTCCTCTCGGATGAGCGTTTAGTTTGATGCTGTCATGTGAAATAGTTTCTGTTTTTCTATGTAAACTCGGACTGGAGTCTCAGGATCTATTGTCAGGACGCACGAGCGTCAACAGGAAGTTCTTCTGTCCCAAGAGAAAGAAAAGGGGGAGGAGCCAAAGACGAACAATCACTCCAAACACAATACATATCTGATGATGATGATAATGATGATGATGATGATTTAGGAGGTGCAACATTCATGATTATACATATTATTATTAGAGAAACTTTGGCAACACTTTACAATAAGGTTCATTAGTTAACTACATTAGTTAGCATGAAGTATAATAGTGAACTGCACTTACCTAACCCTAACCCACACTCATTATATTTACTATTAAACTAATGAAAACTGAACACAAATGGAGGTCTGGAAATGATGATGTATAGCTAGTGATCATGTGATGAACAATAACCGTTATTAATAAGTGGAACTTTCTCAGTTGGTTCAGTTTCTTTGACTCAATAACTCGAGTATAACTTCATTAAAAAATATGTTTATATTTTGGTTTGCCCAAAAATTGAAAATTCTATATATGAAGAGTTTAGATGCAAAAGCCTCTAAGTGCCATTTGAAATTTTCTTCTAGAATGATCATTTTTATCAAGCTTGTATATAAGTTCAGTGATTTCACTTAAATGGCATTGATAATTAACTATTAATTGTTATTTAAGTGAAATTACTGAACTTAAATATACAAGTTTGATAAAAATCATCATTAAAGAAGAAAATTTCAAATGGCATTTAGAGGCTTTTGCATCTGAACTCTTCATATCCTCACCTTACAAAAACCTGTATGATTGTTTGTATTTTGCAGAACATAAAAAGATATTTTGAAGAATGTTGGTAACCAAACTGTTCTGGTCTGTAAATATATATAAATATATAAGTACATGTATAATAAATTCTGTTGAATCAAATACATATTTATTTCTAAAGCTTATGTCTATTTGATGCGTTTCTCATTTAACACAATAATGACTTTAAATTATCTTTTTGGGGATAATTTTTCAGTCAAATTTAATGTGTGATTAATTAGATTCATTGATCACCACATCATGTAATTAATTAAATTTTAAAACTTAATCAACTGACAGCCCTAACTCTAAACAATGCTGCAGTGTTGTTTTAACCCAAATTTGGGTCAAATATGAACAAAGCCAAATGTTGGGTTAAAAATGTAATTTAAAATTTTAACCTAATTGAAACTTTCACTTTCAACTGTGCAAATTTTTAATTACAACATTTGGGTTTGTCCATATTTGACCCAAATTTGGGTTGAAACAACCCAGCATTTTTTAGAGTGTATGTTTACATTTATAAATTAAGTTTTTCACTTCAAATGACCCACACTGACTCCAAACTGAAAAAAAAATATATTGATTGAATTTAATTTAAAAAAATGAATAGAATTAGTCTAAATAAAAAAAAAACATATTAAGTTGAACCTAATAAATTGCATTTAGTTGGCTATTTTGACAAGTTTCTCATATTTTTCTCATAGGCTATTAACAAATCCTCCACACATTGTCGCTGTTGTTTGAGTTTCTGTGTCGGGAAACATTCAATGCGAGTAATTTGTGTGTTTTGTGTCAGAGGAACAGTAACAGTTTCCACATGTTAGACTTTTAATGAGACATGCTTGATTGAATCACGGAATAGCGAGTAAAGTTTCTGCGCCAGCCTCACGTCCAAACAAGCTCTTGTCTAAAATCTGTTTTCTTCGAAGATAAACGGGTTTTATACTACATTAATGGAGTTTATAAATCACGAACACTCAACAACTGACAGCTGTCATTCGAGGCTTTGCAGGCACGCGCACACGAGCGCGCGCACGGGCTCTAATCGCTCTAATCTCTGCGAGTGCTTTGCTCTGTTGTGTTGCTCTGTGTTCTGCTCTGACAGTGTTTCTCAACACCGGTTTATTATTTAAACTGACTTTACATTATTACACATGTTTTGACAGAAACGTCATTAGTTATGGATTATCCGGACGATAAGGAGAATTTCGGGTCAGTTTAACAGCAGAAGTTACCCTGCGTCACTGAGGAACCCTGGTGAGTTTCAGATAAGCCTTCTCTCAAATAATATATGACGGCAGAGGATTCAAAATCTGAGCTTTATTATAGTGTCTGAAATACAGGCCGAAAAGATTGAAAGCAGTGATTAGTTCAACGGATAATTAAATATCGATTCACAGGTGTTTTCCAGCTGACAAAACACATATTCTAGAACGTTTAAAAGTTCATATTGCATTACGAAACATGTTCCCTGAACGTTCAAAACATTTAAATGTTTTAAAAACGTTTTTCTTCTTCTTGGAAATCGAACGTTCATGTGAACATTCCATTTCGAAAACATGTAACATTTGAATATTCTCTCAATGTTCTAAAAATGTGTAGCGTTTAAAATAACGTAAACTAAAACGTTTAAGGAAAGGAACGCTATGTTGTTGTGCTTGTTTTAAAACATTATTTAAGACCAGATAGCCTAACTCTGACGTTACTGGAAGAACGTCTGTTCATAACTTGTTTCCATAACTGATCCAATCAATGGTTAAAGTTGTTGACCAGTTATTCTTAATCAGTTATTATTATCATTAATAGAAATCAGCATTTGACGGAAAAAAAAAAACAGAATAAATTGTTTGGAATTAAACGCATTTGTATGTTACAATTATATAATTTTGCATTTGATGCACCAGTTTAAGTTTCTTTAACGTCCCTCTGTAGTCAATAATTGTATCCCTTAAAACTACCTTTGATCACCAAAATTGCATATAAGTTTTTTCCTTCTGAAAGGTGCAACAAGAATTTTGTAATAAAATATCCCAAAATCACTTGCACAGTGTGATATATTTCCTGCAGTTGTGTACTTACAATATCCCAAAAGTCCCCAAAGATTTTTTTAATTCGGAGAAATTCCCATTTTAAATAAGTGGTCGTCCCCGATAAAAATGTCGCCTGTCAATGACGCAATATCCGCGCTATCCTCGGTTTCCTCTCGTAATGCCATAGCATGTAACCATGGCGACAGACGTGACTCATTTCTCTCAAACATAGACCATGATGGCAAGCAGACTTTGGGACAAACAAGAAGAACTAAAATGATGATCAACATCAGCGTGATGTTTTTGAGATGCCGAGAGCTAGCGTCCGCGGCTAACTTGGTCTCGACAGATCTTCACGTGTCACGACTTGACAGCTTTATTAGACTGAGCTAATGTACATAAAACAAATCAATGTTATATAACGTTAGCCCAACACGAAGAAATGGTAGAATATTTTATTCTAAAGTTGATCTAGCTTACTGCTAGTTTAGCAAACAAGCTAACTCTCAACAGTCAACACACATTTAAATGCCGTTTAGTGTGATAGTGTAACGATAGACCAAGTGAAGCAGCGCTTACCTCAGAAGTTTAATTCGTCTAATAAACTGAGTAATCCAGCACTTGTTGGTAGTTCAGTAGAATTAAATGTCCTTATATCCACGGGACTCGTGTGTAATATCTGTCTCTTTAGCAATCGCGATCTGCTTCATACCACTCTAATGTTTAAAAACATGAATTTTTTCACTCATCCATAGCCCCGCCTCCACTCACTCACTCGCTCAGAGATCCACTGGTTTACGATCACACGTTGATTTTTTTTTTATGCTTTAGAAATCAAACGTTTATATATCATCTTATAAACAGAATCAACTAGTTTTTTTTTTTATTGCATGAACACAATTACAGAACATGAACAGAAGATAAATAAAAAAAAAAAAACAGAAAAAAAGGGTACATAAATAAAAATGCCAGGGTAAAAGATACACATACTGTATATACAATACAAAAATTGAATGAAAACAATATTAAATTGACCAAACAAACAATAAAAGGCTTTGACATTTCACAAAATCTGAAAAGTATTTAACAAATACATGGTTTTAACAGCTTTTTTATTTGTACCGTCCTTAATGGAAACCATATAATTCTCTAATACGATCACACGTTGATCTGATTGGTTACAAGGTGGTTTGTGACGTCAGAAACACCAGCGATTTCAAAGTGTGTTTTTGAGACTGTCTTTGGTTCACTGCAATTTTAAGGAGGAAATACTCAGCAATGCTGTCCACTTATCAACTTACACACGGTGTGTCTTATAAACAACACATAAACAACATTAAAAGCTGGATTTACACCTAAATTCTGATGTTGAATATGTGTACATTGACTTAAAAGTGTCTCAGTGACATAAAATATCCAAGCAAGTGATATTTGTTTGACAGAAAGATGTGTAATGCACCATGAACACATTCTCTGTGTGAACTGGACTATAGTGATGTCACTCAATAGAAATGCCTAAATGACGTAAAATCAGCTTTGCAGAACCTCAGATTATCTGGGACAGAAGTCGAGATTAATCTTATCGAATTTTCAGCTTCTGGCAATATTACAAATGTCTTTTTTTTGTATATAGCTCTTGTTTCTGTCTCTCTCAAAAAATTCTGACTTTATGACTTTCTTCACAAATAAGTGAAGATGATTATTGACCAAATCTAGGAATTATCATTATAGAGTTAGTTATTTTGTACTAAGCAAAATACTATCTATTTTGCATCCATAATATGTGACATATTTGATATTCAGTGAGATCTCATATGTTTATAAAGATATGTTTTATATATGATTTTTGTATATGTTCGTTTTTTTTCGTTTTTTACGAATCTGTTTTGAGCTTCTTTCAAATGTGGTTTGCAATTGTATTCAAATGGCATTTCTGTAAATCAGATTTAGCATGTTTATGTGCTTTTCTCACCGCATGTAAATCATAAAAATCTGACGTTATTACAGGAAACATGATAAAAGTTGCTGCAGAAACAAGGGTGTTTTGTTGTTCAAAATCAAACATTTTGATTAAAAACTAATAAAAAGGAAACATGCACAGAGGAATTGTTCACAATAAGACAGATAACATGCTTTTAGAAAATAGATCTGGTGAATTTTCATTTCATGCCGACTTTAAATGTTGTACCGAAAAGAAACATAGCAATAATAATAATTCTCTCTCTCTCTCTCTCTCAGCTGGCATGGCTGCGCTGAGGTAAGAACTGCTTGGGAATGCTGTGGAATGTTGGGAATGTCGGAGAAGAGCCTCCACCCTGCTCACTCTTCCTGCTCTCCTCAAACTCAACTAGAGCTTCATTTATAACTTTGATAGTTTTCTCCTCATGTCAGCAGGTCCTCGCTGCTGGGAGCGCATGAAGAAGAGAACGAGGCCCATCAGAGGTGCATGATGGTCTAGCTCCTCCCACTCCTTCAGGATGTTGGTCTCCAGTAGTAACGGCGGGCGAGCGCTGACTCTGAAGGGTGTGGATCCCGAAACATGCATGATCGTCTTCAAAAACCACTGGACACAGGTACAGAAACATCTGCCTATCTATCTATCTATCTATCTATCTATCTGTCTGTCTGTCTGTCTGTCTGTCTGTCTGTCTGTCTGTCTGTCTGTCTGTCTGTCTGTCTGTCTATCTATCTGTCTGTATGTCTGTCTATCTGTCTATCCATCGATCTATCTAGTCTGCCCGTCCATTTATGTAAAATATGAGCTGTTTTTAGATGTATCATACGTCTAAAAAAATAAAACTGGAATTTTATCAATCCACCATTACAGTTTGTTCCTACGTGGCACATAATTGTTTCTCACGAATCTGTAAAACTTTACCAGCCCGACTCACTGTCTGCTCAACCCAATAAAGCTCTCTCATTGGTTGTGTTTGTTTGCGTCAGGTTTTGAGGATCCTGGAGAAGCACGACCCGGGCCGCGGCGGAGGCGTCGGTCTGCGGTTCGGCCCGATCCCGGGCGACGAGGCGAGCGCCGTGCAGAACTACGTGGAGCACATGCTGTTCCTGCTGATGGAGGAGGAGAGCGGACAGGCCGGGGCCATGGGGACCATCCTGGAGTTCGTGGTGGTGGAGAACGTGATGGAAAAGCTGTTTCTGTGGAGCCTGCGGCGGGAGTTCACCGACGACATGAAGCTGGAGCAGCTGCGCATGTACAAGATGTTGCTAGCTCAAGCCAAACAACCCCTGCTACACCACAAACCCATCCTCAAACCTCTGATGATGCTGCTGTCCGCCTGCTCCAGCTCCTCCACCGTGGGGCCCACTGCTCCTGGTAAAGGCTCCTGCACCGTGGGGCCCACTGCTGGTAAAGGCTGCAGCTCCTCCACCGTGGGGCCCACTGGTCCTGGCAAAAGTGGCAGCTCCGCAACAGGGCCCACCTCCACCATGGGGCTCACTGCTCCTGGCAAAAGTTACAGCTCCTGCACCGTGGGGCCCACTGCTGGTAAAGGCTGCAGCTCCTCCACCATGGGGCTCACTGCTCCTGGTAAAGGCTCCTGCACCGTGGGGCCCACTGCTCCTGGTAAAGGCTCCTGCACCGTGGGGCCCGGCTGCACCGTGGAGGCGGAGCTGGTGTCTCTGCTGCATCAGCTGTGTCGTGTGCTGGTGAAGGAAGCCTCCGTGCTGGAGCTGTTCTTCCACAGCAGTCAGGATCAGGGAGCCGCAAACTTCCTGCTGTTCTCGCTCCTCATTCCCTTCATCCACCGCGACGGGACGGTCGGCACGCAGGCCAGAGACGCCCTCACACTCATCATGAGCCTCTCGTCTCAGAACGCCTTGGTGGCCAAACACATCGTGGAGAACACGTACTTCTGCCCGGTGAGGGAGACTACACCTGTACTTTAGTAGAGGCTGATGTGAGTGGTGTTTACCTGGGATGAGGATGTGTGTGTGAGTGTTATTGTGTGTGTGTGTGATGAGTAGGTTTAGGGGTCGGGTTAGTGTGTGTGTGTTTTCTCTCTCTCTCTCTCTCATACTGTATGCGTTCATCTCCGCTGGAGTTTAATCCCAGTCATGTGTGTTTTTGTAGATGGATTATGGGTGTTTCGGCTCTAACGGCTCTGACCCACATAAATGCACACACACACACACACACACACAATACAGCACGAAGACTCTTTTGTGACGTGTTGCGTCAACAGATGTTGTTCTGCATATCCGTGTGCTACAGATAAAATCTGCTCTTGCACTGTAAAAAAATATTGTTGGTTTAACTTCAAAAAGTAAGTAACCTGGTTGCCTTAAAATTTTAAGTTGATTGAACTGGAAAAAGTGAGTTAATACAATGAAGGAGAATGATTTAATCACCAGAAACTCAAAATAATAAGTTATCTCAACTAAACAAATTAAGTTGATTTGACAAAAGAAAATATGTTGCGAGAACAAATCTTGAAAATATTTTTTTTTACAGTGTAGATTGTTTTGCTAACGCTCACATTAAATTATGAAAGTATGTTCGGAATGTTATCAAACATTATGGGAACGTTACTTTTTGAATGTTCTGAAGCTACAGAAGTTACATTTATATAATGTCAACTAAAATGTTTCAGAAAAAAAGTTTGAATAACATTTTTGTGAACATTATTAAAGCGATATATCAAGTCTGTAAAACTCGTCGAAACACAACATAGCGTACTTGTTACTAACGTACGAACGAGTATTGCTAAACGCTTATGGGAATCAGGAATAATCCATAGGAATGGTCACCACTGTAAAAAAAAATATTTTCAAGATTTGTTATCACAACATTTTTTCTTTTGTCAAATCAACTTTATAATAATTTATTTAGTTGAGATAACTTATTATTTTGAGTTTCTGATGGTTAAATTAATCTCCTTCATTGTATTAACTCACTTTTTCCAGTTCAATCAACTTAAAATTTTAAGGCAACCCAGGTACTTTCTACACACACACTCTCAATATGATGTCACACTCTGTGCGGATGTTAAAAAAATATATAATTTAACATATAAATATGTTATTTATTTCATGTGTGTGTGTGTGCAGGTGTTGGCTACAGGTCTCAGTGGTCTGTATTCGGGTCTGCCGGCTAAACTGGAGGTGTACAGCGACGGCTGGTTCTGTCTGGAGGAGCACGACTGGCTGCAGGTTCCAGCGCTGTTCCAGTTCCTCAACTCACTGCACTTCTGCTGCACCGTCTGCAAGGTCACACACACACATTTAAACACAATCAGAATCAAACACACACACACACACACATGCATATAAACACACACACACTCATGCACACACTCACATGCATGCATACAACGAATTAAGTGAGATGTTTGTTTTGTGTGTGTGTGTGTGTGTGTGTGTGTGTAGGTGGCTCACCCGTCTATCAGAGATCAGCTTCTGGGCTACATCTATAATGGTTTTCTAGTGCCTGTCATGGCTCCTGCGCTACATAAGGTGAGTGTGTGTGTGTGTGTTTGGAGAGCTGTGATTGGTCAATCCGATCTCTCTCACTGAACACTCTCTGTTCATTGGCCAGTTGACTCTGGAGGAAGTGATGACGACGACGGCGTATCTGGATCTGTTCCTGCGCAGCATCTCTGACTCCGCCCTCCTGCAGACCTTCCTCTTCTTCATCCTCAGGCATCGCCATGACAACGTCAACATCCTGGACACACTGGTCAGCAGGATCAACACTCCGTTTCAGGTGTGTGTGTGTGAGAGAGAGTGAGTGTGTGACTGTGTGAGTGAGTGAATTAGTTTGGGAGTGAGTTAGTGTGTGAGTAAGCGAGTGAGTGAGTGAGTTAGTGTGTGAGTGAGTTAGTGAGCGAGCGAGTGAGTGAGTTAGTGAGTAAGTTAGTGAGTGTGTGTGTGAGTGAGTGAGTGAGTTAGTGAGTGAGTAAGTTAGTGAGTGAGTGAGTGAGTGAGTAAGTTATTGAGTGTGTGAGTGAGTGTATGAGTGAGTGAGTGTGTGAGTGAGTGAGTGACTGTGAGTAAGTGAGCGAGTGAGTGAGTGAGTGAGTTTAGTGAGCGAGCTAATGAGTGAGTGAGTGAGTTAGTGAGTAAGTTATTGAGTGTGTGAGTGAGTGTATGAGTGAGTGAGTGAGTGAGTGAGTTAGTGAGTAAGTTATTGAGTGTGTGAGTGAGTGTATGAGTGAGTGAGTGAGTGAGTGAGTTAGTGAGTAAGTTATTGAGTGTGTGAGTGAGTGTATGAGTGAGTGAGTGAGTGAGTGAGTTAGTGAGTAAGTTATTGAGTGTGTGAGTGAGTGTATGAGTGAGTGAGTGAGTGAGTTAGTGAGCGAGCTAATGAGTGAGTGAGTGAGTGAGTGAGTTAGTGAGTAAGTTATTGAGTGTGTGAGTGAGTGTATGAGTGAGTGAGTGAGTGAGTGAGTTAGTGAGCGAGCGAGTGAGTGAGTGAGTTAGTGAGTGTGTGAGTGAGTGAGTAAGTTATTGAGTGTGTGAGTGAGTGTATGAGTGAGTGAGTGTATGAGTGAGTGAGTGAGTTAGTGAGTTAGTGAGCGAGCGAGTGAGTGAGTGAGTTAGTGAGCGAGCGAGTGAGTGAGTGAGTTAGTGAGTGTGTGAGTGAGTGAGTAAGTTATTGAGTGTGTGAGTGAGTGTATGAGTGAGTGAGTGTATGAGTGAGTGAGTGAGTGAGTGAGTTAGTGAGCGAGTGAGTGAGTGAGTGAGTTAGTGAGCGAGCTAATGAGTGAGTGAGTGAGTGAGTTAGTGAGTAAGTTATTGAGTGTGTGAGTGAGTGTATGAGTGAGTGAGTTAGTGAGCGAGCTAATGAGTGAGTGAGTGAGTGAGTGAGTTAGTGAGTAAGTTATTGAGTGTGTGAGTGAGTGTATGAGTGAGTGAGTTAGTGAGCGAGCGAGTGAGTGAGTAAGTTATTGAGTGTGTGAGTGAGTGTATGAGTGAGTGAGTGAGTGAGTGAGTGAGTTAGTGAGTGAGTGAGTGAGTTAGTGAGCGAGCGAGTGAGTGAGTGAGTTAGTGAGTGTGTGAGTGAGTGTGTGAGCGAGTTAGTGTTTGAGTGAGTGAGCGAGCGAGCGAGTGAGTTAGTGAGTAAGTTAGTGAGTGAGTGAGTGAGCGAGCGAGTGAGCGAGTGAGTGAGCGAGCGAGTGAGTGAGTTAGTGAGTAAGTTAGTGAGTGAGTGAGTGAGCGAGCGAGTGAGCGAGTGAGTGAGCGAGCAAGTGAGTGAGCGAGCATGTGTGACTTGACTTTGAGTATGTCAGTCAGTCATTAAAACGCACTGTGTGTGTGTGTGTGTGTGTGTGTGTGTTTCTAGCTAGGTACGGTCTCTCTGGCTCTGTTCCGCACTCTGATTGGTCTGTATTGTGAAGACGTCATGTTGCAGTTGATTCTCAGGTATTTGCATCTTGTAGAGTCGAAATTTTGATTAAATATGAAGTATGAAATATGATAGTTTCATCAAATCAGCTCCAGGTTTAGATCTCTCTCTGTTATAGAAGCCGTTTCTTACTGTTAGTTTTAATACGATATGAACAGTTTAATATTATTTATAATTATTCCTTATTATATGTAAACTATTTATAGGTTGCTAGTTTTAATAGCTTGACTTCTTAAAAAGCGTACCTGCACTTTTCAAACCATTGAGACGTCCAACAGCCAATGGTGTGAGTTTGGGGGCGTGTCTGACCAATAGCAGCTGTTTTTATTATTATTATTGATTGTTCAGCTGATGTTCAGTCAGTGCTGGAGTGATGTCATGAAGCAGTGTGTGTGTGTGTGTGTGTTCCCTCAGGTATCTGATCCCCTGCTCTCACCTGACGTGCGCTGAGAGACACCGACTGAGAGAGAGAGACTGTTACTCCGTCACTGCGTCATCACTTCTCTCTCTCACTCCCTCGTTCTTCATTCCCAAACCCTCTCTGGCTCCGCCCCCCAAACCCGACTACATCCTCTGGTCTAAGGTCACCGAGGGCCTGCTGAGGGGGAACATGGGTAATGTAGTTCATGATTTTGTGCACATGCAGTGTATGGCATATTTCATTTGATACTTATAAAATGTAAAAAATACTTTAGAAATTTCAACAATACTTTCTTTCCTTGACAGAGAAGCCGATATGCTGCTTAAATATCCATAATGAACTTTAAACATTTATACGATTCATAGACCTACACTACGTTTCAAAAGTTTTTTGAGTGTGTATCATCAATATTGATTGATGATAGTTATCTAATGAACCTCATTGAAAGTGTTCCCGATTAATTTAATACGTCCGTGTCTCCAGGAATGGAGGATCTGTTCTCCGGTGGCGACAGCGTGGGATTTTCCCGAATAACGTCGTCCGAGCCCTTGATGGATAAGAACTATCTCCATTACCTGTACGACGGCCGCAGGGCCGTGTGTATCGGCGTCCAGGCGTGTGTCGTGTGGTCGAATCCCTACGACGGTCTCAATCCGCCACCGGACGAGTACGAGGAAGAGGACGAGAGTCTTCCTCTCTCAACTCAAACACACACACCCCACCCGGCGTCTGAAACCAGCGAACGAGTCGAGCTCGAGTGGGACGACACTTTCGACGCCTCGCCTGACGAAGAGCCGATCCCAGAAAACACGATCCCGGACGAGCCCCCGAAACACATTCAAGAAATGCGTAAAAGCGCAATCATGCTCATTAAAGGATCTTACATCGAGGAGTCCGACTTTCAGGACGACGTGCTTGTTTATAATCTCATCGCGCAGAAAGACGCGCGAGACGACCGGCGGATATCCGTTAAAAACGGTTTGAACAAACCTGCGCACGCTAATCACATGACTAGCGATGCTAACCCAGGTAATTATGAATCTGAGCCGCTCGCTTTCACGAACGGATATGCTTCTGAAGAACCGAACCTGGAGCTTGAAGCCGAAGCTAATAATCTGGAGGAGATTAGCATCGAGAGCAAGGCGCCCGCCGACGACTTTATCTCGCAGTGCGTCGAGCTCATTCGAGATCTGGGCGGAGGGGAAGACGAGGAGGAGGAAGAGCACGAGCGGTGGATGTGTGAGGAGGATTTCAGCTCTCTCTGTGACGATCATGACGATGAAGAAGATGACGAGGAACCGAGCAGAAACCACAGCGAGAAACACTCGTTTACAGGTCAGTCACAATAATTTTATCCTTTAAAACTTCTCTTTCATCACCAAAATTATGTATTTAAACGTTTTTTTCCACTGGTTGACGATCACACGTTGATCTGATTGGTTACAAGTGTGTTTTTGAGACTGTCTTTGGTTCACTGCAGTTTTAAGGAGGAAATACTCAGCAATGCTGTTCACTTATGAACTTACACATGGTGTGTGTTAAAGTGTATTAAAAACACCACACATACACTTAAACAACATTAAACGCTGGATTTACACCACAGGGTCCACCACACTTTAAGCTTTGGCGTCGATCTCTTTTAAAGAAGACAATCACAGATTATTGCACAGACAGTGTAAAAAAAAAATAGAAATTAAGATTTACTGTAAAGCAAATGTGCTGCACTAAACATTTTATTTTATAGAAAAATATACATATTTTATCAAATAATTTGTTTACGCTTCCTTCATTTTAAGGTGTCAAGTGTTATAGTGGAGTTATATATTTAAATACTAAGTAATATTAATTAACTTCATGTATTTACTCTGGGGTTAGGGTTTGGTTGAGGGTTAGTTGCATGTAATTAAGCACATGTAACATATGTAACAATGACACTGTAAAATAATAATATCAATTGCAGTAAAATCAAAGTTGTCTAACCAAGTTGTGTCCCAATTTTGCATAATGCATTATTTTTAATGCCTAACTTTCCCCAACACTGAAAATGAGGAGGATTTGTGTGGATTTAAGGAGAGGTTTGGAATAAAAACTAAAAGTTAAAGAGCGGCTCAGTCCGTGGCCAGTTTCACAATCTTTTTCAGCAACACTTGATCCATTAATACTAACTCTTTCTTTTCTCTCCTCCTCTACTCTATATCTATTTATACATGTATACATACTGCATTAGACTAAACTCGGGAAGGGTACTGCAACTGCAAAACGTGCTTTTCTTATTTAGTATTTGTATTTTTGTCTTCTTTCCAGTCCAATTATCTAAAAATTCTTAAATGAAGATGCATTTACTAGATGTGTAAAATGATATAAGATGTTATGGCTAGTTTTTTGGGGGAATTAATCAAAATTAAGTGAGTTGATGCTTAAAAAAAAGCACGTTATCTGCCAATGGGGTGAGAAAAATAATCTAAATAAAACAGGACTTAATATCTGATATCATTTTACTCATCTCGTAAATGCATCTTGATTGACTGGAAACAAGATTTTTTGCAGTGCTGCTTATGGATGAAAGCGTGTGCTCAGTGATTAAATGTAAAGCGTGTGTGTTTGTCAGGGCCGTTCATCAGCGTCCTGCTGTCTCGTCTGGAGAACATGCTGGAGAACTCGATCGAGGTTAATCTGCTGGTGACGGGGCTGTTAGCTCATCTGGCCTCGTTCCCACAGCCGCTGCTGAGAGGCTTTCTGCTGAACACCCGACCCGGCCGGCGCTCGCTCTACCAGGTACAGCACACCTCCAGCACACCGGCGCTGTCATACATGCCTAACTTAACAGTTATACAGGTGAAACTCGAAAACAAAACGTGAATATCGTGCAGAAGTTCATTTATTTCAGTTATTCAACTTAAAAGCTGAAACTAATATATAGACTAAAAAAATATTGATGGTTTAACTTAAAAAAGTAAGTAACCTGGTTGCCTTAAAATTTTAAGTTGATTGAACTGGAAAAAGTGAGTTAAAACAATAAAGGAGAATGATTTAATCATCAGAAACTCAAAATTACGGAGGCGTATTGCATTCACTTGAAGAAAAAAAAATCTACTCTGTTTTTCTGAATTAACGAGTTAATTTTTCATTAGAAAAAAAATTGCTCTGTTTTTCTGAATTAATGAGTTAATTTTTCATGAGAAAAAATTTTTTTGCTCTGTTTTTCTGAATTAACGAGTTAATTTTTCATGAGAAAAAAATGTTTTCCTCTGTTTTTCTGAATTAATGAGTTAATTTTTCATGAGAAAAAAGTTTTTGCTCTCTTTTTCTGAATTAATGAGTTAATTTTTCATGAGATTAACTCATTAATTCAGAAAAACAGAGCAAAACATTTTTTTTTCTCATGAAAAATTAACTCATTAATTCAGAAAAACAGAGCAAAAAAAATCCATTAAAAATTAACTCATTAATTCAGAAAAACAGAGTAGATTTTTTTTCTTCAAGTGAATGCAATACGCCTCCGTACAAAATTATATGTTATCTGAACTAAATAAATTATTTAAGTTGATTTGACAAAATAAAAAATGTTGTGATTACTAAACTATAAAAAAAAATATTGTTGGTTTAACTTAAAAAAGTAAGTAACCTGATTGCCTTAAAATTTTAAGTTGACTGAACTGGAAAAAGTGAGTTAATACAATGAAGGAGATTCATTTAATCACCAGAAACTCAAAATAATAAGTTATCTCAACTAAATAAATTATTATAAAGTTGATTTGACAAAAGAAAATATGTTGTGATAACAAATCTTGAAAACATTTTTTACAGTGTGCAAAGTGAGATATTTCAAGCCTTTATTTGTTATAATTGTGATTATTATGAAGTCAAAATTAGAATATTGTGAAAAGGTTTTCATATCTGTAAGCCATAATCATCACAATTATAACAAATAAAGGCTTGAAATATCTCACTGTGCATGTAATGAGTCTATATAATACATTAGTTTCACCTTTTAAGTTGAATTACTGAAATAAATGAACTTTTGTCATGTATCATGTGAACATCAGTGTGTGTGTCGCAGGTTCTGCAGTCGGTGTGTGTTCAGATCGAGCAACACGCGGCGTCCCATCCCGATTTCCCCGAACTGGTCCGTGAAGCCGCCCAGTACCTGCTGCTCAAAGACCAGGCCTTAAAAGAGCAAGGTGTGTGTGTGTGTGTGTGTGGTCCCGTACGGATCTTTCTGTTATCATGCTAAAACAGTCTGTGTTGTGGTATTTATTGTAATTTAATGCATTGATTGTTTGATTGTTGTTGTTTTTTTATTATTTTTTAGTGCCATGAGAACAAGAAAATAAATAAAAATAGGAAAAGTGCTTTCAAAGCATTACGTTTTCAGCGCTTTTTAGTTTTTTTGTTTTTTTTTCGTTCCAAAAGATTTCCATATAGTTTAAAAGTCAATTTTAAAATGTGAACAAATTGGTTTGCATCGAGCCCACTTCTTTTTACCTTTTTAACTAAATAACTGTATAATATGTCGTTCTCTACATTGCAAATTGTCATTCTGAGTTTAAAAAAAGCACACATTAATATATATAAAATATATAATATATATAAAATAGACACATTTCTAATCATACACTTTAGTATTCTGCTAATAAAGGTTTCTAAGTCTTTCCAAAATAATCTTGAGTAAATACAGTGAAATATTTAAGCTTAAATCTTTCCAAAATATGCGTCGCAGGATAAATTCTAGATAAGACCCTTCTTTATTAAACTTATTTGGCAATTTCCATGCTTTGACACGAGAGATATTAACAAATAAAGAAGACTTTCTGCAGGAAAAGACAAAACAACGAGCATTCCTCATTATTTTGAGCTGGACGATGAATATCGGTCTTGATTTGAATATTGTTGCGTGTTGACGGTGTGTGTGTTCCTCCTGCCAGAGAGAGAGGCTCACCTGCAGGATAATCACGGCACCGGCTGGTTCCTGAACGGACACGTCCCGGGTCGTCCCCGCAAGCCTCTCCCTCCGTGTCCCCGGGTCCCTCCGGCCCTGCGCCACAGGGTGTTCGCCACCTTCCTGTTCGCCGAGTTCCTGAAGGAGCTGGCGGCCATCGCTCAAGAGCACGCCATCGTCCCGGAGGAGTGAAGCCGTGAACCGCCGTGAGACAAACGCAGACGCATCTCTCGTTCTCTCCCGGTCGTGTGTCGGCCAATGTGTCGCTTGACCACTCAGACTTATTAACCCTTGTGCATCAATTAAAAAAAGTTACACATAGATAAAAAGAGGACAAAAATGTCCGTGTCAAAAAACTGTCATAAAAACGTGACGACTTAAGTTTGGTATCATTTTAAAGAAGACCCTTTGCAGATTATTGCTGAAGTAAAAAAAAATATAATAATAAGTAAATCCAAAAAAAAAGTTATATAGGTATAAGTTTATGTAAATTATTTATAAAAAATATTTTACATAAATGTATATATTTTATAAATCAGATTGAACTCAAAACTGCAATAAAATCAAAGCCATAAATCTAAATAGGTTGTGTTCCAAATTTGAGGATGATATCTCAAAAAATGAGCTTTCGGTTACAGTTTGTTTGGGTGTAGTAACATATTTTCCCCATTGGGTGGCAGCAAAACCCCACTGGAGCTCACAGTGATTGGATTTGTTATTTGCAGTTTTTCTCTACACACATATTTTTTTATAACACACATACTAACCACACTCTGACATCCATACCAACACACCCACACAAATATTGTTGCATAATTTATCCAGTTGGCTCTATAATATGCCGAACCAGAAAACAGGAGCGATATTTGTTTTATAGGCCAAACCTAAAAAAATGGCACCATCTGATAAAAAATAGTAAAAAATAAAATTTTGAAGCCTTGCCATGAGACTGAAAGCTTGCATAATTTTATAGTTAACTGAACTGGGGATTAAAAATGGCAGTTTTAATGGGTTTCAATGGGGACATTTTTGTCCAAAAGGCGCTGAGAGGGAGTATTTTTTGCACCTAATGCAAAAATTATTTTTTTTAAGAAAATGACGGTGAAATAGTAAAATTCCAATAAAAATACACACCTGTGGCAAGTTTTTTGCAGTTAGCTTTAACACAGGCAAAGTGATCAAAAAAACAAAACGGAAAAGGACAAAAATGTCCATAAGGATGCACAAGGGTTAAAGGGAGAGAGTTCACCCAAAATGAACATCAGCCCATGATTTACTCACCCTCGTGTCATCATAGGTGTACGAGACACTCTTCTGTCAGACAAACACAATCAGAGTTATGTTAAAACATGTCCTGGCTTTATAATGGCAGTGAATGGCTGTTTCTGTTTTGAAGTCCATAAAAGTGATTGGTCTACTCTGCTCTGATTGGTCAGATGGTCCAGTCTGTGATTGGTCTACTCTGCTCTGATTGGTCAGATGATTCACAGTAATATGAATGATGGTGTCGGTTTTTCTGTATCAATACCAAACTCTCCCAGTCTCAGATACAGTGTTTGAGGGCGGAGCTAAGAGACTCTGTTCAGCCTATCACAACCATTATGCAAATGAGCTTCACTGGACTGGAATTATCGACGACTCAAATCACTTTTGAATAAAGACAATAACTTTATTCATCTGCCCTTTTATCATGTAAACTTTGCAGAGCTTTTCCAGCTTTATCGCACACTACACTACATGAAAGGAAAAACTATAAAATTGCACTTTAAAGCAATCCGGACCTCATGTGTGCAAGTGAACCTTTATTGATGAATAATTTCATCATCATATAATATCATCCGCATGTCTCACGCGCTATATTCAAAGTCAGTATTAAGATAGTATTATTGTGAATTATTATTTCTTAAATTATGGCACCTGTGGGTGAGTAAATAAGTACATTTTAATTTTAATCCTTTCAAAACCTTTTGTGTGTGTGTGTTTTTTTTATTTATTCAGATTCATGTGGGTTTGTGTTTTACATTATATGGCTTGTTATTCCATAACTTGTTTATAGATTAATCACTGTAATTAGATGTTTATCCAGCAGTTAAACATATATCTTATTCGAAGCTTTATGTGTCTGTGCATTCGTCTCAAAACACATTCATTACAGCAACTGCATTGGTTGGTGAATTTTTTTTTAATATAAAGAAGATATTTACTTCCTATAACATGCACTGATTAGTGATTCATAATTACACCAGGATCATGAATTGAGAAAGTGAATTTGATTTCATGTTGACTTTAAGCAGCTATTGAAAATGTTTTCATTTCTATTGCGGTGAAACCCGATTTGTCGAAATGTTTAATTGTATTGAAGTCAATGGGAACTTTTCTAGGCCAATGTGAGATTTTAATCCACTGTGTTTGTTACATGATGATGCTTCCATAGTTTAATTCTGTCACTAAAGTCACTTTAAATTCTGTAATTTTCAGCAACAAAATGACTGAGAATTCTAGAACTCGAATCTATTGAGAAATCAAATGCAACTCCAAATATTCAACATGGCTGCAGATGATGTGAAGCCTTATTTTGATGTGTATTTATACATTTACAGTTTGTTGAATCGAGATGATTTTGAAATGTTTTATGACCTGTTGTCACTGATGTCAATGTAAAGTTTTGTACACATATTTTTACAGAACAGTCTGTCACGTGGACCACAGAAAATGGTTTGTTATGAGCCTTTTGTAATATTATTCTGCCCTCTAGTGGTAAATTAAAACTCCATTTGTGGTGTATATTCATATACATGTGTATGTGCCTGTTATGTATTTGTAATGTAAATGTATTGAAGATGCCACTCTTGAGCCACAACATAAAATAATTAGTAAATAGAGATTTTATTTTGTACATGTATTGATAAAATATTACGCCACATTGCAATACATGTAAAAAAAAAAATTCCTTTCACTAAACATATTTAGATATACGGAAAATCGCAATGGAAGACGATTTCGATATATGTAAATATGTTTAGTGAAAGGTAAAACTCCCGAAATCTTCACGTAAACATTGCGTGACATAGACTCGCGAGAGATCACTTCCGGCGTAACGTCTGGAGACGGTTGGTTCAGTTGGACATCTGTCTCAGATCAGTTCGACGGCTGTTAAGAGGTAAAAACTATATAAATACTGTTTGTTTTCTCACACAAACCACTCGTTTCGTGTCTTAGGCCATCAATGTGTACTTACATTTACGAGTTATTAAATCATGTTTAATTTTGACTTCTCTGTGCTGCTCTTTGAGGTGGACCGATCGTGTATGACTGACAGACAACACCGGTTTGACCAAAAAATGTAAAAATCAAAAAAATACTGTGGAAACAAAGACACCTACATCTTGAATGCCCTTGAGGTAAGATAAAACATATCAAAAACTAATTTCAAAGTGAACTATCCTTTTAGCAGGATTTTATGTATATAAATATAGATATTACTAAACATACACAATTTACAATACTTACACTGAATAAAAACAGGTCTCATATTTAAGACATTAAAAAGTGTGTTTGGCCTTTTCACACCAGTTGGTCATTTTTGGCTCAAGATATTTAAAAGAACAAAAATGTATATGTTTTTATTATAGTGCCACCTAGTGTTGGAAGGTTGATAGGATTTCTGAATTTCTCACCAAGTTCAGAGTCTCTGGGATTTACACTTTCTGACACTATAATAATAAAAGGTCCCAGGATTATCCTGAAACTCCTACTGTAGTCAATAATTGTATCCCTTAAAACTCATCTTTGATCACCAAAATAACATATTTAAACATTTTTTTCCTTGAAAGAAAATCGTCATGCCTGCCTTACAATATCTCGAATGTAATCCATTGGGAATGTAACTCGAAACCCTTGCCTCATTTAGTATGCGCGGTTCTATGTATATGCAAATGAGCCCCGCCTCCACTCACTCACTGAGCTCAGAGATCCATTGGTTGACAATCACATGTTGATCTGATTAGTTACAAGGTCGTTTCAAAGCGTGTTTTCACTGCAGTTTTAAGGAGGAAATACTCAGCAATGCTGTCCACTTATCAACTTACACATGGTGTGTGTGTTAAAGCGGATTAAAAACACCACATACACACACAAACAACATTAAATGCTGGATTTTCACCACATGGAGACTTTAATGTATTGTTTCTGTACAATACATTAAAGTGTAATTAATGACAAAAAAAACTATCAAATGCATGTAAATTAATGATTTATTAATAAACAATGTATTTAACAAAGGGTTTCTGTACACTGCACACAAAACTGTGGTTTAGGATTATTGTGATTAATCACAATAATAACTGGTCTCATGTCAGTTGTTAATGACCCTCTTAATTCTGACAAAAATAATTTCCTGAGGGAAAACATTTTTTTCAATTTTCCCACTAAAATGGAAAGACAAGTCTGTGGGAATGAATCTAATCCCGTCTCTCAGATTCATAAGCAAAAGACCACTCATAAACACACCAGACATAAGTACATTTCATTAATGGCTTCTCACGGTTGTTTTCAGAACTACTGGACTGTTCATTTTACACTTCTACGTTTAAAACTGATCTGAGATCTGGTAACAACCATATAGCCTACACTCGTTAGGTGTTTCTTAACCAAATCAATTCCCATCACAATAATGACTAGCTGTCTATAATATGTGATGTCCTGTTATATGACCAAAATATATTTGATAAATCAGAAATGTACAGACATACCACATAAGAAATAAATCATGCTTTAATAAATATTTAATATGTCAGAAAAAGTCATGATGTCAAAACGAATCATTACATAAAAAGTTTGACTTTTCATAATTGACTTTAAATCAACATGGATATCACAATTTTAACTTTCTATGTCATAATTATGTTTTTCCCCCTTGTGTGGTGGAGAAAGGCTTCCACTAAACGCTCTCTGGCTGTCAGTCAGTTTGAGTTTTCAGGTTTGCTGGCATCTGGTTGGCTGATATGGCTGTGATGGGCGGGGTTTCGGAGAGGGGGCGGGGCGTTGACGTGGGAAACTGTAAAGGCACGATCTATATCTATTCAATATTTTCTATTAAATGGAATCTACAAATCATCAAATATAACATTAAATATGATGTTAAGCGTTCTTTCATTACTGTTTTTGGCTTGTTTGTGTGTTTTATGGAGCACGTGGCTAGAGACAGCTAACTTTACTCTTCATTTATGATGCAATTTGTCTAAAAATCTATAAAACCGAGATTAGGTAAAAAAAAAAAAAAATCATATAGACAATGGTTTCTGGGTTCACTGAGATCATCGCCCCCTAATGGCGAACCACTGAAACGTATAAACTTATCGAAGCATTTATGACAAAAAGCCTCAGCTGGAGTCACGTGACTCTGGCCGTTTGATTCGTTCAAAACAAATGATTCTTAACGGTTTCAAAAGCATCGGTCGCTGCTGGTTGTTTGTCAATGTTTATATCGTTCATTAGCTGGAAAAAATCCCCTATAATGCTGTAAAATAATTGTAGGTTTGTCTTTAAATAGTAGTCAAATGAACCAAAACATTTTAGATAATTCAAAGAGGATTAATTTAATCAACAGAAACTCAAGTTACGATGTTTGTTATCCAAGTCTAAGTTTATTGACAAAACAAAACAATGAAAATGATTTTTTACAAAATCTAAAAATATGCACTTTGTCATAATAGGCACAGTTAATCAGTGCAGTCGCATTATTTACATAAATATAGGCCCTATATTCATATTTCATCCTCACGCTGGATGACTTTAGGTGAAATAGTGTGAGAGTTTGTGTTTGTGTGTGTGTGTGTGTGTCAGTTGTAGCTGTCCTTGCGCAGTGCGGTTCGGTCCGATAAGCCGTTGTGATCCGGGTTCTTGTACTGGAAACTGGTCCCGTTCAGAGGCACGACACTGCTTAACAACGAGCCACTCGGATAACACCAGCAACACAAACACGACTGCGTGTGTGTGTGTGTGTGTGTGTGTGTGTGTGTGAGAGAGAGAGAGAGAGAGAGAGAGAGAGATGATTACTTCATTGAAATATTATTAGTGTCTCAGAGATACTAAAATAACATTTTCATTGGACACTAAAAATGTATTTTTTGTTAAATGTTATTGAATAGTACGTTTAACTTTTTCAATTAAATCTTTTTTGATTACTAACATTTAATTTAAACATTAAAACGGAATCCTGAACTATTAAAAATGAAAAAATGGAATGCAGAAAAATTTTAACAGAAAAAAAAATGAATTTTGGGAAAAAATGTGTGTAATGTGTGTGTAAATCCGGCTCTGACAGAAGCGCTTTACCCTGAAGCAGTTCTTGAACTTCTTGCTGACGAAGTAGAGGATTATGGGATTGATGCAGGAGTTGATGGTGGCCAGATTGATACTCAGGTAATCAAACACTAACAGGAAACTGACACACACAAACAGTGTTGGGTAAGTTACTCTAAAAAAGTAATTAATTACTAGTTACTAATAACCTCTTCAACAGTGTAATTAGATTACTGTACTAATTACTCTCTCTAAAAAGTATTTAATTACTAATTACTTTCAAAATCCCATATCAACCTCAACCAGCTGAATAATACAAGGATAGACATGAATCTGTTTTAATTCTTTCAAATAAATACTATAAAATTGCATGAATTATCCTTAAACTGACCAAGGAGAAGGTTACATTATAAAAACATACTTTTTAACATCAGACAATACATTTTGATGTTAAACCCACTATTGTTTTATGTCTAATCTCATGACATTTCACACTTTTTTCATATATATTTTACAATAATTCATACGAATTTGTACAGGTCGTACAATTTAGACACCTCATGAAATTCATACGAATCGCTGTGAGATCGGATTGATCTATACACAGTATTTACCTCAATTACATCAGAAGTAACTGTAATTAAATTACAGATAAATGAAGAGTAATCCCTTACTTTACATTTTCAAAGGAAAAGTAATTAAATTACAGTAACTAATTACTTACACCCAACACTGCGCACAAACAACAACACCCATCAATGCACATGTTTTTTGTAGGTGTGTGTGTGTTAGTGAAGTGTGTGTGTACTTCAGCAGGTCGCAGCGGCCGACGTCGTTCTGGAAATAAACCGTTTTCTTCAGGATTCGACTCAGATGAAGCGGAAACCAGCAGAGAGCGAAGATCAACACCAGAGAGAACACCGCTTTAGCCACCTCACGCCTCTGGACACACACACACACACACACACACACACATATAAAAGAGCTTTATTACATCATCCTCTCTGTAGAGTGTGTTGCTGTAATGTTGCTGAGTTATCCTCTATAAGAGTGTCAGTCAGTGGCGGATCGGGTCATCTTCGGTTCGCGTGTGTGTGTGTGTGTGTGTGTGTGTGTGTGTGTGCACCTGTTTGAGGTGTTCGCTCAGTGAGAACTTCAGACTGCCCTTCCTGTTGCTCAGCATCTCAAAGGTCATCAGTGTGTAGAAGACGCCCGTACACACCAGCGGCACACAGAAGTAGAAGCCAAACAGCCACCAGACCTTCACGTCCCTGTAGAACTACACACACACACACACACTCCATAAATGAGTGAAATATAATTGCGTTGCAACATTGATGGAGATGCATTTAATTACTTGTTTTATTTAGATAAAAGTATAAAATGCAGCAAATATATATATGGTGTTGTTGTTGTTGTTGTCACCGTGATGAAGGGCGTCTCCGGCTTCAGCATGCAGGTTCTGATGGTGATGTTGTTATATTCGAAACTGACCATCTTGAACCCGATGGCCTCCGGGACCGCCAGCACCGCCGCCAGCGTCCAGATACACACGATCTCCAGCGCCGTGAACACGGGGATCCCGACGCCCTGCACGCGACTCCACGACGCCACCGCGCGATACCTGCAACACACACACATAAGGTAACAGTGTGAAGTTACTGTAGCGTTCCAACACACACACACACACACACACACAAGGTAACAGTGTAAAGGTACTATAGCATTCCAACACATACACACACACACACACATAAGGTAACAGTGTAAAGGTACTATAGCATTCCAACACATACACACACACACATAAGGTAACAGTGTGAAGTTACTGTAGCATTCCAACACACACACACACATACACACACACACATAAGGTAACAGTGTAAAGGTACTATAGCGTTCCAACACACACACACACACACACGAGGTAACAGTGTGAAGTTACTGTAGCATTCCAACACACACACACATATACACACACACAAGGTAACAGTGTAAAGGTACTATAGCATTCCAACACACACACATACACACACACACATAAGGTAACAGTGTGAAGTTACTGTAGCATTCCAACACACACACACAAGGTAACAGTGTAAAGGTACTATAGCATTCCAACACACACACATACACACACACACATAAGGTAACAGTGTAAAGGTACTATAGCATTCCAACACACACACACACACACGAGGTAACAGTGTGAAGTTACTGTAGCGTTCCAACTATAGACTGTAAAAATAGGGTTCACACACACGAGGTAAACACACAGATAAATACATAAATAAAAGCAGTGTGTGTTGTGTTTCCACACTCTAAAAAATGCTGGGTTGTTTTAACCCAACTTTGGGTCAAATATGGACTAACCCAGGCGTTGGGTTAAATTTTTACATTACATTTTTAACCCAGCATTTTGGGTTCGTCCATATTTGACCCAAAATTGGGTTGAAACAACCCAGCATTTTTTAGAGTGCATCCACTGATTTTGGAAGATAAAAAAGTTTAGATGAAAAAATTTAGATTTAGTGTGTGTGTGTGTGTGTGTGTGTGTGTGTGTGTGTTCGGCTGCAGTACCAAACGCTTCCACTAGAGGATGAGGATTGTTTTCAGGGCCTAAACTTTTACCAAGTTTCGTACCATTAAGATGAAAATGTGTTTTTTGAGAAAATATGAGTATTGTTAAGTTGTGTGTGTGTGTGTGTGTTACCTGTCCACACTGAGCGCGCACAGATTGAGAACTGTGATTCCCACTGATGTTTTCTGCAGGAACGGCATTAGTTTACACAGGAACAGGCCGAACACACTGTCGTCGAAGGGCCACCGCATCGCCAGCAGCTGAAACACACACACACACACTTCAAACGCTGGACAGCCTGTGTCTGTGTGTGTATGTTTGGTGCTACTGGTTTAAATACCAACCAGTGAAAGCCTTTATCTGTGCGTATGTATATGTGTGTGTGTGTGTGTGTGTGTGTGTTTAAACACCAACCTGTGAAGGCCTTTATCTGTGAGTGTGTGTGTGTGATTGAGCGTGTGATGAGTGTTACTCTGATAAATGTCCCGATATAAGTCTGTCTGACACACTGCACACTTTACACCACAACTAACTACAACTAAAATTATTACAGGTACCATATTATTAACCATATTATTGTCAACTGAAATTATGTAAAAATATGTAAAATATTATATATATATATATATATATATATATATATATGTATGTATATAATAAAGTATTTTTAACTAATATATATATATTTATATAATGGTAAAATATAATAAATACAAAATTTATTTTGTAGATAGATTATAATATGCATTTATATTTATACTGTTTTATGCATCTAAATAACATTTTGTTAAAATGATATATAATATATTTAGATAAATATATATATATATATATATACAATATATATATTTATACATTTATATTATTTTATATAATAATTTACATTTTTTTATAATGAATACATTTATATAATAATATATCTCATTTATTACTGTAAAAAGACATACATATAATTATTATAGAAATATGAGTAAACAATGTTTTTAATTTATTAGACAAATTTAATATTTATTTGAATATTTTGTTTTTATAAAATACTTTTAGATTTTATATATATATATATATATACAATCTAAAATTATTTTATAAAAACTATATATATATATATATAATAATATTACATAAACAAAAAAAATATATAATTAGAACTATTAAAAATTACTAAACAAATAGAAATATAAAAAAACAGTGAGGTAGAAAAAATACAAAAATGAATAAAACGTCCACTAAAATATTTTGTTTAATAAAAATTACTATAATAACATGTATATAATAATAAAATAATGCTGACATAGATATATCTAAATTATAGATGTAAGAATCTCAAACTTGATGTGTAAATCAGCAGTGTTGATCACATTTACCTGGTGTCTTTGTGTGTGTGTGTGTGTGAAGCGGCACCTTGTAGAGGTTGATGGGGATGTCGATGGCGATGTAGACGAGGTCCCCGAGGGCCAGGCTGGCGATCAGGGCGTTCGGCCCGTTCCTCATGGTCTTGTTCTGGTAGATGATCCTCAGAAGCGTCGCGTTTCCCAGAATTCCCACCGCGAAGATCACACACGACAGCACCGTGTTCACGTACTTGAACAATCCCTCGATAGACGTCCTCCTCAGACACGCCGGTGGACGGCCCCGGGCAGATCTGGGGTCAGAGGTCACGCGGTTCCACCCCGGGGACTCGTGCTCATCAGAGAGATGAGAGCTGTTGGATGAGTTTGATTGACAGGTTCCCCAGCCAATCAGCAGGCAGGATACGACCATCATTAGCAGAGTGACCCGGCGGGTTGTGTGGGGCAACATTGCAGATCACAGACTCCTTTTGTTAACAGGTCTGGGGTCAGTGTCTCTACAGGACAAAGAGAAACTGTTCTGGGTTTGTGGCCGTCTGTGGGGCGATCAATGTTACGAGACTGGGATAAAACTATTAACTTTGACATATAAAACCACTGAACAAGGAAACCTGCACTTGATATGGGTGTTTAAATCCAGTCTGTAACACAAAAACTATTTTAATCAGAAATCGCAAATACATTTCAGAAATAACGTAGAAATTTGTAAGTATAAGAACTGAAATAGTTTTTTAGGTAAATCATGCATTTAAAAATGATCTTATAGTGTGATCTAACAGCTAAAACTGTCAAGTCACTTGCATTGAAGAGCCTTTGATAACTATAATAACACACAGCTGTCACGCCACCATCAGACACACACACACACACACGCTTTATTCATGTTTTGAATTAGATTTTAATCTGTTTTCACGTTAATGTTTGTTAAAGTTGTAGCAATTTTATAGTTTTGTTCTGTTTTTAACTTTAATTTATTTTTTGTTGTTTTAAAATGTCTATAGTTTTACTTTTGGAAATTTATTCTTTCTTTTTATTATAGTTTTGTTCATATTTTTTCGCTTTAATTTTAGTTAAAATTTTAGTTATTTTGTTGTATTTTTGTCATTTTTATTAGTTTTTTGCATATATATTAGTTTTAGTTTTTGTTCATATTTAAAATAGTCTTTTTTATTTTCTTTTTTCACTTTAAATGTAGCTAGTTTTAGTTATTTTGTTTTATTTTTGCACTTTTTATTAGTTTTTTGTTGATGTATTAGTTTTACTATTATAGTGTTGTTCATATTTAAAATTGTCTTAATTGTCTTAATTTGTATTAGTTTTTGTTTTTTAAATATCTATATAGTTTTTTTGTATATTTATTTGTTTTACTATTATAATTTTTCATGTTTTCAATTTGATTTGATTTTTATGTTTTAATTTGTTGTATTTTTTATTTCCTTTAAAATACTATATAATTTTTATTTGTGTATTTTTATTAGTTTTACTATTATAGTTTTTCTTTATTTTTTTTGATTAGATTTTTTTTTCATATTTTCACTTTAATTTTTGTTTAACTTTTAGCAGTTTTTGTTGTATTTTGTCATTTTTAAACATCTATATATTTTTATTTTAGTTATTTTAAACAAAACAAACCATTGCTATAGAAATATTTTTATAGTTTAGTTAATATATTTAATTAGATTTTATTTTTTTGTTCTGTTTTCTCTTTAATTTTAGTAGTAATTTAGTTGTCTCTTTTTAAATATACCTATTTTTCATTTATTGGCTTTATTTATTTTAACTGAAACTAATCTAATATGAGAACTATTGCAACTAGACTAATCAAAATATTTAATAATTTATAATAATAATAATAATACACGCACACACACACTTAAATTGTTAATTACAGTTAACGCTTATTTTGTTTCAAGTAGCACAGATGTGGTATGGTTTTAGTCCATGAGCTCGCATGCGTTTCCTCTAGTCTCGATCTGAGCTCACACACACACACACACACAATCACGTCTCGTGAGATGATATGATCTGTATATCCATAACTTCATAACTGTGTGTGTGTTGGGTTGATGTTCTCGGGTGTCAGGAGAAGCGTCTACAGTGAGTCTGAGTCGATGAGAAACACAGAGCAGTGAAAGAGACAGTGATGTTTTGAGTAAGTGACGCACACACACACACACACACACACACTGACCTTCAGGATAAAGCTGATAAACTCTTCTCCCTCCGTCTCTCTGTCTCTTCTTTGGCCCGGAAACGTCCTGAATCTTCAGTGTGTGAGTCCAGGAGAGCAGTGGGATCCGGTCCGATGCTGAGGATCCTTCAGACGAGTGTGTGTGAGTCTGTGTGTGTGAGTGTGTGAGTGTGTCAGGAGCAGATGAGATATCTTCCAACACCCTCCTCTCTCTCTCTCCGTCTCTCTCTCTCCCTCTCTTTCTTATCTGTGGGATGTGGCTTTCCTGGCACTGGATCTAATTTCAATTTTAAAACACACACACACACACACTCAGAGAGAGAGAGAGACCACCCTATGTCAGGACGTTATTTACTCAGTTTATGAAGGAAACAATATAAACACTTCTGAGTAAAGTATTCAGTCCTTTTTTTCTTTTTCATTTTTTTGGATGAGTGATAACACACACACACACACACTCTCTCTCTCTCTCTTACACACACAGTCAAAAGTTTGGAAAAATTACCTATTTAGTGTTTTGAAAGAGTCTCTTCTGCATTTATTTGATCAAAACTACTGTAGAAATTGTGAAATATTATTCCAGTGTATATCATCAGTTCTCTAAGTGAATATATAGTGAAGTGTAATTTATTCCTGTGATTTAAATCTGAATTTATCATCAGTCTTCAGTGTCACATGACCCTTCACAAATCACTGTAATATGAGGATCTGATGCTCAAGACACAGTAATTCATGTTGTTTGTTGAACTACCTCATAAAATAATCTGGTGATATTAGTTTATTATTAACGTGGTTCTGAATCAAACGGCGATACCTGTGGTGTTACTGGTGAATGGACTATAGAGAGGTCAAAGGTCACTCGCTGCCCAGAGCCAAACCACTGAGAGCAATTACAGGCCTGACCTCATCAACTCTGACCTGCAGGGGGCATCAGCGCACACACACACACACACACATACGAACACACACACTTTAGATCTAAGAGAGACACTTTAAAGTGTAATATTCTGTAATCTGCTTTATTAATTCCAGCTTCCATGACTTTAATAGAACAATCACACATCAAAACACACATAAACCGTTCCCCAGTTCCTTTGAGGTCACAAACAAATTGCTTTTTTCTTAATCAGTGTTTGTGTCTCAATTAAACTCATCTGCTACTGGTAGGAACACCAAAGAGTGGAAAGTGTGTGTCCGTGTGTGTGTGACCAATAATGCAGCTCTGAGCGTCTGAATGGAAACAACATGAATATGAATCCTTGTACTCGATATTATTGAGTTTTAGTTTACCATAAATACATTCAGACAACAGAACCAGTTATGAAATTAAATGACATATATATATATATATAAGTATGTGGATCTAAAAAACACGCAAGTTCAATTAATTGCATTAAATTTAGTTTCATTTAATTGTGAATAACATGCTGGTTGTCTGAAAAGATTATATTGAGTTTGCACTAAAGTAGCCTACGATATTCATATTATTAAAATGCATAAATCTGGACCTATCTGCATAAAGCTTTTGTGAGGGACTTTTGCATTAATATCTGTTATGGCTTCATTCATAATGACCTCAGATGATGAATAAACAATATGAATATGAATGATTATGTCTCTCTCTGTGTGTGTGTGTGTGTGTGTTCACAGACACAGCTTTGATCTGAGAGGAACAGAAGTATCAGACTATGTTCTGAGCGTCACCACAAACACACACGACATGAAACGCTCTCGAGTCACTTACCAATAAACATTTTCCACATAAAGTTCTGCCAACACACACACACACACACACATATTGAGAGTGTTTCCTGCCCACGGAAACTCATATTATATACTGATATTTATTACGGCTAAAATGTCTTAAACATTTGCCAGCTTGAGTGACTTCAGTTTAACAAGATGTTTGTGCGCTTTATAAAATTAAATTGTATCTATTTCTATCTATCTATCTATCTATCTATCTATCTATCTATCTATCTATCTATCTATCTATCTATCTATCTATCTATCTATCTATCTATCTATCTATCTATCTATCTATCTATCTATCTATCTATCTATCTATCTATCTATCTTTCTTTCTTTCTTTATTTTATTTATGTTATATTTTAGGGTATTTTACACATGAAACAGCTTTTATTAAACATGAAACGTCCTACTCTCTACTTATGTTATGATGCTACATTACAGTACAATAAGCATTTTAAAACATTGATTTTGTGTAGTATAATTGTATATAGTTTCAGTTATCCGTTTCTTTTTTTTTTACAGTTTAATAATTTTAGCTAAGCAGTTTATACATTTATGAAGGAAAGACCTTTGTTTTTTGTTTTTTATGAAGGAGTTAACTTTGTATAATCAAGCTTTGAAAGAAATAAAACAAGACAAGCATTGGAGGTTTTCAAAATTATACACAATTCACAAACTGATTAGACCTCTATTTTATATCTATATCTAGACCTAGATATGTTATGTTCTATTTATTTATTTACTGTGTTTACAAAAATCTTAAATTGTTTTGATATTGAAGATATGTATTTGTATAAGATGATTTTTATTGTTTAATAAAAACAAAAAAAAACGCATGTTTTTTTTTTTATAAAATATACTTTATTTCACAAGAACGTGCAGCATGCATTTTTTTTTTCGTGTAAAATAATAATGTCAAAATCTAAAAGAGAGATGACCAATTCAACCCTAGCAGGCTTGTTTTATCACAACAATCTTGTATAAATTCAACTTACACTGTATCAAATGAGGAACTCACTCTCAGGCCCATTTTGTCCTTACATTCTTGCTAAAATAACTATAATGCAATAACAATAATTGCGCCCCTCCCTCACTTCCGGTTCTGGCGCTGGGGTTCTGAAACTGGTGCTGCTGCGGGTCTGCAGCTGATATATCTCAGGTCCAGTCTTTCCTAATGGCGGTTGTAACACATCTTCCACAGCAGGGGGCGCTGCACTGACACTCAGTCCCACAACCAGCTTCAAACAATCTATTCAACGGTAATAAATTAATATTTATAAATGAATAACTGTAATAATCTTACATTTTTTTTAGTAAAGTATAATAGGTATAATTTAATAGCAATATGTGATTGTTTTTACACCAGTGTAGTGGTGGAGATGGAGACTACAAGAGACCCGCAAATCATGAGGACCGACCAAACACACACACACACACACACGCAGGCTCTCTCTCTTACACACACACACACACACGCGCGCGCTTTCACACATACACGAACCCCTCGACGAGACTCTCACACACACCAGAACGGTACGAAAATTTAACTGATTTCTTTGCTTTATATACTTATTATGCTATTTTCTCTATTTTATGTTTAATTCTTGGAGTCTGTAATGTTGTTGTATTGTGAGCGTTGTAACTTAGTTTGTAATGTTGTGTTCGTCTGATCTCTGTCAGTGCTCTGTAATGAAACTAATGTTAACTCGAATGTATGTTGTATTTGCTTCAAAACGATATGGGAATGTTTTACATATATATATTTCATATAAGTTAGCGGCCTATATAGAATTATTTATGCAGAGAAATTTATGAATTAATTAATGATATAAAACATAGAACGTCTGCATGTATTGTTTTTTGGCCATGCATATATTTCAAATGCATATATTTCATAAGAAAATATCATGGTATATGAATATGTAATCATTCTGTGTTTTACCAAGTGATATCATCACTGTCACAGTTGCCTACTTTATGAAATATTGAAGGAAATATATTTAAAATGCCGAATCAGAGCATAAATACAGTGGATATTGTGAAAAAATGCAGATATACTTGCTGTCGTGACGTGCTGCTGTTATAGGACTGAAATTCAGTGTTCTCTGTCGGTGTGTGTGTGTGTGTAGTGGTCTGTAGTGAACCTCTCACCCATGTCCACTTTCAAGGGCACTAACGAGGCGTCACAGGTGTGGTCCTGCACTAGCAGGACGTGTTGCTCTGCCAGGCAGCTGTTCGGTGTATTAATATCTGTGTTCTGCTCGCTTTCACAACTCGATCTGTGTGTTCTTTACGGGAACCAACTAGATGTGTGTATTTCCTGAAGTGGTGCAGCTCACTGTCAACATGCAGTGTGGCTTTTATAGTCTTTCTAAGCAAATAACATTATGTTTTATCTTGACCCTGTGGCCTTGTTCCAAAATCTACTATAGAAAGCGTTTTAAGACATTGGCATGTTTCTGATTACGCTGGCTTCTTCTTCTTTTGGCCAAATTTGAAGGCCAAAATATTGCACATTCCTTCTCATATCAAGGTTATCCCATAATGCACTGCAACAAGCTCAGTGAGAAATGTGAATATTCATTTTAATTCAATGAAGTGTGTTATGATTATAAATAGAACTCAGAATTTAGGGTTTTGGAACATAACCTGTGTCCGGTTTGGATTAGTGCTGTATTCCAGATGTTTGTCCTCATCTCCATATAGGGAGATTTCACATTCTGAACGGATCAAGGTCTCGTTCGGCTCAACAGAATGAGGAGGGGTGACCAGTGCAATCACTGTAGTATATTTAACCGGGAAATAATTCCCTAGCAACCACCTAGAACACTTTGGCAATGCGCTTGTAGCCACTCAAAACCCCCTGACAACACATAGCAATGCCCTAGTAACCACCTAGAACACCCTGATAATGCCCTTAGAAACTGATTAAAACATCCTGGCAAAATACCCTAGCAACCACCAAGGCGACGCCCTAGCAACCACCCAGAACACCCTGTTAACCACCAAGAACACCATGGCAACACCCTAGCAACCACCCATAACACCATGGCAACACCCTAGCAACCACCCAGGCAACGCCCTAGACACCACCAAGAACACCCTGGCAAAACACCCTAGAAACCTCCCAGAACACCATGGCTCTTACAACCACCCACTTAGCAACAATCAAGAACACTCTAGAAAGTATTTAGAACACCCTGACAACACCCCAGCAACCACCTAAAATATATTCTAATATTCTAGCAACCAACCTGAACACCCTGGTAATGCCATAGTAACCACCTTGAACACCCTGATAATGTCCTAGGAACCAACCAGAACATCCTGGAAAAACACCCTAGCAACCCCTTAGCAACCACCCAGAACACCCTGGCAACACCCTATTAACCACTAAAAAACACAGTGCCAATGTGCTTATAGCCACTCAAAACACCCTGACAGCACTCTTAACAACCACCTAGACCAGCCTGACAGTGCCCTAGCAACAACCAAGAACATTCTAGCAACCAGGCTGAACACCCTGATAATGCCCTAGTAACCACCTAGTACACCCTGATAATGCCCTAGCAACCAACCAGAACACCCTGGTAAAACACTCTAGCAACCATCCAGACAACGCCCTAGCAACCACCCAGAACACCATGGCAATGCGCCTATAGCCACTCGTAACACCCTGACAGCACTCTAACAACCACCTAGATCACCCTGACAATGCCCTAGCAACAACCAAGAACACTCTATCAATTATGTAGAACACCCTGACAACACCCTAGCAACCAACCAAAATATTCTAGGAACCATCTGTAACACTCTAGCAATGCCCTAGCTGCTACCCAGAACACCCTGATAATGCCCTAGCAACCAACCAGAACACCATGGCAAAATGCCCTAGCAACAACCAAGAACACTCTATCAATTATGTAGAACACCCTGACAACACCCTAGCAACCAACCAAAATATTCTAGGAACCATCTGTAACACTCTAGCAATGCCCTAGCTGCTACCCAGAACACCCTGATAATGCCCTAGCAACCAACCAGAACACCATGGCAAAATGCCCTAGCAACCACCAGGAACACCCTGGTAACGCCCTAGTAGCCACCCATCAGTGACAGTGACATTTTAGTTTAGTAGTAAAACACCACTGACATTTTCTGCTGAAGTGTGTGTGTGTGTGCGCACCCTCACTCAGTGGTCTGGTTGTAGTTGTCTGGCTCTCCTCCAATCATACGCTGTTATTTTTGGACCCTGCAATGGGAAAAATAAGAAAGCTAATTATATTTGGCTATAAAAGGACGTGAGCGCACATATAAATGCAGAAAATGTGCACATGATCAGCTGTTTCTGTTCAGCTTCACGTTCAGGAATGGTTTGTCATGATTGCGTTTGATCACAGGTCGGCCTCGTGACGTGAACAACATGTTCTTATTTTCTGGAAACTTCCCTTGGATTCCCGTCTGTGAGCGTTTGACACCGAGCGTACACACACGGTTCGGCCCGAAGTGAACGCAGAGGCGCAACAATGGCTTATTTTTATCCTGATGTTAGTGGCCGAGCAGGACGGAAACTCACAGGAAATAAGGCCTCTCTTATATTTCTACTTCCTGTTTCCCCTCAGAACACAAACAACCTTCTCCTGGAGACTGGAGTAATGATGCTGAAAATTCAGCTTTAATAAATAAACGCAGCCTTGGTGAGCGAAAGTATGATTTATTTTAATTTTGGATCAAATGTTTATGTATTCTATGCTATTGTTGTTGCATTTATAAAAGCAAAATCCGCATCACTATAAGTTACGGTGATTTTACCACGGTGTGATTCGTGTGGTAAAATCACCGTAACTCGTGGTTTACTGCTGTAATTACTGCCTGTGGATGTTTCTCATGTGTGCTGAGCCTCTGGTGACCGTGACCTTTGACCTCAAACTCTAGAGCTCACGGGAAATATTCCCAAGCACTCTCACACAGCGCTGGTTTCTGCCTCGTGAGATGCTGTAGAAACTCTATCAACAGGAAATCACAAAATAACACACACAACACTAGTGGTTTGACCCACAATCATCACAGAAAACACTTGATGATAATCCGTGTTCCTTTCTTTCACTGCAAACACAATACTAGTGGAGAAACAGGGATGTGCAAATCATACAGAGATATACAGTACACTAAAAATGTGTCATCTGAATGTACAGGAGGGGGGAGGGGGCAAAAAAAAAAGAAAAATAGGAGAGGATAGAAAAAAAGATATTGTTTTATACATCAGTTAGAGTTTACAAATTAAAGTCATTACAAATTGAGTCTGTTTTACTTGCTTTCTTATTTACTGAGGATGAAATAGCAGTGTTGTAGTACTCGAGACTCGGACTCGTCTCGGACTCGGTCTCGAGACCATATTTTAATGGTCTTGGTCTTGTCATGGACTCGTGTCCATTTGGACTCGGAATTGACTCGTACTCGAACATTTTTTTTTTAGGACTCGGAATTATTCCCGGGTCCACTTGAGTTCAATTAAAAATATTTTTCATGATTATTAATGTATGTTAATAAAATATTTCTTTAAATTGATTGACACGCCCAGTGATTGGTGATTTTCTAGTGCGCAACTGCGCATGACAAATTGTAATAAAATTACTTTTAACACCACCTACTATGTGGCCTTTTTACCCTAAACTGATCATATTTCTTAAACTCTAAGTAAATTCAGTAAAAAAAAAAAAAAAGGATTTCTCTAAGTAAATAAAAGTAAATTAGGTAATCAACCCTCACTGGTCTCGGTCTCGACTCGGACTCGACCCTCTATGGACTCGGTCTTGACTCGGACTCGACTCTCTCTGGTCTCGGTGTCGACTCGGACTCGAGTGAGGTGGTCTCGACTACAACACTGTGAAATAGTGTTACGGTACATTTCAAATGTTTTAAAAAAAACGGGAAAAAAAGGTTTGTTGTTGGCAGTGTTGTGCCTGAACGCATTCAATAGGCGATAGTTCATGAACGCGTTCATATTTTGGGCGAACGTGAACTGAACGTACTGGCTGATGAACGTTGTGAACTCGTTCGCGCGCTCTGTCAGTTTAAATTCGTTCAATAGGGTGCCAGATTTCTATAGAACCTTCCAGGCGAAACCCCGGCTAAAACACACGTAAACAGGCCTTAATGTAGCGAAAAAACACCCAATCTGGCAACACGCAGCGAGCGTCGAGGAGGCGTACGATCATTTAAACGGTTTTTCTGAGGAGATCGGTGAGGATGGGACAAATCTTACATTTATGTGCAAACTTTGCCCGTCGATAAAATAATTGTTGTCTGTGTTTGTATATGGGCTGTGGCAATAATAATAATAAAACAAAAGCTCGCAACATATGGGAAAAAAGAACTATGAATGAGCTAGTTCATTTTTTGAAGAATGAACTATGAACTGAACTAACGTTAGTTAATTTTAAAAATGTGTGAACTGAACTTTGAACTAGTTCATAGAAAGCGAACTTTCCCAGGTTGTTGGTGGCTTTACATTTCTGTAGCCTATATAAAATTTGCGAAGAAAAAAAAAAAAATCTCAAGCCATGCTTAGTCTAAATCAACATTTCCAAAAATAATGTAGGCCTACGGGTATTTGACTGGATACTATCTGTAATAAATGTGTCAATATTTTTCCATAGGCTACTTGTATAGAAACATGACCAAAATAAATAATCTGTGTGAACTTGGCCAAAAGAGCATCTTTTTATCAGCATTCATTTGATATTTAATCCTGAATCATCAGTGAATGGTGATTTGTGTGAAGAGCTCAGAACACGACTGTGGTGGTTTCGCTGGTTCTGGTGTGTTTAATGGTGTGTGTGTCCTGTATTGTAAAGCTGAAGGGCTTCGACCTCTGTGTTTATGGACTGAGAGCGACATCCTCTCAGAAAAATAAACATAATGTGTTCGTTCTCATGGACATCCCAGAGAAGATACACACACTGTTCTGGAGCTAGACTCCACAAGACAAAACACAAATGTTATTTAATGTTATTTTAATGTTTCCTAACGAGGAATTATGTAGTAAAATGCAGATGTTTGTCTTTCGCCACAGACACAGATGCTCTCTAGCGCCCCCTGTGTGAGTGTCAGATCATGACAAGAAGCCCGTCACTCCTGCTGATGCTCGTTCTGCTGCTGGACACAGAGGTACGGCAGCAATTTATTGTATTTACACAGATTTCCTTTTTTTCAGTTCTGTATTAATAAATACTAGAATCCAGACAAACAACACAAAGCTAGGGATGAATTGATGTATTTAAAAACTATAGTTAAAATCCACATTACTAAAAATTGTACTTTTGTTTGTTCATGTTAGTTTACAGTCCATTAACCTTTGATTTAAAAGAGGTATAATTAAATGCTGAATTTAAGATTAATAAATGCTCTAGGACTAATGTTAACATATTAAACCACCTTATTGTGAAGTATTATGTCCAATGTTCCTGTTGAATACGAGCACAGGTGTGTCAGTGTGAGGATGTGCTCGTAGCGGCGAGGATGTCAACAGACGAGGGGAGCGATATCCCAGAATCCCCTGCGGATCTGAGCGTGACCCGTGAGCAGATCCTCTCCGCCCAGTTTGAGTGTTACCTCAAAATAATGTACGAGCCTCCGCGCAGAGATCCAGGTGAGCACTGACCCGAAACACATGTGCGTAAATCAAGGACAGACGTAAAAGACAATTTGCTAAATAATTTAACAAGCTAAAATGAATAGAATTAAGGTCCCCCTTTGGTAAAAATACAGCTTTTAATGTGGTGTTTTTAAAAGTAAATGAAAATAAAGTGTGTATGTGTGTGTGTGTGTGTGTGTGTGTCGCCCCCTGCAGGCCCGTATTGTAACCGCACGTGGGACGGGTGGCTCTGCTGGGGAGACTCCGCCCCCGGCACCGCCTTCCAGCACTGCCCCTCCTACTTCCAGGATTTTGATCCGTCTGGTGAGATAATACTACTAATAATAATACGTTTATTTCATATGGCGCAATTCTACAAACTCAAGGTCGCTTTACAATACGTCTTCACTGTCACTTTTCATCAACTGAGTGCAATAATGCTGGGTTGCACAAGTCTAAGACCATGTTTAAAATCTGGAATTTTAAGTTCGTTATTTTTTTGTAATTCAAACCTGGAAAAATGTAGGATTAAGAATTTTGTTTAAAAACTTTTTTTTTTAAAATAAATTTGTTTGAATGTTTTCTTGTCAATTTAAAAGCAATGCATTACTTTAAAAGACTAATTTGATCAAGACCACTACAGTAAACTACGGAGGCGTATTGCATTCACTTGAAGAAAAAAAATCTACTCTGTTTTTCTGAATTAACGAGTTAATTTTTCATGAGAAAAATTTTTTTTGCTCTGTTTTTCTGAATTAATGAGTTAATTTTTCATGAGAAAAAAAGTTTTGCACTTATATTTAATTATGTTAATGTTTCATGGAATTTTTTTTTTATGTTTAATTATGTTAATGTTTCATGGAATTTTTTTTATGTTTAATTTACTTATGTTTAATTATGGTAATGTTTCATGGAATTTTTTTTTTGCTCTGTTTTTCTGAATTAATGAGTTAATTTTTTGTGAGAAAAAAGTTTTTGCTCTGTTTTTCTGAATTAACTCATTAATTCAGAAAAACAGAGCAAAAAAAAATTCCATGAAAAATTAACTCGTTAATTCAGAGAAACAGAGCAAAAAAAAAATTCTCATGAAAAATTAACTCATTAATTCAGAAAAACAGAGCAAAAAAAAAAAATTTCCATGAAACATTAACTCGTTAATTCAGAAAAACAGAGCAAAAACTTTTTTCTCACGAAAAATTAACTCATTAATTCAGAAAAACAGAGAAAAACTTTTTTAGCATGAAAAATTAACTCATTAATTCAGAAAAACAGAAAAAAACTTTTTTTTCTCATGAAAAATTAACTCATTAATTCAGAAAAACAGAAAAAAAAAATTTCTCATGAAAAATTAACTCATTAATTCAGAAAAACAGAGCAAAAAAAATTTTCTCATGAAGAATTAACTCATTAATTCAGAAAAACAGAGCAAATTTTTTTTCTCATGAAAAATTAACTCGTTATTTCAAAAAAACCGAGCAAAAAAAAAAAATTTCCATGAAACATTAACTCGTTAATTCAGAAAAACAGAGCAAAAACTTTTTTCTCACGAAAAATTAACTCATTAATTCAGAAAAACAGAGAAAAACTTTTTTTATCATGAAAAATTAACTCATTAATTCAGAAAAACAGAGAAAAACTTTTTTTCTCATGAAAAATTAACTCATTAATTCAGAAAAACAGAGAAAAACTTTTTTTCTCATGAAAAATTAACTCATTAATTCAGAAAAACAGAGAAAAACTTTTTTTCTCATGAAAAATTAACTCATTAATTCAGAAAAACAGAGTAGATTTTTTTCTTCAAGTGAATGCAATACGCCGCCGTAGTAAACACATGTCCTTTCACATTTTGGCTTTTATTCATTCAGAAAAAGTGACCAAAGTGTGTGACTCAGACGGTCATTGGTTTCGTCACCCGGAAAGCAACCGACTCTGGTCCAATTACACGCAGTGCTCCGCTTACACTAAGCAGAAACTCAAGGTTAAGCTTCAGTTTAAATATGAAATCATTATATCATAATCCCGTCTGTTTTATAATCTGTGTGTCTCTGGTTTGTCCTGCAGCTCACGCTTGTGGCTTACTATCTGGCTATTGTGGGAAACGTCCTCTCCATCATATCGCTCATCATTTCCATATGCATCTTCTCCTACTTCAAGTACAGTAGAACAACAAACACAAACAAGACTAAATTCCCAGCAAGCAAATATATATTCTATGAACATTTCCCAAAACGTTATTACTCTGAACGTCCAGGTTTACAATGTTCCTTAAAGCCTTAAAGCATTAAAAACTGATAATTTCAGACAGTTCGAAGGTTGTAAATTAGCATTTTTCTGCATATATATTAGTTTTTTTGTGTGCATAAAACTTTATCTACAGTATAAGTGAAACTAAAGGAACATATTCAAATAATAAATAAAAAAACGTGTCATGACCCTTTCTGTGGTTTTGAAAAGGCATTATACGTCACGAATGAATGTGTGTGCAGGTGTTTGAGCTGTCAGCGTATCACTCTTCATAAAAACATGTTCACATCCTTCATCCTGAACTCCTTCGCCACCATCGGCTGGTTCTACTTCGTCATCGGCGGCCATCAGAGCAGAACGGACTCTGTAAGTCCACACACACACTATTCATATGAGCATTATGAAGTGAACTTGATGTTGCTTTCACTTAAATTTTCACTGTGAAACAGGCTTTTCAAAATGGGTTTAGTTAGAGTTAATGTGCACTTAATATACTATACTGTATATACTGTAGTGGCCAAAAGTAATGTCCGCCTAGGAAAATTAACATCTTCACCCTTTATCCATATATTATTATGTAATTTAGATTTTGTAAGTTTATTGTGTAGTTGTGCTTGGAGTTGATTGTTTTATATATGATAATAATGCAATGAAACACGGCAAATTGTGTGGCATAATATTTGGCCCGGCTGTCATAGAAAGAAATTATATGTAAAACGAAAGAACCATCGAAATATTAATAACTGATTATTGTTTATTGATTATGTAGTCAATTGTTTTTTTGTTTGCCATATAATTTTGTCATATAAACATTAACCAAGTTGAATTGTGTTCTCCCTTCTTGTCTAAAATATTAAACGTATATGTAAAATATTTCCCATATTTTGATTTAATTGAACTTGTAGGGTCATTAAAATATAATACAATGTTTTATAATAATTTGAGAGGAAAAACATTACAAATGCATCTTAGGCTGTCAAAGTTAATGTGTGCACTTAAAATTTTAATTTAAAAATAATACAATTTTTATTATAATTTCAATGGTTTAATAAAATTGCTTTTGTTCAGTAATGTAATATATGTGACTCTGGATCACAGAACCAGTCATAAGTCACACGGGTATATTTGTGGCAATAGCCAACAACACACTGTACGGGTCAAAATGATCGATTTTTCTTTTCAAGATTTTCAAGATCATGTTCCATGAATATATTTTTACCGTAAATATATAAAGCATGTATTTCTGTGAGTGAGTGCAGCACAATCACCAACATTAATGCACAACTTTAAAGGAGATTTTCTCGATTTTTTTTGCACCCTCAGATTTTCAATAGTTGTGTCTCAGACAGATCACAACAAACCATACATCAATGGAACGATTATTTATTCAGCTTCAGATGATGTATAAATCTCAATTTCCAAAAATTGACTCATGTGACTGGTTTTGTCATCCAGGTTCACAGATATAAACATTTTAAAAAAATGTTACTAGACGTAGTGTTACAATTTCTGTCTCGTTTCCCATGTCTTGTTGAAGGACTCTTATTTTGAAGTGTGTTTTTGTTCCTGCTGTTTGACTTAGTTTCTCTTTTATTTGTTTCCATTGCTGCCTTGTTTGTTTCCAGTTAGCCTCGTTAGTCTCCATGGCAACTCATTACCCTCACCTGTTCCTTGTTATCTTGTGTATTTACACCCCAGTGTTTCCTGTCTGGTGTTGTCTTTCTATAGCTGTTGTGTTGGTGTTATTTGTGTTCGGATCCACCTCTCCCTTGTCGCTGACTTCGCCGCATGACTGATACATAGATAACTTCCTTTATTTTTTAGGAAAGGACCTCTCATAAGGGTATTAGCACATTTAGGGGTCCTTTGGCATTTTATGTGTGTGTGTTCAGTTTCAGATAGGCTGTAAGATCCTGGCGAGTGTCATTCACTACACCTCATGCTCCAACTTCTTCTGGATGTTGTGTGAGGGCATCTACCTGCACACGCTCATCATCGTGGCCGTGTTTGTGGGCGAGCAGCAGCTGGGCTGGTACTACGTCCTCGGCTGGGGTACGTACTGAACACCAGCCCGGATGGCCCTTTACAAATCAACATCAATACATCTTTGACCCGTGTGTGCCACGATTTCTCCTGTGTGTTGTGTTCTAGGACTTTTATTTTGAATTATGATTTCTGATTCTCTGGTCACTTCCTGTAGTTTGTTCCCGTTTGGCTTTGTTTGTTCCCATAGTGATTAATTACCCTCACCTGTCCTGTGTCAGCCCCTCGTGTAAAAAAGATGATACATTTCAGAATAAAAGTCCTAAAACACAGAACAAAGCACAGTAATCGTGATTATAATGCTAACTAGACTTCTCTTTTCATCCTGATTTATTGTGCAAGAAATGAAAGATTGATCACACACTGATTACTGTAGATTTTCTCAATGCAAATATCACCTTAGAAAACAGTGAGTTACTTCTACAGGTTTCCCAGTGATCCCTGCTGTCATGTACGCGGTGGCACGTCTGCTCTTCCTCGATGACAGGTAAACCTGAGATTTAACACCTAAAATGAACCAGCATAAAGATATACACACACACATAACATTTATATCCGTGAGGAATCAGTTTGATTATATCCCGGTCGAGCCCCCATAAATGTTCCCCATTTGATTATATCCCGGACGAGCCCCCATAAATGTTCCCCATTGACTTCCATGTGTTTTTTTTCAATGGAGACCAGCAGATATTTGGTTACCAACACTCTTTCCAAGACATTCATGCAGGTTATGAACAACTTGAGGATGAGATTTTTCATTTTTGGCCAAAATAAGCCTTAAAATGTTTAATCGCAGTGACATTGTGTGTTCGACAGGTGTTGGGTCATCAACACAAACCTGCTGTACATCACACACGGCCCGATATACGTCGCTCTGCTGGTGAGCTTCATCATCAATCATCATCTTCTTGTTTTCCAGTACTAATCTAAATGTTCTTCAATCAAGATACATTTACTTGGGAAGCAATCTGCTTAAGATTGTAAGTCTGGATATCTGAAAAATGCATTGAGTTTATGCCCAAAACAAGAAAAAAACTTGAACAGTTTAAGTTGGAAATGACATTTTCAGGTCTATGCTCAAAAAGTGAATAAATGGATTATGAATACAGCGCAAATATAATTCAGTGCCATAAAATCCCCTAATAATAAATAAAAAAACATTATGTAACTAAAATATGGTACATTAATTTAATTGAATTTTTATCTTTGACCGACTCCCGAAGAACACCCGCACGCTTGCACTGGAAAACAAGACAAACACACAAGATTTCCTGCATTGAATCCCTCCATCCGTGTCTCTCAGGTGAACCTGTTCTTCCTGCTCAACATCGTGCGTGTGTTGATCACCAAACTGAGGGTCACACACCAGACGGAGAGCAGTGTGTACATGAAAGCGGTGCGCGGCACCATCATACTGGTCCCGCTACTGGGAGCCCAGTTCATACTGGTGCCCATGCAGCCGAGCGGACGCCTCTCTCTGGCCATCTACGACCTCTTCATGAACATCTTTGTGCATTTCCAGGTGACGTAAACTTACAGAATCGATCAAATATGTCATGTCAAATATCCCACAATGACATCAGCATCAGCATTTCATTAGTGTGACTGGTAACACTTTACACTAAGGAATTCCTCAGCATTTATTAAAGCTACAATATATAATTGTTTATATACAATATATAATGTGTGTGTGCAGGGTTTTCTGGTGGCCGTGATCTTCTGCTTCTGTAATGGAGAGGTATGACTTCCTGTTTACACCTCATTAATTAACCTCATTTCTCTTTATTAAAGCACTTTAGATGAACATGAACTCCTGGGGATTGTAGATGAAAGTTTTGCATGCAATAACCCGATGAACAAACACCATTAGAGTTTGAACTTTTTCTTTGTTATTTGATCAGGAGGTTAAAAAGTCAAAATTGTAACATTAAAAAGCCGAAATTATGACATACTTATGTCATAATTATGAAATTGAAAATATGAGGAAATAAAGGTCAATTAAGATGACATTATGAGATTGAAATATGTAAAATATGACATTTTATGACATTAAAATGCAAATTATGACATACTAAATCGAAATGAGATTTAAAAAAATATTCAAGAGAAGAAAAAACGAAATTATGAAAGGTAAATGTGAAAATATGAGATAAAAGTCCAAATTGAAATTTAACAAAAAAAAAATGATGAAAAGTTGAGATGAAAAGTTGAAATTGTGTAAAAAAAAGCCCAAATTATGACATATTAAGTTATAATTGTGAGATTAAAAAGTCAAGATTACAGTATGAGATAAAAATCAAAATTATTAGATTAAAAAAACTGAAATTATGAGATTAAAAAAAATCTAAATTATTAGATAAAAAAATCCAACATTATGTCATACAGTTAAAATGATTATATAAAAAAATTAATTATGAAATAAAAAACAAAATTATGAGATTTAAAAATGAGAAGTTATAATACTTACTAGATTTTAAATTTAAATTTTTTTGTCACGATTTTGTAATTTTGGTACTTTTTGACATGATTTAGACTTTTTAAAGTTATAATTTCGATTTAGTTCACCATATTACGCCATAATTATGACTGTCGACTTTTCATCTCATAATTATGACTTCCACCCATTCCCGCAGGTGCAGTCGGCTCTCCGGCGTAAGGTCGCTCAGTATCGCTGTCAGTGGAGGCGACGGCGTTTGGTGACCACAGATTCTCACTGTAACTATCACACCAACTCCTCCATCACCGAGACCAGCCGGGTCACCCTCAGCCTCGACACACACACACTCAACGGCCAGAGCAACGGCAAGCCCTGGCCCAACCCCGAGCCCGCGGTCCGTGGAGAAGTGCTCCAGTCCACTGAGATATGAGCTTCATCACAAGAGATCCTGTTCACACTCCCTGAAACCAAACACACACAACACAAGTCATGGAAACCTTATTTCTGAACGTTTTCAAAATGTTTTTTCTTTGTTGTGCGATTGCGAACGTTACCCTCATCCTTCCCGACACTTATTTTTTTAAAATTGGGTGTTCATCAGAGTTCATCTAGACCCTATGAGTTTTGTCGCACTTGAACCACGAATCAAGTTTTTGTGGTCAAAATTTTAAAAAAATAACAAATTCTTCCCTCACGGGTCATTTTAACCCCCTTGAATGAATGGAAAGCATTGTGAGTTTTTTTTAATTGAATTTGAAAGAATTTAAGGTATGTGTTTAAATTACTTTTTTTCCCATTATTTATTGATCAAATCTAGTAATTTAAAGGAAATAAAATAAGAAAATATAAAAAAAAATTGCATTAAATAATAGACAAAATACTATCAAAATGAAATAAGCTTTTTGAAAAATAAATAAATAAATTGTATGATTTTAGGGTTTCGGGTCATTTTGACCCGGGAGGGAAAGATGTTAGAAATTGCGAGGAAAGGATGATTAAAGGAACGTTCCGTTGGGAAACGTTACGTTTGAAAGTTCTCTGTGCAAACGTTCTAAAGAACATCTTTAAAGAACTTTGAACGAACGTTCTATTAACGTTACTGGAAGAACGTTTGCTCAGAGCGTTCCCTGTCAGTTGTTTATGCACTAATATCTCATCACATTTTACTTCTGTGATGTGACGTTTGACTAGTGAAAGAGTTTGTGTTTGTTATGGATTATTAATACATTTATTGGTATCATGTTGTATTTGTACATTTAAACACATCAGTCTGACTGTAAAGTTGCTTTTAGCGAGATTTCTTCAGTCGAAACTGTTCACCGATTTATATTTCAATAAATGCGCACGTGTTAATGTGGAAAAACCAATGGATATTGAACAAAGCGAATAGTTCACTTGTCTGCGTTCCGCTTCGTCTGTTGGTCATGTGACCTAATTTTTGTCATCGGAACAGTATGTGCACTACCTAGTGGACTTAAACTGTACCACTGTGTTTCTAGGGATCATGTGCTGCATCCATAATCGCATACTCTCTTTAGTAGGTACTTGTTTCGGATAAGTAATCAGGGTACTTCATCGCCGCAAAAAAGTACTTTCTAGTAAACCAACGTCTGTCCCCGTTGGTGGGTGCGCGAGGCGAAGTGGAATGCGGAAAACATATTGTTGTAAATAAGCTATTATATAAGCACTTGTTTTCACTGAATGTATCTGCTTTATGAGCCCTTTATTATTCTGTGTTAAAGCCTGTGAGATGTCGTGTCACATTTGCTTTTTGTGATTCTTGGAAAATGCAAACAAAACATTCCATTTGACTTGTTAATGTTGGATTATCACTATTTGTGATATAGTGAAACTCAATAAAAGTTCCACTTTGTTATTATTCTGTCCACCCTATTATTATCATTCTATCCATCCTGTTATGATTATGTCCATCCTGTTATTATTTAGTCCAGTCTATTACTATTTTGTCCACCGTTAGAGTAGTTCAGTTTTTTTTTTTTTAAACTTTTGCTGATAATTTACTCACCCCCATGTCATCCAAGATGTCCATGTCTTTCTTTCTTCAGTCGAAAAGAAATTAAGGTTTTTGATGAAAACATTCCAGGATTTTCTTCACACAATGGAATGGGGTCCAAACGGTTCAAGGTCCAAATGAGAGTTTCAGTGCAAACTGTTCAAAGGGCTTTAAACGACACCAGACGATGAATAATGAAAAATAATAATGAAAAACACATTTTATACATTCGAATCTGAAATGTAAACAATTCATACACAATATTTATATTTTCTGATAATGTATGGTCATAAAGGGACACATGTGCATTTGAGTTGTCTAAGATAATGTACACAGTGCCTATAAATTACAATCATTAGTATTTGAAACTGTTGTTCGTTTGTCCCGGTGGACATTTTGATCTTCCCTTTGATTATTTTTAAATAAATGGTTAAATTGATTTGCCAGAGCTTGACCAAAATCAAGTGTTTTACTTTTACTTCACTCTCATCATGACTACACAAAAAAAATCCTTTTAAAACCTGTTGTTTTCTACACTTTATGATGGCCATAATGCACCGAACAGAATGACCCATAACAGCGTTAAAGCCTCTGCACATGTTCCTCACTCTAGGGTTCCTGGATAAGAAACACACATCATTGTACATAAATAGAAGCACAGTTTTCATTTATTTATTTGAATAGCATTTCAGGATACTGAGTCATGTACAAAAAATGTATTGTTCATATGAATGAGGAATGAGTGCTTTCCTGATACACTTAAAACACACAAGAATCCCGTTCGTTCTCTTCTCCGCATTTCTCCTTTGCTCAACCTCGTTTCCTTTCTAATAAACAAGCCATTGAATAACTACTCCACTTATTTTAGTCTCTGACGAATTGCTTTAGCTCTTATTGGGTCTGTAAATGTAGTAGACATTCTCAATCCATGAAGGCCATTCATGCTTATCTTCAATGATTAGCCTTGGTCTTTATGAGTCGCACGCACGTTTGACGTTTCACCATTATTATTTCACCATATGACGTAGCATACGGTGTTTTCATAACTTTCTTGATCAAGGACAGTGGAGTTAATTTTTAAATGTGGGAGGAGTAAATTCTGTCCATGTTTTTTACAACTCCGTCTCCACATACGATCCTTTTTCATATTTTTCGCGTTATTAACCACATTGTTAGCTATATTCTATTTCAAACTAATTCTTTGATTCGTCTGAAAAGGACGAGGTCCCACCAAGATTTGAACTCGGATCGCTGGATTCAAAGTCCAGAGTGCTAACCCCGGTATTTTTAATACCTCTACACTTTTAATATATATATATATAAGAACGTAACATTAACGTAACAACAGCAGCTTTGTAAAAATTGCACCAAATTACGACTTGCCTGTTATTTTGTCATCGCAAAGTTCTTCAGATGAATACATTATAAGTAATTTTAATAATAATAGTGTATAATTAGAATGTTTACTGGTGGTATGACACAGCAATGGTTACCAACATTCTTTCAATCGTATTTTGTGTTCAGCAGAGAAAGAAACTCATGCAGGGTTGGAACAACATGAGGGTGTGTAAATGACAGAATTTTGGGGTGTACTGTCCCTTTAAGGGAAGATTCGTTTTTTTTTTTTCCAAACATTATTTCAAACGTTACTTTTCGAACATTCTTAAACAAGGCCTACATTTGACGAACGTTTTCTCTGACGTTTTGAGAACGTTATCAAAGAGAGTTCTGTTAACATGACTGAAATAACGTTTCTGGGATGGAAGGCCTCGTTTAAAACACAAGAGCTTCACCACCTTCAGCACTACATGTTTTATGCTTTATTTATTCATAAAATGGGATTACAACATCCCTCAATAATTCATCTCAAACGCCTGCTTTATGAGGTGAAAAGACAAGCTTGAGATGTGTGAACGACCGTGAGGAGATGTTTAATTATGGACAGGCTTCACGGACCGGTGTCTCACTCTTAAAAAATAAAAGTCTCAGTTTTAACAGACTTTCCATTGGACAAAATGTTCTTTAAATTATTTAAACGCTCTCCACACAAATAATTATTTTTTTTAAGGAACTGATTACAGAAAACTTCTTTGCGCAAAAAAAAAAAAAAAAAAAAACGTTGAAAGGTTTATTTTACATTTTAATATTATAAAATATTTTTATCACACTGCTGTATGGACTCAGCTTTACTAGCACTGAAACACGGGGATCTTCTTAAGACGACTTGCTGTTTGTGTGTTGTGTGTTCTGTCAAGATGTTTTCTCAGTTATGTCTTTATTTATTCATATCATGATGCAGGAAGCCCAGTGTGCGCTAGAATCTAACGCCGCTAGATGGCAGTATAGATGAGAACATCACCACGTGTCTGGATCCATAGTCTGGATCCTTGTCACAGGCCTGGATACTGGAACAAGCGGGACCTGGAGATGAAATCAGGAACTTTCATTCAACTCAACCTGGAAATAATAGGGTAAGTAGCAGTGCTGGGAGAAACCACAGATAGACAGTAAAAGAAAGAAACGAAGCTTTTCGAAACTTTAATTCAATCGAATCAATTGCTTCGCAAAAAATGATTCACTGTTTCGAATCGTTCGAAACGCCACACGCTGGTCAACTAAACAATTACACGTGTTTTATTGAAAGTGCAATCTATTAAATACAATGATCAAATTGTCTGATAGGTCTGATGTCAACAAATGTATCAAACTGACCCGAAATCTGTTTTAAAAAAAAAACATAATTCACAGTGACAGAGATGAGAGATCATCGCCCCCACCTAGCGGCGAACCAATGGCATTTCCAAACAGTAACGATGACGTAACAAAGGCTCGTTCAGAGCCATGGCTCTGGCCTCGTTTACTGAAATTGAACTCTGAATTGATTATTTTTTGTTGTATAATGTTTGTTTACGAACTGTGATGCTTGTATATTTGTAACTTGCATTCCAAAAAGAAAAAAGAACTCTGAATCACTGATTCAAAACAAATGATTCGCAAAGGTTTCGAAGCTTCTGGAAACAATTCGCCCATCCCAGATGTGTTATTTCTAGACACATGCTGTATTGTTTTCCTAGAGCAACTAACAAAAACACTTTCTAATAATTGTTTGCTTATGCGAGTGTTAGAGAAAAGATTAAGGGAATGCTCCATTTTAGAATTTTGCAAACATTATGGGAACGTTATTTTTTTTAATGTATTAACTTTTACAAAATGTTAGACTTAGAATTAGCTACCGACTTAAAAGATTATGCCCAAAAAATTTATATAACAATGTTTTGTGCAAACTTTTAATGAACGGTATTAAAGACCAGACAACTTTAGATACACGTTTGTTTATGTCACTGAAAGACCGTTTGGCAGAACCTTGAAACACAATCATGTTGCAATCAGTTCTGTCTCCTCGACCCCCTCAAACTTTTTCCTATCAACATTGTTGACACATTAAATTTAATAATGTCGAATTATAATAATGAACAACATTAATACCAGTTGCATTTATTGATTTAGAAGAACTTGGAGTCAACAACATTAGCATTCTTTTTTATTAAAACAATAATGTTCCATTTTGTTACATTTTCTTTGGAATAAACAAACAAAACTTTTTTTTTTTTAAAGCAAAGTGCATTTATTCTTTATGTTTTCACGGTTTATTGATAACACTGAATGGGCTTTTGTGTGAAACCTTGCAAAAATATGCACACATATTTTAATTAAAGAAAATGACTTAAATATCTAAACATAAGGACATTAAAGGGTAACTAAACACCAAAACAACTTTTTTTAGTTAATGATCTGTAAGAATGGAGCTTCATAAATGCTGTTCATTGATTCGAGTACATTTTTTGACAATTGAGTATAAAGTGTTTTGATTTTCAAATATATGGTGTAAAAACGTCTGAGTGCTGCCCTCTTCAGGTTAAACGGAAAGCTCCTGCAGTAGGGGTACTTGCTGACGTAGCGAACTCTCAGACGCACTCTGTCACACCCTTGGTGCGAGCTCACCACGCCCTTGGCAGCCCCTGGTATAAAGCATCTGGTTCCGTCAAAACTACTGTAGCGAGTCAGGAGTTGGATTTATGAATATTGAAAACGATCAGGATACTATAGCATATAATAGCATCTAGTTAGCATAGCATTTATATAGTTATTTAGATTATTTTTGAAAACGACCAGGATAGAGTATTGTTGCATCTATTTAGCATAGCATTATATAGATAATTTAGATTATTTTGTGTAGCTAGTAGCATAGTACAGTTAGGATAGCTTCAAGTTAGCATAGATTTATCAGTGTTTAGTACAGTGATCAGGATAGTAACGGAATAGAGGTGGACATGGGCTTCTCCACACAGCTGCACACGCAGTGCCAAACACTGCTCGTCCTGCATGTACTCCTCCACCGCAGCGGCGTCTTGATGTGAGTGATCATGGATATTTTAATCACAATTTATGGTTAGGATAAAGTTAATCCTCTAGGGTCGACAAACGAGCCGGTGCATTTTGCTGGATTTTTTTTCATATAGCGGCATAATATCAATAGCGTGCGCTATTGAGATCAACTCGACGACATAACTCATCAGATGCCGGTCGCGATGCGGGAGTTAAGACCGCAGTTTGAGCCAGCAGCTCGAATGGATTTGGCCCTGTGTATACATACAATTCACCCTCATCCACTTCAGGTGAAGGTGAGGGAGAAAAGTCCTCGACTTCAAATGGCCGCTCTGTTGCAAAGGCAGCTATTGAGTCACTCCAGACTAGTCTCGCTCTATTTTAGAGTCTGACAGCAGCTGTCACTCACGGCGGGTCTCAGGTGCACGCCCCCTAGCCCCGCTGGGGTCTGCCCATTTTTTCAGCATTTTTCAAATATT